GTAGTAGTAGTAGTAGTAGTAGTAGTAGTAGTAGTAGTAGTAGTAGTAGTAGTAGTTTATTTACAGTATATATTAAGGCTTTAAAAACCCTTCCCACACTCTTGCAATATTCTAAACTCTTAAACCTACGTCATTTTAACAACATATGTACAGTACTGTATATGTAGATACTAATTTTTACTTACAAGGGCTCTGCAGAACAGCAGCTCGTTTCCGTCCAACCCGATAGATGAAAAAATGTCCAGAACCAGGCTGAAGCCTGCAGTGGTCTGTTGCCTGCAGCTCCCAGGATCCGGGTCACACTGAGTCCAGATCAGCTGCAGCCCAGCTACTCAGCAGTGAGGATACAACTTGAAGGACAAGTTCAACGTCACAATTATTTGCGACTTCCCAGCCAGTCCATTAGATTGGCAAAACAGTATATGCTTAATGAAAGAAAACAAAAATGGTGATACATTTTTATTTTTTTGGAAAATATTATGTACAATACTATACATCCACAAACCGTGATAGAGCGAGTCCGCAAAAGTTGAAGTGCGAAGTAGCGAAGGACTACTGTATACGTTTTGGTAAATGGCCAGGGTTAATACAATCCATTTCATTTATATAAAAATAAAACACATTTCACCGAACAGTGCAAAACTAAAAATAAACCTTTGATATAAGGACAACTTTACATTTTGTTCATGAGGTAGTGTTTAGATAGCCATGCTTTCATTCTTTTGTGCAGTATAGACTCATTGACTGTAATGATGTGGACACAACAATCACCCTCACTTTTTGTTTACCTTAATATGCCAGGAGTTCTTTGTTCGTTTTTCTGTTACAAAGTTATTTCCTATTCATTAAACTTTAGATTTTTGACAGGCTAGAGATTTTGTGAACATTTCTTATAGTGTTGAAGAGAGCGAGCAAGAAGACTGGTGCACGGAGAGGAGCACCAGGGAGCGACAAGTTTACAGACACGTCCACCGCAAGTAGGTGAAAAACTATTTCAGTCTAATTAAATACACTCTACCTTTAAACTAAGCTCTATGTGTTGAGCAGAAGGGGTTTTTAGATTTACTGCCTGTTAAAGAATCACACGTGACTAAGAGCAACCAAGATTATTACAACTGATTAGAGGTAAACAAGTTCTGGTGGAACTGTTTAACTTTTCTTTTATTAGTTTTCATTGAGTAACTGAAGCAGCACGGTGGCTCAACTGGTAAAGCTGTTGCCTCTCAGTGAGAAAGTTGTTGGTTCAAATCCCGGCCCGGAACCTTTCTGGGGCGAGTTCACATGTTCTCTCTGGGTGTGTGTGGGTTTTCTTTGGTTTCCTCCCACAGACCAAAAACATGCATGCTAGGCTGATTGGTAACTAAAGCCCCATTTCCACCACTATTACTCAGCCCCAACTCTACTCAGCTCTCCACGGAAAGATCCCTATTCCACTAGTACTTTTAGCTGATTCTGCACTTTTTTGGTCCCTGCTTCACTGGTGGGACTGTACGAGCTGAGTCGAGCTGACTCGGGACAGAAATGTGAACGCAGGACTCTGATTGGTCAGGGGGAGGAGTCACTGGATCTCAGAAACTTTTCACCCATCCGTCATTTGTAATTTCTCTGAACTCTGAGCAGCAGCTGGATCTATTTTTAAGATTTTAAAAACAATAATGACAACGCTGTGTTTAATTTTGAAGTCCAGGCTTTTTTTGTGGTTGGTGACCGATGACAAAATTCGAGGGAGCGGAGTCACCGTGGAGGATCAAACGAGCTGGCCGGACCTCGAGTCCCGGCCTCGCCTGCTCACAAAGGCCCGATTCCGAGCCCTGGCAGGCAGGAGGACCGGGACAGAGGGTGGAAACATTTTTTAAAAACATTTTATGTACATCAGTGAAGAATAAAAATAAATAAACGGTGCCGGCTTTATCATGAAATCCTGTTTTCACTTTGACTTTATTAAATAATCTGTTAATTAACTCAGCTGAAAAATCATAAAAAGACAAAATTATAGGATCTCTCAGGAATATTTCCCTCAAATAATGTTTAAAGAAGAGCTACAGCCTTTAGTTCAATTTTATTTTAACCCAAAGATGTACAAATCACAAAATAAGAATCACACTTTAAATCAAAGCTAAAATAAAATCTGTATACAAGAAACAAAACCACATATCTAAAATGAACAATAAAAGTAGGACAATGGGTGCAAATACGTCAAATGATGAAGAAAAATATAGAATTTTAAATATAGATGTTTTTGTAGGATCTGGTTCATCAGATTTAATTAAATTTATTTATATAGCGCCAAGTCACAACAGAAGTCGTCTCAGGGCACTGAACCGAAACTTTCATATATAAAATAATAATTTAACATTATTTATCTGAGGAGCAGACTGCTTTGAGTTTAACTCATCGCAGAACTCTCACTCGGTGAACTAAAGTTCATTAAAAGTTCATTAGCAGGATTTTGGATTCTGGACACGCCTCCAGAACCGGTCCTGAAGTGCGGTGGAAATCCAGGCTGATCTGAGCAGAGTTTGGGGTGAGTAATTGTGGTGGAAAAGGGTCATAAATTGTCCCTAAGTGTGAGTGAGAGAGTGAATGGCTGTTTGTCTCGTTTGTCTCTATGTGTCCCTGTGATGGACTGAGACCTGTCCAGGGTGATCTCACCTCTCGCACAGTTACTGCTGGAAATGGGCACCAGTGACCCCCGCGACCTAAAAAGGAAGAATCCGGTAAAGATAATGGATGGATGGATGAATGGATGAATAACAACATAGGGTCACATAATGGTAAATAAGGACTATGTTTTACCAGCAACTCACCTGTTTGCTGATAAGACAGTTGTTATGTCCACTGTAAGACTATTTTCAGAAACCTTTATTTTCTCATCAACCTGGTTGCTTTTTTAAAATGTATTTTTCATCTAATTTGAACAGAAATTGCAGAGTTGTCCACCAAAATGATTGTTTTTTAGCTAACAGCGATCATAATGGTTGAAAATCCTTCCCAGTACACAATGTTGAAGCGCTCATGTCGTCAATGCAAACTGCTGCCTTCAAGACTCAAGAGGTGCTCATCTTTACTTCTGGTGGGATTTCATGCACTTGTTTAATTAGTTGGTGTATTAAATGTAAGTTCTGATCATTTTTATGCCTTTTCTGGACTGGGATGTTATCACACACACTGTCAGTGATGTGTTAGGTTTGATGTTTAATATTTTGAAATACCAAAAGTTCCTCTGATAAGGGTTTATCTTTATATCACAGTTGTTTAAATGTGGCTAGGGATAAAGAAAACCCTGTCAGAGTTTGTTTGTTATAGTTATTTGAGGTCAAATAGAAAATAATTTAGTTTTGTTTCTTTTATAGTTGTTTTACTAAGTATTTTTAATCAACTTATGTGGAATTGAAAATGGGATAAAATTTTAAATTAGCAAAATCTTACAGTGCTTTTGGGGCCACATTAAATTCAACAAAGAGCTCCCACTGGTGACGGTTCCAATACAGAATCTCACCAGTTGCGGAGCAGTTGTCTCTTTCATTCTGTATATTTCACTTACGAAACAGTGACGTGTGTGATTTTCAGCCTTTCTGGGTATCAGTTTATTCATTGATCTCTGATCTTTCTCTTTCAGGCATGTCAAGATCAAGAATGAACTTCCGCAGTGGTCGCCGCGGCCCCGCTGCCTACCTGCGACGCAAAGAGCGCATGTTGCGCATCTCTATCCGCCGCATGGTGAAGACGGACACGTTCTACTTGATGGTGCTCAGTCTGGTGGCTCTCAACACCATCTGCGTGGCCATCGTGCACCACGACCAGCCCGACTGGCTTACTGTCTTCCTCTGTGCGTTCTTACTAATGATGCTTTTTGATCATATTTAATAAATGTGTTGTTTTTGCAGCCTTGGGCTCCATCATCCTGCTTTCTGACATGACTGCCTTTGATTCGCTCTCTGATCCACAGACTATGCAGAGTTTGTTTTCTTGGGGCTGTTTCTGGCGGAGATGTTTTTGAAAATGTACGGTCTGGGTTTCCGACTCTACTTCCATTCATCTTTCAACTGCTTTGACTGTGGGGTGAGATCCATCGCCTCTTATTCTGACAACAAAAGTAATATATAATAAAAACGAATCATAAAAAGATAGGATAAACACACGCATGTCACAATGAGATGTGTGATATACTCTTGTTTATGCTTTTTTTTCCCAGGTTATCGTTGGCAGCATCTTCGAGGTCGTTTGGGGTTTCTTCAGGCCTGGCATGTCGTTTGGTATCAGTGTACTGAGAGCGTTAAGACTTCTAAGGATTTTCAAAATCACCAAGTGAGTTGTTCAGCTGGACAAAATTATAAAAAACATAAAAATTATGTAGTTTTCTTTCTTAACGATTGAAAATAATCTTTTGTATATGTCGTCTTTTTTGTCAGGTACTGGGCCTCTCTCAGGAACTTGGTTGTTTCCCTCATGAGCTCCATGAAGTCCATCATCAGCCTGCTTTTCCTCCTCTTCCTCTTCACGGTAGTGTTTGCTCTACTCGGGATGCAGCTGTTTGGAGGAAGGTGTGTACTGACATATTTAATTATCAGCCAGTATCAGTAAATTCCATCATACAGAGCTGAATATTTGGATGTGTATCATCCATCATCTGCTTGCTGCAAACTGAACTAAAGTTTGCTCAGTGGTGTCTTTGAAGATGAAGAGATGATACGTACAGTTGAAAATAACTCTGCATCATCCTCCTCCTCTTTCCTCCTATTCTCCCTTGGTCATATCTGACCCCCGTCTCTTTCTGCCTTCCCCTTTAGGTTCATCTTTGAAGACTACACTCCCACCAACTTTGACACGTTTCCAGCTGCCATCATGACAGTGTTTCAGGTTTGGCTCCTACAGATTCCCCTCATACTGCCTGCTCTCCATGACACATTGCACCCTGGGATATTTCTCACCCCAGGCGCAGATTAAACAACTCTGCTCGATCGCTCTCCACCCCCTGCCTCCGCGATCATCCCACACATCCTAGCACACATATGCGCACATGAATATCAGACAAGGGAAACGTGAAGAAGCCCGCATCAGATCTGCTTCAAACCAACTGCAACTGTGAAAAAGACTGTTTTGATCAGCGCTCATACTGGTTATTATCTTGCCATCCAGTTTTAATGCGCCATTCTTGGCAGACAGGGGGCTCATCTTTTGTTCGGTGTATTTTTAATGTGAGCAATATAATTATTTCTAACTACTCTGTGCCTTTAATTGCCTGCAGATTTTGACTGGTGAGGACTGGAATGAGGTGATGTACAATGGGATTCGTTCTCAGGGTGGCGTTCAGTACGGCATGTGGTCATCCATCTACTTCATAGTGCTCACACTGTTTGGTAACTGTATCCTTGTTGACCTCAGAAGTGCTCAGAGAGCTCTGATATAACCACAATATGCCATTAGTTCTGAGAGTATTCAGGTAAAAGCAGTAAAGTTGCTGCCTTCCAATATTCCATTACAAGCAAACCCTGCATGGTTAGATGACCATGATCAGCCAAATGTAGCAACATGGCCCCCACCAGGTGAACTCTTGGCTTTAAGTTTGCTGTATTGTTACTGCTGTATCAGTGGAGGGAAAAGAAATTGACAGTCATGTACACCCTATTAGATTCCTTATTCGACTGATGTTTTAATGTAAAATTTTATTCTAGAAATGCTGTGGAATAAAGGGCAATACTTGCTTTTTGAATGCAATTTAATAAATGTGTGCCAGAAAATTTTCAAGAGAAAAAACTTGGAAATATTGCAATTAAAAAGAAAATTATGAGCTTATTCATTCATTCAACCTTTATTTATACAGATAAATCACATTGAGCCTCAAAGACTCATTTACAAGTGAGACCTGCTTAGACAGACAAAAAGGAATGAAAGTGACATGTATAGGATTTGGAGACAAAAAAAATTCCCTAACAGACTCTCATTCCATGGCCGAGAAAAGCTAGCCTGACATTGAAAAAAAATGCCCCACACATAAGCACTAGTGACACAGACATTCCATAAGGGAGGGGAGACGACAAGAGCAGTGAGCGTGTCCAAGGACACCCCAGAGGCACTGTAAGAGTTCTGGTAAGAATGGTATAAGCAGTCAGTCCCCTCTGGTGAGATCCATAAATATTCTTGTGCCGAGGTCAACCCAGGATAGCGCCAGAGAGAATCCAAGAGTCCTGAAATGATGACACAATGTTTATTCAGCTGGGTCCCTCTGATAGGTCCGCAGACTTCCTTGGTGGGAGGGAAGGGGGGCAGAGCATCTAATTTTCAGGGTCTCCATGTGAATTGAGATAAGATGGCCTGTCAAGGCCAGCCGGGGAGCTGGATTTGAATAAACATTTGTTTTGGGGACATGCAGAACTTTAGTGATTTATGTCTGCCTTGAGTCTTTGAGATTTATATACAGCATACTGTATATCATGATCTGGGCGTGAGGTTGGACTCAGGGTGCAGACAGGACTCGGGAACTCAAGTAATAAATAAAGGATATTTATTATTAACAACAAAAGGGCTGACTTGGCAGCACAAACTTACACGTGGGGAGGGGAACTGAGAGGAGCAGGAACAGAACATGACACCAAGAAGGATAATTCATGGACAAATGAGAAGACGCCAAGACACAGAATAAATAGGAACACCTGTGATTGACAGTGAAGAACACCTGGGGTGATTAGATTAGGGGACTGGTGTGTAGAAGCTGGAAAAACACAGGGAAGACAAACAGCAACACACACTAATCCTCACACTGTGCTCATTTTGAATATAATATAAAGAAAGTTAGGATGTTTTCTGGTGCATCGCTTTATTTTTATTTTCTTATATTGTTCAGATTCAGAAACCTTAACAAAACAGCTGCAAGTGAAGTGTTTGCTCCTATTGCCTTGATTATGAGTTCGTCTGCAGGCAGTGTTAAAGCTTTGCAACAGAATCTTGATTTAAACATTTCACTGAAATAAGCAAGACTTTCCCTGTTACTGGGTAAATGTCAACAGATGTTGATCCAAACCCTGGACATGTAGTTCAGCATATAGGAGGGCTAGATAGTGTCGTAGACAAAAAAACTGATTTACAAACGATCAGGTGTAGGTTTAATCAAATATAATAACACAAAGCTTCATGGAGAAACAGTCAAAATACAGGAAGCAAATAACTACAACAAAAATAAAACATTACAAGTACAGAACTTCTAATGCTTTCTCTGCCCTGGTTGCTATCTGGTTGTGTCTTCCTGAGCAGAAAAGGTTTGTTTTGTATAAATTTATTAGGAGGTGCATCCCTCCCCTTTGTGTTATCGGAACCACGGCAGACACAGACACAGAGGAGGGAGTCGCTGGAGGTAAACTGACGCCTGATTCACAATGATCCCAAAGCAAGTGATCTTAAAGTAATAAAAGGATCATAAACTTTATCAGTATATAATACTGAATATATCAGCATTCAATTCATTTCACTTTATTTATGTAGCACCAAATCACAACAGAAGTCACCTCAGGGCACTGAACAGAAACATTCATATATATATATAAAATCAGTCAATAACGTTATTCATCTAAGGATCAGAAAGCAGATCAATAAATAATATATTCTTCTTCTTCTGCTTTCGGCTTTTCCTTCTTCAGGTGTCTCCACAGCAAGTCATCCTCCTCCATGTCACTCTGTCCTCTGCATCCTCTGTCCTGCTGTTGTCACAAATCACTCCTGAAACTTTTCTCCATCCTACCTGGACTCTTCTTCTTCACCTCTTTACCACACTCCCCATTTTCCTGGACAGTGGATCCCAAGTGCTTAAAGTCCTGCACCCGATCAATAAACAATTGAGATTTGCTTTATGCACTACAATGGATGTTTGCCTATGGACTATACACTGATAAGTCATTAGTTCTCTCTCTTTTAAACTCAGAAAAAACAAGAAAAATAAGTAAATTTATGTGAACGCCCATTTAACAATTTTTCTTTGCATTAATTCATATTTAATTGGCTCAGTTGAGGAAAATTTTTGATCTTGAATCAAGGTATTTTTTAAAATATCAGTTTGTTATTCTGAGATGAAGACAGAGTTTTAGTTGAGCGTGTTGGTGGATTTGTCCTTAATGTCCTTTATGACAGACACTCTGCTCAATGTCTTCTTGGCCATCGCTGTGGACAATCTGGCCAATGCACAGGAACTTACAAAGGTTTGAAACTGTTTTTATTTGTAACCTATCATTTTATGCATGAAATTTATTATTTTTATTTTACATTTCATTTATTCTAATCTTTAGTAGCATTTTATTGTATTTGTGCCTTTTTTTTCAGGATGAAGAGGAGGAAGAAGAGTTTTTCAATCAGAGATATGCGAGAGGAAGAGACGGCCTGATATCAGAGTAAGTTCCTGACTAACGTCTGACAAAATGACCGTTTGCAAATGAGATACAACTAATTACCTCTTGAGAAAATAACCAAACAAACAAAAAAAGTCACAGTTCATTGAACTCCCTTTTCTTCTCATAGCAAATGGTGAAACTAATATAACTACTTGAAATATTAATTATGTGAGCAATAGGAATATGGAGGTTGTTATGAGTTTTCCTGAATGCGTGCAAATAAATAGGCCAAGAAAATTAATATTTGAACTAGCTGCCTGATTGTAGCTGCTTTGAGTAGAAGTAGTAAGCACATCTGTTAACAGTTTTTAAAACAAGTCCTTTATGTTCTGCAGCTGCAAGTTAAATAAATTAGGAATATTAACAGCGTGGAACGATTTATCTGCGTGGCTGTAACTCCCTCTGGAACTGCTTTGACCTGTGAATCATTCTGGACAGCTGATTTTTGTTTTATTTTTTATTTATTTTAATGAGAGAAGGACGAGTCCCTGCTCCTTTCAGTGACCTGGCAGCTTTCCTTTCGCTTGAGAAGAGGAGGGCAGGAGATGTTTGTCAGAAGTCACTGGGAACAGTGGGATATCCGAACGTGTCACTATGAAGGCACACAGTTTCTCTGCTCAGTGTGAATCTGGCTCATTTGATCTGAACATTGAAGCAAACGCATTAGAAGAAGGATAAACTGTTCCTACTTCAATTTGTGGTAATTTTTAGGTTTATTAAATGTAGGTATAACCAGTTGGTCCAGTCAGCTCCGCTTTCCTTTTGAAATATGAGGAACATGACCCAATTTGGCTTTAAAATAAAGCAGACAGCAACAACAAGCTGATAAATTTAACATTACAAACAGCAGCAGTGTCATAGCAGCTATGCCCACCAACTAAATTCAGTCTCTGTCTGTTTTGACAGAAAACACATTGTATCTAATAGCTGGAGAATCACCATCGTCACTTTAATGATATCTGCTCCCCATCATGGACACTGACTGAGATGTTATTTCAGCAAAGCCATCATTTTCAATGAATTGTGAAACATCTAAAGGACTTTTAGAAGGAGTCTCATGGTGTTAGACAGAATTATAAAGTGTGGTTGTAAACGGATGAATTGTCATCGTAGTTTTTAAAACGTTTAACAAATTTCTTCTGGTTTTGTTGTTTATTCCAAGTTGTCTTTGTTCAGTCCCTGTGTGTTTTGTTCGTGTATGCTTGCTGGTGCTGTCTGAGAAGTTTCTTTAAGTTTTATTTCTAGTTGCAATGTAGCAGACAAAATTAACCCCTGCCCAATTGAAACTGAGTATAGTCTGACCCATATCAGAGAAAGCCCCAAGATGTAAACTGTTCTTGGTCAGACTATACCAGGGGGTGTAAAATAGTCTAGGCCAGACGATACCCCTCCATGCCAGAACATACCCATCTGAATTAGAGTTGCATTCGGGCCTAAAATATCTGGCCCAGCCCAAATCTGAATCATTTTTTCTGAGCTCAACCCGAAACAGACCAATTAACTGTGTTTACAGGCCCGAACCCAAAAACAACAAAGGAAAAAAAAAAATTTTTTTTTTTTTTAATTAAGCTTTTACTGCTTTTGTAAGAATGGCCATTAGACATGATTTCAAAACATATTTCAAAGAAAGGAAGATATAAAATTTCTTGTTCATTAACAAGAGTCAGCTGATTATTATAGTTATTAAAATATTGTATTTATTATAGTTATTAACCGCCAGCGGACACGTGCAGCTGATGATTCAAATTGGGTGGTCGGTCACGTGCGTCTGCTGACGCAGCGGCTGAGTCCAGTTAAGCTATGGGTCACTGGCAGTGAGCTATCTGGACTATTTTTATTTTTTTTTACCTCTTTCAACCGGCTGGTCCGTGCATGGCCTTTTGACCGCACGCGGCTGGTGATCCAAATTGGATCATCAGCTGAGCGCGGCCGTTGATGCAACCAAAAGCCCAACACCAACCCGGCCCGCCCATCCAGCACATTATTTTGGCCTGGTCCAAATTTCGGGTTCGGGCCGGACGCGGGCCCAGGTTAGAAATGACAGCTCTAATCTAAATACACATATATACTCATTTTTTGGCCTGAGGGGTATGAATAAGCTGGCCAATTTGTACCCCAGAGTATAAATTGGCCTAGGTCAAAGTATACCAGGGGTATAATCTAGCCTAGTCTAGTTTAACCCCAGGTATGGTCCGTAGGAGTATAAAATGACCCGTTACACCGGTTTCCAATTGCAGTCTAGTCATGGCCTCATTTAAACTTTTCTTGCTTGCACCTCTCCCTTGTGTCTCACCTGCAATAACTCACCTCATCACTCCTTCCTGCATCAGTGTTTCTTAATTTTTATTGTTTTGTGCCATATCTTTGTTCCCCCGGTCAGTCATGTCTTATTTTTTCTCTTTGTATTGAGCGTTTTGCAGATTTAGAGTTGAGTTCTCCTGACAGGCAGTGCTTTGTAAAATCTAAATAAAATCTATATGTCGCCTGCCATCTTCCAGCATTCATCCTCCAACCTGCAGTCCTCTCACTGTGACTGGCAGGAGTGCAATAAATCAAACAGAAAGAACAAGATACAAAGACTTCCTAAATATTTTTTTGTTTATAATATGCTTTTATTGTTGCTGTCTATATGTTGTCTGTCTAAAACAGGTCTCTCTTTTAAACGAGTCCTCGTGGCTCAGTGAGACTAACCTGTACAAATAAAAGCCGAATGAACTCTTTAATATTGATTGTATTTTCAATAAAACAAAAACTTTCTGTTTGCACCAAACAGCTACAATAAAATACATATATATTTAAATGTGGACTGATTTAATATTACAAGTAATAAAACTATTGAAGTTTGCCACATTTAATAACGTTCTCTGTAAGATGATAAATAAAATTATTCAGCTCTCGAAGATACATTTAATTATTACACAGTGATGAAAATGTTACAACTTTTAATTTGTTTTTGGATAAAATGTTTTCATCAGACTCAAAAATAAAAAAATCTTTCTTGTGGGCTGGTAATAATAAAAGGGCGTTATTTTGTCACATAATTTTCTGGCTGCTGCATTTAACTAGTGGTAAACCACACCATCTTCACCATGAAGCTTACTGTCCCATTTGTGCTTTGACCATCTGTTCTTTAGGTTCTTGGTCTGCTCTCACTCTGGCTGCACTGTTTCCTGCCTGTTGTCTTCATCTCTGTCCTCCGGGTCTTTAATCCAGCAGAAGTAGCAGCAAAGTCAAAGAGTTTGCCATTTTGAGACATACCAGTTCTGAGCGACTTTTTGTGCGTCACTCAAACCTCTACTACAGTTTAATAATCTGAGTTAAATCTTGTTTTGTCCTGTTGCGTGTCAGACACACTGAGCAGAGAGACTGGGACACCCCCAAGTGGGCAAAAGCTAACTGGTTTATGACTTACTGTATGTGTGAAACTATTACAAACCAAATTAGTTTAAATTAAATGATCATCTCTGTTTACTGCTTGTTCTGCTCTCTGACTTTTTAAACTATATCTTAAAAACTAAATCCCTGGAAGTTTGTTTTAAATAGATGGAGAATAGCTCATGTCTATGGTTTGCAATACAATAATTTGGATTTTGTGTAAATGAGATAAAACATAAAAAAAAACAGTAAAATATTAATTTTAAGGTTGTCAAATTTGAATTTTTTTCTACAAAATAGACTCTGACTGTCTGCAAATTGGACTCTGAATGTATCATTTGTCTGTTGCATATATGAATGTAAGTCTTGTGTTGCAGCAGCAATATGCAGGTATAATGTGAATTTCTCTGGCTCCATCTTGTTGTCTTGTTATGATCTTATGTGGCACTGAACAAAATGTTGCTTCTCAGCTCAGGACCTGGATTTGAAAAATACTGATGGTTAAGTGTCTCAAAACTATGTTCCTGCTTCAGTAAAATCAGTTTTTTAATGGATCATTAAATGTCGTTTTCTGTCCCTTCTGCTTCCCAGGTCAGATTTTGTTCTGTGCCACAACAAAAGTTCTGTGTATGTTGTAAATCACTAATGTCTTGTTTTCAAATAATCACTCATTGGTCACATGGACACCAAAAGAGTCTGAACCCCAGTAAGTATAACTGAATGCATCTCTGTCCCAGAATTTGTCTTGATTTTCCCTAAATTTACGAGATTGATTTGTAGATGTAACGCAACGTTTGCACTTTAATCCCACACTTTTCTTTTTGTTCTCGTGGGGTATGTTCTCCTCTTTTACTTTTGAACTGTCCTTTATCTTTAGGTATTATTATTATTTGTCTTTGTTCTTAGTTTTTGGATGTCGTTTTGCACATTTTTCCATGGGAATTCTTTGTGTCACTAATCAACTAATTCACAGAAAAGGTCTGACCTTTTCTTGCAACCTTTATTTTATTTATTTAACCGGTTTGCTAAATGAGCACTTGTCTTTGTGTTTCTTGTCACCGTATCCTTTAATGTGTAGCTGTCACTGCCCCACACTGATGTGTATTATCCTGTGGTGTTTTAGTGGAAGAAGAAGACCTTACCTGTACAGGAAACGGGCCATCCATAGAGGGAGACCCACCTTCCCAGATGATCCTGATGGTCCAATAGTGACTACAGAGGAGCAGCCCCCGAGTAGCTCCAAACCTTTTGCAAACCGTCGCGAGCGGAGGAGGAAAGTTAACATGTCTGTATGGGAGCAGAGGGCCAACCAGCTACGAAAACGCCGTCAGATGGCGAGCAGAGAGGAGCTGTTTGGCAACCCAACAGAGGACACAGCTGAAACTCCAACCATCCCCCACCACCCCCCTGCTCTTACTCCAGAGGCCAGTCCAGCTCACTTGCCTGAGTCACCCATGCTGGTTGGGATGCCCCTACCCGAACCCCCGACGGCTGAGCCTCTTGTCAACTTGAGCGAGGAGAAACCAGCAGGAGCGAACCACCGTACCGCAGGGGGCGGCAGACATAGATTGGCTCGAAAGTTCAGGTCCAGTCAGGGGCCAGATGAAGGGGCCCGGCACAGGCGCCACCGTCACCGTGAGGCCCGCATTGAAGCGAAGAGTCTGGACTGCACACAGTCGCCACATGAGGTGCTGCATGTCAGGCGGTCACTCAGCCAAGAGAGGAAGATCATTGATGAAAGGGAGGAGAAGGAGGACAAAGAAGAAAGTGAGAAAGCAGAAGAACAGAACGTTACACAACCCGAGGAGGAGGATGGTGGAACGTGCATCGTCAACCCATATGCAGACATTGGAGAAGACTATAAAAGGTAAATCTCTTGTTGTGATCTCGTCCCATGAGCTACATCACAATAAAACATGTTTTCATTATTTTTGTACTGGCTTAAACAGCAACCTGCCAAAGAATAAGCAGCTGCTTTACAGTCTGCTGTTTCTGATCATTTACTGTACACAATAAATCAGAGCAGACCACAAAACATGCTGCAGTCTGTCATCAGTCCCTCAACCTGTTCATAATGAGTAAGAAAATGTATCTGAACACATAAAAGAAGGAAATAATTTACTTTTTTGCATCTGATAAGTAAAAACAAAAGACAGATTTTCGTGGTCATTTAGGAACAAAACTATACCAAAAGAGAGGACATTGAGATAAAAAACAATTCAAAGCTCACTTTGATTATCCTATTATCCTGTGAGACTGGTTTATTTTACAGGTTTAAGCCTAAACTTAGTGGGACGTAATATTTTTCCCAAAATAAATATTAAACAAGCTTGATAAACTCAACAAAGTTCAGTTTTGTTGTTGAGACATTTCATCCTTCATCCAAAGGACTTCATCAGTCCGAGGAGTCACAAACAAACTCAGTTTTGAACCATTTTGGCTATGGCTACCTCAGAGGAGTCGACAGGGAGAGGGTGGGCCCCAGAAACCATCTTATCACCACCAATCTGGTTGGTCCACTTTAAGTGAGTTTGCTGCTTGTGAATCCCAGTTTGTTTGTGGCTCCTTGGACTGATGAAGTCCTTTGGATGAAGGACAAAATGCCTCAACAAAAAATAAATCATCCAGATGACCTGACTGGACTTTGTTGGATTTTTTTATTGCACATGAACTGTGAAAGCTTGAAATGTGATGCAAGGTAAAACATTTAATTAAAAAAATCAGTGTTGTTATATTAGGAAATGTTACTAGATTAGATTATAAATCTGGTTTTCTATTCACTTCAATGGGATTTCAATTTTTGCACTAGATTTTTTTTTTTCTAAAAGTGAGCTAATTATTGATATTTATAACATAAAAACGCTTGTGCTCATGGGTTATGTTCTCAGTTTTTACTTTTGAACTGTCCTTTTATCTTTATATGTTAATATACCTAATAATTAATAACATGGCTTTATTAGCTTTGCAAAGTTTGACTGTCATACTGTCACAATTTAGCAGAAAGTTTGGAGCCAGAATGCAGATGGACAATTAATAACATTTTTATTAAAACAAAATAATGGACTTACAGTATGTGGCAGCAAACTTACAAAAGCTCTGGAAATAAGCATAAGGAGAAATGAAGGAACACAGGCGCATAAGAGAAGTGGCATGAGGAGCCAAGGAGTAAAAACTGCAGGGATAAAAAGGCTTGGAGCTAATGAGCGAAGTGGCTGCAGCTGTGTCTAATGAAGAACAAGGAACAGGTGTAAGACAGAGGAGCTGAATCTAACTGGAGAGATGTGAGTAATGGCACAAGGAGTACACAAAACTCACAATGAAAAGCACAAGGAACAGAATAAAACACAAGAATCACAAAACCTGAATAAACCTAATCGTAAGTCAGAAAAAAAAATGTGCAAACTAACAAAACAGAACCTGACATACAGAAAAAATGTTTTCTGGTGTCTCAAAAGTCAAATTTCCAGTGAAATTCACTGCAAGAACATGTTACAATTATGATCAATCTCGATTGTATTGTTCCTTTTATTTTATTTTTTTTAAGTTTTCTTTTTGTTTTGTTTGTTTGTTACAGAGATTCTGCTCCCAGCGGGGACAATCCTGATCCTCCGCAGTGCGAGCAGCTGCCACACTGTACCTGGTCAGAGAAGATGGAGGGAAGCAGCTCAGATCATTATGAACCCTTGAGCCAAAACATCCCAGTGGAGCCTGCTGTCGAGGCAACAGAGTTCATTGTGAGTACCATCGAGTCCGAGAAACGCAAGATCTCCGTCAAACGTGATAACAAGTCCAAGGTGGAAGGCAGCGTGGCCATCGAAATGTCAGCACAACCACTGCTGGAGCTCACCCCGGTGACAGGTAGAACCTTTTCACTGCACTTAAACATCATGACATTCAGTGTCAGTATCACTGTACCACCGTGTGCAGGTGAATTCTAATATCATAAGAGTTTCTATTTTTTTATTTTTTTGCAGAAAGTGGTGGTGACTCATGCTGTTCTTTGTCATAGCTGTCCACTTAGAGCTGAAAACGTTCCTCTCTCTGTCTGTGTTGTAGTGAACAGTAAAGAGTTGGAGGCGTACCAGTCTGATCAGAAAGAGGAAGAAGAGGAGACGGAGGAGGAGGAACCTCCAGTGCCTCCTAAACCCGAAGCTCCTGACAGCATGTTCATCTTCAAAGCCTCCAACCCGTAAGATGTTACACACAATCCACAAAGTCACACATTAGATGCTAATCAGGTTTTTCTTACTTCTGGTTTAACACTCTTTTGTTGCACCCCAGTATCAGGAGGATTTGTCACTATGTGGTCACTCTCCGTTATTTCGAGATGACCATCCTGCTTGTGATCGTGGCGAGCAGCATTGCACTGGCAGCTGAGGACCCAGTGTGCACAAACTCAGACAGAAACAAGGTGAGGTCAAACTACAGCTCCCTGGAACTAATACTGAATAACAGAACGACATCTACGGTGCCCGGAGCTTAAGATGGAGGAGGTTAAGGGCCTTGCTCAAGGGCCAAGAGTGGGGAAAACTTATAATGATGAGTGAAAACTTTAACACCTTTCACACACTGTAAACAATTTTAATTACTACATGTGCAATACATGTAAAGGCATGAATTTATAAAATAAAATAAAATGGATGCTAAAATAAACAGACTGGTCAAAAGACCAAAAAACTTTTACCTTAGCTGAGTTTTTTTATGACTGAAGCTGGGTGGATGATTTGTGAAGCAAACCTTTTAATCAATGATTAAAACCTCAAAACTGTGGAGGACGGAATGTGACAAAATTAAATAAATAAATACATAATAATGAAATCCATCCATCCATTATCTTTACCCGTTTATTCCATTTTTGGGTCACGGGGGCCGCTGGTGCCCATGTCCAGCAATCACTGTGCGAGGGGCGGGGTACACCCTGGACAGGTCGCAAGTCCATCACAGGGCCACATAGAGACAAACAACCATGCACTCTCACTCACACCTAGGGACAATTTAGAGTTACCAAGCAGCCTAACATGCATGTGTTTGGTCTGTGGGAGGAAACCGGAGTACCCGGAGAAAACCCACGCATGCACGGAGAGAACATGCAAACTCCACCCAGAAAGGCCCCTGGACCGGGGTTTGAACCAGGGACCTGTTCGCTGAGAGGCAGCAGCTCCACCAGTTGCGCCACCGTGCTGCCCATAATAATGAAATGTATCATTTAATTATTAAATACATCATTAAACCATTAAATACACAATTGAATATTAAATACACAATTAAATCATTAAATACACAATTAAATTACTTATTTCATGATTTATTTATTTATTTATTATTGTCACATTCCGTCCTCCATACAACCTGCTCGTCGTAAAATGAAGTTTTAGCTCAGTGCGGCTGTCAGGTTTGGTCTCTAGTTGACACAACACTATCAACAACAATGTGTCATGACACATTTGGCTTCATGCACGGACAAGGTGAGAATCAACAGCTCTGCCTGCAAATCGCTGTGCAGTTTGTATTTCTCACAACTTTTCCCTTTTAACAGTTTTGTAGAGGGTGTCAAGAGTGAGCAGATTAGCATGTATTAGTGCACTTGGAATAATCTGTGAGTGATGCAGAAGAAGAAATAACACATTATCAGAATCAGAATTAGAATCAGCTTTATTGTCATTGCACTGAAGCACAGCAAAATTGCATTTTCAGTACAGCCTGTCCAAGAGAACAACATAAACAGTATAAACAACAACTGACATGGGGAGACGGAGGTGATAGAGGCTGCCACCTCAGGAGGCGCGGCCTTATTTCCAGATAAGGAAAAAGAAACATGAGGGGGAGGATAGGTGTTAAAAAAAACAATCAAATCTTGTGCTGTGTCCTATGGGACACAGTATAAGAGTTGCAAAAAAAATACCTCAGCGCAACATTCATCCATCCATCCATTATCTTTTACCCGCTTCTTCCATTTGGGGTCACGGGGGTCACCGGTGCCCATGTCCGGCAATCACTGTGCGAGGGGCGGGGTACACCCTGGACAGGTCGCAAGTCCATCACAGGGACACATGGAAACAAACAAACATTCACTCTCTCACTCACACCTAGGGAGAATTTAGAGTTACCAGTCAGCCTAACATGCATGTTTTTGGTCTGTGGGAGGAAACCGGAGTACACGGAGAAAACCCACACATGCACAAAGAGAACATGCAAACTCCACCCAGAAAGGCCCCCGGACTGCGATTTGAACCGGGGATCTGCGCGCTGAGAGGCAGCAGCTCTACCAGTTGCGTCACCATGCTGCCCTCAGCACAACATAAAAAGCACATAAATAGACATAATGCATATGCGTGTAGAGTGGGTAGGGGGGTGGGGGTTCCAGCACGGCCACCTGGTGAGCAACGCAGCCCTTTGGCGCCTTCACATCTCCTAGGTTGCTGCAACATGGGAGGCAAGGAGGAAGGCCGGCAAAGGCATGAGTTTGAGGGGAAGTCGTAGCACAGCACAGTCCAGAGCCCAGAGCCATAGTCCTGATAAGAGGTGTTTGTTTATCAGCCAGCTCGGTTGAACTCTGACACTGTTCCATGTCCTTGGGGAGGGGAGTGGGTGAGGAGGGGAGCAGAGTGTCTTGTTTTCATAACATCCAAGGAGAAATTGAGAGAGTCAGCCTTTCAAGGCCATAACCAGATTCAGATTTCAACATTGTTTTGGGTCAGGCCGAGCTCTTTAATTTCCATGTCTGCCTTTTACAGACTCGCTAGTACATCTCATTACGACTCCAAACAGCCAAATTGTGAATGCTTACACTGAAGTCAGGTTTACAACTTCTCCAAGATCTATTTCTTCCAACCGTCTGTGAACATTGCCACAAAGTTCCACAGTCCTACCGGCTCAGCTCTGATACAGGTCCACAGATAGTTCGCACAGAGCCTGAGTGTTGCCAAGCCTGGCACACACATTCCAGACAGCTTAAAAACAGCTGATGACATTTACGAATTTGTCGACAATCCAGAGTTCCACCAACTCCAAAAAGCAGAATCCAGTTATAAATCCAATTATGTTTCTGAGGTAAGAGGGCTCTTCTTCACCCTGTCTTCTTGTTGAGAAAATTTGATCAATTGCGTTGAGAGACCAGCTGAACAAATCCATAGTTTACAGTTCGGAAGGTATGCAAAAAGGGGCTCTGAAAAAGGTTCACAAGACAAAGAGCAAGCAGGGATGGAGTGGAGGAGGAAGCATCTGCTTTCTCTAAGAGCAAGCAAAAAAAAAAAAAAAAAAGAAGTGAATGAAATCAACAAAAAGAGGCAATTTCAATATTCTACTTCATTACTTCAAGCTGCTTCTGATCATTTCTCTAATTAAAAAATATTTTTATTATCATCACTTCCTGTTTGAACAGAGGTGATCTAATTAACTTGGCCTTAATTTACTGCAGCAGATTAAAGGAGCGTTGTCACTTTTACACATAAAATTGAGTTCAGCACAGTGAACAGATCAGAAAGTGGCTCTGGTTATTCATGTTTGAAACAATAATCCGATGATGTCATCAAGGCTAGCTCAGGTAAACTTTTACTGATGGTAAGCAGTTTGCAGCGTTGTTGTTGATTTTTCCTCTTTAAAATTGGTCCCATGAGTCATGCAATTTAATAGACATGTAGCACATTACAGGGGCATCACTTTAAAGAGCCGCAGAGCTTGTTGCACTACCAAAAAACATATTTGATGAGTGATGTGATCCAAGAAAACAGAGCCAAGCAGAAGTAGGTTTTTGTTTCCACATCTGTCCAGAATTGTAGCTTATGAACATTTCAACTAGCTGACAGTCACACTTATCATAATTTTGGCTGCCCGGCTGAAAAGTACACTTTTGTTTGAAATGAAAGTTGAAATGTGAAAAAAAGTTAACAAAGTGCTGTGACTTGGAGTTGTTTTTTAAGCACCTCTAGACTTATAAAGTTTCACGTAGTAGAAAACGCATCCACAATTGGATAAAGGGGAACTCGCATATGATGTATCGTCTGTCATTTAGTTTATTCTAGTCATGATTTAGCATTACTCATAAATGGGTAGGTTCAAATTGTAAAGCCTTGTCCTGAGGCATTAAGATGTTGGAATCATTTCGAGTATATTATGTTAATTATCACTGACACATGACTGTGACAAAGATACTAAATGATAAAATGGTATGTTTTCTTTGTTTAGGTGCTGCGTTATTTTGATTATGTGTTCACTGGAGTGTTCACCTTTGAAATGATTATAAAGGTGGGTTTCAAAAAATGGATCTTTTTCGTTTATTGACTTTTCTCAAAATTTACTGCAAGTCCCTTCGATCGTTAAAATGCTTCCACTTGTGTGTTTGTCCTTCAGATGATAGACCAGGGCCTCATTCTGCACGATGGCTCTTATTTCCGAGACATGTGGAACCTCTTGGACTTCATTGTTGTGGTGGGAGCACTGATCGCCTTTGCTCTGACGTGAGTCACGTACAGTTCAGCCTGCCCATGACTAACAGCTGACTCACTGCAGTTAATACCTTACTGCAACAAACGACCGTTTCTCAGAGCCAAACTGTACAGAGTCGCAGGATCCTGTGAAACGTAACTTTCTTTTTCTTTCACCTCAGGGCTTCAACAAGAGCTGTGGAGATTTTTATTTGATGTGTCTTCATGGCTTGCATGTGATGGAAAACCTGATAATTACTCTTGTCCGACTCGTTGTACTGTTAGAGGAGTTTAACTGTACGTTAATTTCTATGTTGTTAATATGGATGTGATGTAACCTTTTTAATCCTTCGTTTTTTTTCTATGTTGTTCCTGTGGATGTTGTCACTGTTGGGGGCTACCAGGAATGTGCTGGGGTAAAACAAAAATTCTAAATGTGAACGTCTTTTCCATTAACTCTTCATGTATTTTGCTTAAATTCATCTGTTTTGTTATCGGCTGCCACCGAAGATAAAATGTGGTATTGTATTTGCCCCAGTTTGTGTGTGTTCGCTTGTCTTTACCATTATGTCATAAAGGCAAGGATGGAATTTTATGAAATTCCCAGAAAGTAATCATTGATGTGTACCTATGACTTTGGAGTAAACTGATTTAAGATGGCTGCCACAGCCAAATGACCTTGGTAAACATGGTAAAAAATAAAAAGGGTGTAAATCAACAATTTTTCCAAAAACTGAGCTGAAATTTGATGTACTTGTGACTGAGCATAACGTATTTGCACATTGTGCCACAGATTTGCTTTAAACCATTAATTCTGTTAGTGTCAACCCTGTCTGTCAGCAAAATATCTCATAGCCACTGGACAGATTTTGATGAAAATCTCAGAAAGTAATTATTTGGTTTATAAATACAACTAGAGTCTTTCACAAGACACCTAAGTCCAAGACTTAGAAACCTTCTGGCCATCTTGGTGTGACTTCCGATGGACAGAGGTGGTGCAGGGGTTGAAGCCAAGCCAACCCTGGTGCACCATTGTGCAGCAGAGCAAAGTAATAACTGAGGCAAAACAGCAGACGTGAAAAAGTAAGCAGCGATACTACGGCTCAGTAATGTGACGAACTGATGACATTAACTTTTAGTCATCCCAATTTAAGATGGCCGCTACAGCTATTTGAATCTAGTCAACATAAAATGGTTTTAACTAAGACAATAAGCTGTTTGGTGTTGTATTACCATTTTCATTTCTCACAAGATCCTAGAATTTTGCACAAGAGTACAGATGGTGCCATTTGCAAAGATTGACTAAAGCAACTATAATTTCTCATCATAATTCTTGTAATATTTTAAAGTCTGGGGCATCAAAGGCAGCAGGCAACATGCATTTCTTTAAGGAATTCTAGGCTTTAAATTTATAGTGGGTTTTTTCTTATTGTTTCTTCATTTTATTTATTTGTTTATGTATTTATTTATTTATCATTATCTGGACATAATTGTATGTATTTAGAGTAGAAACATAAATAAATGACCACATAATGTTATAATGTGGAGGGGAATAAAACAACACTATACAAATAATTTAAGGTATAAAAGAAAGAATGACAATGCAAATCATAAATATTTATTAAGTTGTTGTTGTTTTTTTATTTTGTTTTTTTTTTACATAAATGCCTAATTTAAAGGTAGAACAATTCTTAAACTAAAAAGAAAAAGTTACTACTTCAAACAAAACTCTCTTTAGGTGAAGTTCTGGGTTTATTTTTTCTGTTTCCATGTGTTATTTTGACATTTTCCTCTCACCATGTTTCCCTTTTTATTCCACGTCTATGTGTTTTAGTTGAGAGTACAACTTTATTGCTTAGCACTTCATTTCAACATCAACAGGAACACCAAAGGCAGAGACATCAAGACGATAAAGTCCCTCCGAGTTCTGAGAGTTCTGCGGCCGCTTAAAACCATCAAGAGACTTCCTAAACTTAAGGTCTGGTGGAAAATGTTTACACGTTAGCTTGAGTTTTGGTGCATTTGACAGATTTTTATTAGCCTCCCTCTCGTCTTTCTCCTTTACAGGCGGTTTTTGACTGTGTTGTCACGTCGCTAAAGAACGTCTTCAACATCCTCATTGTGTATCAGCTCTTCATGTTCATCTTCGCTGTCATTGCCGTCCAGCTCTTTAAGGGGAAGTTCTTCTTCTGCACTGACAGCTCCATGAAAACAGAAAAGGAGTGCCGGTATGTAAACGTCTAAACTACAGGCTCACATTGGTGTTTTGAATATGTATGCACAGTATAAATCCAGAGATCCTCCTACATGTTGTCACTTTCTGTGAACATGTGCTGGCCCACCATGTAATGGTGGCTTTGTTTACGTAAAATATATTTACAAAATGAATAGGCACATTCCCGTTTCAGATCATATTTTGATGCTGCACAGGAAGTTACAACAAAATCATATTTTTGAGGTTTTGTGAAATTTGTTTTCTTTTCACTTCAACTTGATGATAATTGACGTTTAGACTGAAAATAAAAAAAGCTTTGGTAAAATAAATATATTGTTTCTTAAATTTAATACCAAATGAGACTGACGAATCATTATGCAGTCAGTATTAGATGTATGAAAAAAGACACATCAGTATGCTTCTAATGGCATATTCGAGGGTGATAAAATGCCTGAGGAATGGAGGAGAAGTGTGCTGGTGTCCATTTTTAAGAACAAGGGTGATGTACAGAGTTGTAGCAACTACAGGCGAAGTAAGTTGATGAGTTGCACAATGAAGATCTGGGAGAGAGTTGTGGAAACAAGACTTAGATGAGAAGTGACTGGACCACCGCTCCCTTAATACTTTAGCTAATGTCTTTCAAAATGATGTTCTGTGGATAGGTTTTCATATTTGAAATATCTTACTTGTTCTAGATGCTCTATGAACAACTTCAATTAGAAAAAAAAAGTTTTATTTTGATTGGAATGATGAGCTAATAGCTAGCATGAATGAGGAACAACCATTTTTTTTCATTTATTTATTTATTTATTTAAATTAGGACAATGCATGTCAGCGGTAAGCATCAATGTAAATATGCCGGAGTTAGCACAACAGCTAAATTTCATCCGTTGTCCTAAGGCAGGTAAGAACAAGAAACGTCCCACAAAACAAAGAGCAGAGAATAACACAAACAAATAAATAAATAAATAAACACTAAATAACACATAACACCACATGAAATTACAATAAAGATATGAAGCCGTTAGAAAATAGACAAAATAATCTAGACATGAGTGCACCTCTGGTTAGTTTTCAGCCAAAGTTTCAAAGTTTTTAAAGCTGGAGTAGGTGCTGCAGTTCCTGGTGGAAACTGGCAGTGTGTTCCATGACTGCATGCCTCTGATGGACACCACCATTTGGCCAAATTTAGCCCTGAGCTGCTGTACAGCACAGTCTCCTCTGGTCAGTGCTCTTGTGTTTACTGTACTTGTTCTTTCACCAACACAATCTGCTGCCATTGGGGGAAAAAAAGTAAAATTAAATGAAATCATTACTTTATTAATGTTTCTGTCTCTGCTAGTTTCACATCGCATGCTTACTGACAAGGCAGTACGGTGGCACAACTGGTAGAGCTGCTGCCTCGCAGTGAGAAGGTCACTGGTTCAAATCCCAGTTTTGGAGCCCTTGGTGGAGTTTGCATGTTCTCTCCATGCATGCATGGGTTTTCTCTGAGTACTCCCACAGACTAAACATGTTAGGCTGGTTGGTAACTCTAAATTGTCCCTAGGTGTGAATGAGGGAGTGCATGATTCTTTCTCGTTTGTCTCTATGTGTCCCTGTGATGGACTTGCGACCTGTCCAGGGTGTCCCCCACTTCCCGCACAGTAATGGATGGACATGGGCACCATTGCACCCCGCGACCCAAAAAAGAAGCGGGTGAACGATAATGGATGGATGGATGCTTACTGACATAATTTTATGGTTATCTGGTTATATTAGTACCACCAGCAGCAGCATAGCATTTCTGTGCAGCCTGGGACTTGTCTAGCAGGAAGATTAGAATATTTCTGACTGAATAATCATGAAATGCAAAACTTATGTTTCTGCAAAGTTAAGAAAATATCTTTTACATAACCTTTATGAAACTTTTGAGATTGTACTTAGGCTATTTCAAGCCAGAAGCAATGTATTTGGTGTAGCTAACTAGCTAATGCTCAGACTTCCCATTAGCAGTCCTTTAACCAGCTGTCTGGTTGTGAGTTTATATGCACAGAATTGCAATATTTAATTTAATCTTATTCATAAAATTAAATATTTGTGTAAGTGTAGCCCACTGTTTTATGACTTGTCTGAATTTGATACAATCGTGCTTTAATATGGTCATTCTTGTGAAAATTTTAATGCTTTTACTTGTAATTAAAGTGTCTGTGCTTTTCAGTAGAAGTCATTCTAATCATTGCATAAAAATGAAACAATGACCTTCAGTCTGCTTTTGTCCCTGCAGAGGTTTTTACATTGACTACAGCAGAGACAAGAAAGAGGTGAAGAGAAGAGAGTGGAAGAGACACGAGTTTCACTACGACAACGTCTGCTGGGCCCTGCTCACCCTTTTCACTGTGTCGACAGGAGAAGGGTGGCCTCAGTGAGTGCACTTCCAGATTAAGACTTTGCACTCTTAATCCCCTGAAGTCACCATAAGAGAATACCTGTTGATGGATGAGTGGCTGAACCTACTTGGCAAACCTTCAGGGATACACCTTCACAATGTATTATACAGAAAGAAAAAGACTACAAATCACCAAAACTGGATAAAATGGGGGAAAACTAACCAAAAAGGGACAAAAATCATCAAAATAAGGCACAAACCAAACAGATATAGCCCAATCCGAATGAGTTCTGAAACTAAAAACAAGCAAAAGAGCTTAAATATTAAAAAAGTCCAAAATTAACTGCAAGTTTGACTAAAATGAGTCAAAAATGTATAAATGAAGTTTAAGACAATTGAATAAACAGCAGCAATAATAAGACATAATATGAGCAAAAATGAAATACAAACCCACCTCATGGTAACACAGAAATAAAGTATTTGGTAATACATTAATTCAACCTTTATTTGTTAAGGTTAATCGCATTGAGCCTCCGGGACTCATTTACAAAAGAGACCTGAATTTAACAAAGAGTGGTGACAACAGTGGACAACAAAGACAACAATAGATAGTTATAAAAGATGCGTACAAGTTGAGTTTTTTTTTTTTTTTTTTTACAAATGAAAATAAAATGGTGTTTTAAAGAAAATGTACAAAAAAAAAACAGCTGGATTGTAGGGCGGTGTAGAAATCTTAAAAACAAGAACGTGTCTGCATTGGTTTTTCCCAGGTACTTAGCAGATGTTTGAAGCCACTTAGAGAGATCAAGGTCCAGAGCTTCAGATCTTTTTTCAGGATATTCCAGGAAACGGGAGCGGAGTGGGAGAAGGCCTACAGTAGTCCTTCGATTATTGCAGGGATTACGTTCCACACAACACGGCGAAGTAGGAATGCTATATTTATTTTAACATTTTAATATATTTTAAGGCTTTATAAACCCTTCTCACACTCTTGCAATGTTCTAAACTCTTTTTTTTTTTTTTTTTTTTTTTGTGATGGCCTCCCTTCTCCCCTTATAGCTATCCTTTCCACACCTTTATTATTTATTTTTTTTTATTGTTACTATCTAGTGTAGGTTTTTTTTTTTTTTTTTTTTTTTTTTCCAATAGGATAGAAAGAAAGAAAAGACAAAGTAAGACTCCAAAATATAAGAAATATATACAAATAGAGCACACGTCAAAACACCCGGCCACTGTCTGTTCACCTGCAAAGAACATGACAAAACATAGCAACAAAATACATATGTATAAAGAACTTAAAATATTCATGGCTTTGCAGTAAGTTTCCATAAATATATATACCCATACCTACGCCTATATACATACATACATACATACACATGAATATACACTCACATACATATCTATATATCTACATATAAAGCCTAAATAAGCATCCCTGCTTCTATTTGTGTGTGGTTGTGAGCATGCATAAGTGTATAAGGCTTCTCTAATAGAACATTTATTAGTAACTGTGAAGCAGCAGAGACCCGACCCCCAAGACCAGAGGCAGATGAAAAAGGGGGGACCAGAGTCCAAGACCCCAGGAGGGACCCCGACCGCGGAGCCCCCAGAGCCACCCACACAGGACGAACCACTCACCCACCCCCCAGAACGGACCACAGGGGAGAACCGGAAGATCCCCACCAGCAACCACATACAGTGACCCCCCGGGGCCAACAGCGACAAACTCATAGGCCCCCGTCGGCACCCGCCGCACCGATGTAGGTCCAGGTCCAGGCACCGAGGCCCGGGCACCGAGGACTCACACCACCCAGGCCAAGGCCTGACAGGGCCAGAGGACCCGAGCCCCACCAGGCAGACACCAGGCCGAGCCGACACACGCCCAAGCGCCCAGCCCCCGATACCAAGGGCCCCAAGCGCGCCGGCAGGCAAGGGCACACCCCACCAGGGGGCCGCGCGATAGGGGCGCAATGCCAAGCACCCCCAGTTGTATCAAAGAGGGGGCAGTCCGAGTCTTGGCCTAACAAATATCCACTCATACACAGACACAATCACACTATCCCAACCTCAATCTCACATTCATTCACTCAAAGACATACAATAACGATACATTTCATTCTTATTCCCGATACACACTCTAAACCCCCCAGGTCCAAGACATGTACCCGCCCTCTACAGGGGGCAGCCCATGCCCAAACCCAGGAGGTAAACCCATTCATTCCTGAGCGGAGAAGAGCCAATACCCCATAACCGGCCCAGGCCATGCCCCGCCGACAGGACACCCCCCCACCATGAAGAGGACACGCCACCAACCACCCCCACACACCGTCAACAACCAAACACGCATCCCCAGCCGACCGCCTGCCAGGCCCCGGCAGCCACCCCGGTCAGCGGGCCAACCATGGCACCCAAGAGCCAAGCTCAGGGGGTCCAAACAACCCCAGGGAGAGCACAGCGCCAGCACCGCCCACGGCAACCCCCAGACCCCGAACCCCCACATAGTCCTGGTCAACACCCGACGGCCTGCCCTTCTCCCGGACCCCCACCCCCGGAATGGCAGTCAGGGAACTAGGTGGGTAGGAAGAGGAGAAAAAATAAATAAATAAATAAATAAAAATAAGACCCCGACACATACACCCCCACCCCTAGATGTGCTGTTGATGTGTGTTGTTGTAGAGTGCCATTAAAAAGGAAAGAAGAAGGAGCAAAGGCTGGCAAGGTGCCAGTTTCCCCTCCACCCCAACTCTATCCAAACCCTAGTGTCTAAATGTAACCGTTGTAAGTGAGCACAGGCACAGGGGGTGAGAGTAAAGTCATCCCACCACCCATAGCCATGTGCCCACTTCAAATTCCTATATATGAATGTCATGAGGATGTTATGAATGAATGTCTAAGGTGTACAATAAAATTGAGTCCCAGGTGGCTATGGTCAACAAAGATGTAAAATTGTTGCAGCACACCCGAGCCCAAACAACCCTAAATGTGTGGAATTGAAATGAAGAGGGTGGAGGTGCATGGTGAGGGATGGGGAGAAATAACTGTGAGAGCAAATGCTCCCACAGGGAGTCAGCTCCCCCACTGACCCAACAGCCCCCCCCCCCCCCCCAGCCCCCCAAGGTCCACCCAGGGATTGAGGCCAAGACACCTCTCCATCTGGACCGACCGCCAGGCCCGCTGAGCTCCAGACCAGAGAGGGACAGAGCCCCGAGGGCCGCCATAAGCCGCACCAGCAGCCTACACACCCGAGGGCCACCAGGACCCCCACAGACCGCAGTCAGCCCGCTACCAGATGGAGCCAAACCCCACCAGGACGACCCGGCCAAGAGCGCCCGCCCAACCGCCGACAGTGCCAGGAAGCACCGGGAGCGAGCCCCCACCACAGGAAAGGGGCCAGCCAGCCAGCCATGCACAGTCCCGGGCCGCCCCCAAGGACATCCACCCCATCCCCACCCCAGAAGAAATACTACACCCACCCCTCATTCGGACATCTCTCAAAACACATAGCACACTAGACACCTAGGCTGGGTCAAACTACCCCCTCTTAGGGGCCACTGGTCACGCCCCGCAATGTTCTAAACTCTTAAACCGACATAATTTTAACAACATATGTATATGTACTGTACAGTACTGCAAACTTTTACTCACCAGCTCTGCAGACCAGCAGCTCTGGTCCGGCAGGGCTCGGTTCCCGTTCTGCAGACCTACCCTGCAGCGTCTAGGTTGATGTGTGCTTGGATAATTGAGCTTCAGGGTTATTTGTGACTTTCCTGTCAGTGAGTTTAATAGATAGATCGTTACGTCTGACGTTGCAAAACTTTCCATTTCTGCAGAAAGCAGTGGCCGGAAGCACTGTTGGCTTCTGGGTAGTGGTTGACCTGCATTCCAGTATAGGTTTATTGAGAGAAAACTACAAAATGGCGGCACCAGTCTGAAGTAATTTTTTGTAAACTTTTTGTCTCGTACCATCCTAATCACGTGAGTAATATTAAAGTTGACAATCATGTGGCATGTACAATCTTGCGTTGAAAAACCGCGTAAGATCGAGTCTGCAAAAGTCAAACGGTGAAGTAGTGAGGGACTACTGTACTACAAACTGTAGTTTGAAGTCCAACAATTTTCAATCAGGTCATCTGGACAGTTTCTGTTTTTTTTTCTGAAACGTTTCACCTTCCATCCAGAAGGCTTCATCAGTCAAGGAAACACACAACACAAAACTGGTTCTTCCCCCAAACAGCTTACTCCAAACTGGAACAAACCAGTTATGTTGGTGCTAAGATGGTGTCTTTGGCACGCCCCCTCCTCTTGTGCCAGCCCTCTTCCTCATCAACAGTCATGTCAAACTGGTTCAAAACCAAAAAAGTCCATGCTCAATAATCCAGGTATACAATCAAACAATTTTCAGTCATTTCAGTTCTGACTGAAAATTGTTGGATTGTATACCTGGATTATTGAGCATGGACTTTTTTGTAGTTTGAAGTGTCTTCTTTTCTCGTTTAGGGTCCTTCAGCACTCGACTGACGTTACAGAGGAAAACATGGGGCCAAGTCGTGGGAACCGGATGGAAATGTCTGTTTTCTATGTGGTCTACTTCGTGGTCTTCCCGTTCTTCTTCGTCAACATCTTTGTCGCTCTCATCATCATCACCTTTCAGGAACAAGGTGACAAGATGATTCAGGAGTGCAGTCTGGAGAAGAACGAGGTAAAACTCACACATGATAAAGTATTTTAACATTTTCCCAAGTCAGTTTTGTTGTTTATATTTTAAAATCTCTCCAAATCAGAGGGCCTGCATTGATTTTGCCATCAGCGCCAAGCCGATGACCCGCTACATGCCCCAGAACAGACAGACCTTCCAGTACAGACTGTGGCACTTTGTGGCCTCACCTTCTTTTGAGTACACGGTGCTCGTCATGATCGCTCTTAACACTGTCGTCCTGATGATGAAGGTAAGTCATTCTGACAATAACTGTGGGAAAACACACTTTCTTGTGCTTTCTGGTTTTTATTTCATCAGTAGTCATGAGCAACAATTAAAATATATTTCCAAAAAAGTTCAATCTGGTCCTCTGGACATTAAAAAAAAAAAAAAAAAAAAAAACAGAGGTCCAGATTGAATTTTTGTGGATTTTTCTACCTGGATTATTGAGCATGCATCAGGATAAAATATATTTCCTTATTTTTAGTGGCTTCTAGCTTTGTTACATCTCATATTGTAAAATAATGTTTTTAACTCAAATTTTGCTTGAAATCAAATACATTAAATGCCAGATACACAAGCCTACAAGTGTTTCAAAGCTGTTTTCAGCACAGTGTTGCTTGTAATACATAATACAAAATTTGGGAAACTCCTGTGGAAAGCCATATAGCAACAGATGTATTTTATTGCTGTATTGTTTAATAAATGTGTAAGTGGTTACATTCCATAAATGCCTCTTTTTGTTATAATACCTAAAACTGATGTGAAATGTACTGCGATTTATCTCTGCTGCAGAAAATATTTACAATACAGTAGTCCCTCATTTATTGTGGGTGTTAGCTTCCAAACCTCACCCCCATACTGAGAGAAAACTACAAAGTGGTGGTGCCTGTCTGCAGTATTTTATTTTTTAACTTTTTACTTTACAGTACAGTATCCAGTACTGTCCCAATCACATGAGTAATATTAAAGTTGAATCATGTGCCCTGTACAAATATTTTTTGTGCAATATTATTGACTTTACATTCACAGACCGCGATAGAGCGAGTCTGCAACAGTCGAACTGCGAAGTAGCGAGGGACTCCTACAAAAAAGCATAAAAATTTGATTTTGTTAAAGATTTTTGTTTGGGGGACATTGTGGGTTATTAATGCCCAGCGGGTTCTGAGTTTTATGCAGACTGTGCAGAAACAAAATCTGGAGCAACATCTGGAGTGAAGGAGTTAAAATATTCTTTATGAACATGTTTCTGACATTTTGTCCCTTTTACTGGTTCAGTACCACTCGGCTCCAACAGCATATGATGCCGTCCTAAAACACCTAAACACAGCCTTCACTGTCCTCTTCTCCATGGAGTGCATACTCAAGATCATGGCTTTTGGTCTTGTGGTGAGTGTGAACGCAGCAGAAACTTTCGAAACCTCAAAGAAATTTAGAACAAAACAAAGCAACAAACGTCTGGGTTTTTTTTTTCTTTCTCGGCAGAACTATTTTCGAGACACGTGGAATATTTTTGATTTTATCACCGTTCTCGGCAGCATCACGGAAATAATTGTGGATTTGCAGGTGAGACAAGTCCTAAAAGCTCATTAGTGTCAAAGGGTTTTAACCTATTAAAGACATAACAGACAGCTCTAAACACAGCATGATTTCTTTGCAAGATTTTTGTTGTTGTGTGTGTAAGTGTGTGTGTTATGATCTCTGCCTCCAGAGACGGTTTAAGTCATGTTGTGCTGAATTTTACCATCTGTGATTTTACTTCGTGTCTTTCCCGTCTGGCTGCCACTCTTCGCCCGTGTCTCCCTCCCTCTAACTGCTCGCTCTTCTGTCCCAGTCGGTGAACACCATCAACATGAGTTTCCTCAAGCTTTTCCGGACAGCCAGGTTGATCAAGCTGCTGAGACAAGGCTACACCATCCGCATCTTGCTGTGGACCTTCGTACAGTCTTTCAAGGTCCGACAGCTTTTGTTTTTCTTTACTGTTAACGATGCATGCGACAAATGTTCTTTATTTCATTACTGTATTCCTCTCTGATAGGCTCTACCTTATGTCTGCCTGCTCATCGCCATGCTTTTCTTCATCTACGCCATTATTGGAATGCAGGTATAGGTTTGCTAATATGTGCAAAACTTCTGAAATGATCATTTTTATAAGTTTAAAAAAAAAAAAAGGTTTTCATTAGATGAATAAGTAATAAGTACATTGCATCTTATCACACAATTGTTAAACGATTTATTGTGAAATTAGAGGTTTTGGGGGAAAAAAAATTGTAAACTGAACCATGTTGAAAATACATTTATATATAACTGAAATTATATTGTTTATAAGAATGCAACTGGTTCAGAAAAAGTTTGTTTTACAAAAACATACATTTTGTGAATTTAATTTCATATCGTTGCTGTCACTGGATAGCCACATCTAACATCCAACAATTTTATTTATCACAAATACAAACTATACAAGCTGCAACAGTTTCAATATCAGTGCTGAGTAACAACAAAGGTGAAATCCCTGTAGGCCTATCCCTCTAGAAGACACAACAAAATAAAATTAAAAGAAATTTAAAAAGTAGTATTCCTTGAAAAATAAAAGCAAATTTCCCAATGCCTTCCATGTTAATATTTAAAGCAAAGATATCAGTTGACCTGTTGGGCTCAGTGTATGTGATGGAGATGACTCTCTGCTACAACCACACCAAATGTTATATGTTATGTTAATATAGCCATTTTTGTGTTTGCTAATGTCAGGTAGCTGTGGTGGCCCTTTTGAATCAAGTTGAATCCAAAAGTTCATCAGTCTAAGACGTGCATTCAATGATGACTTTTGAGAGTTTGTTTAAAATCCATCAAGTGGTTCACATATTTTGCTAACAAACACACACACACACATACATTCTATTGCATTATTGCCCAGTTTTCTTGACACAAGTCATACTAATGTATTCAATAGTGGGGGAGTGGTGGCGCAGAGGTTAGAAGATGGGCTTGTGATCGGAAAGTCGCAGGTTCACCTCCCAGTACCGTCAACATCAAAAAGTGGGTGGAAAAGGTGAAACACCCACACCTCCCTCCACCCTCCTTCGCCCCACTCTGGGCCCCTGAGCAAGGCCCCACCATCTGCTCCCTAAAACAGGTCTCTCTTGAAAATGAGTTCTCGTGGCTCAGTGAGACTACCTGGATAAATAAAAGTTAAATGAAGGGGTCACCGGGACCATACAAGTTTATATATATATATATATATATATATATATATATATATATATATATAATACACCTGTATTGCTCACAGACTGTGAACATCTGACCTTTTTTAACCTTTATTATTTGCATAATTAGTAAACTTTATTTATACAGGTAGTCTCATTGAGCCACGAGAACTCATTTTCAAGAGAGACCTGTTTAGGGAGCAGATGGTGGTTAAGGGCCTTGCTCATAGGCCCAGAGTGGGGCGAATGAGGGTGGGGGCAAGTGTGGGTGTTTCACCTACCCCACCCACATTTTTGATGTTGTCGGTACCAGGGCTTTAACTAGTGATCTTCCGATCACAGGCCCACCTTCTCTAACCTCTGCGCCACCACTCCCCCTATAGGCCTACATCCGAGGCCAAACAGGGGAGTCAGAATCAGATAAGCCACAATTGTTGATTTTCTTCAGGCAGCCTGTTTTTTCTTGTCAGCCTTGAGTCCTGCTTGAACTTTCCAGATCCAAAATGGCCAAATTTATGGGCATTCCATTGATCCGTGCTATGAGCCTTTGTCAAGGTCGACTCCAACAGGCTGGCGAGTCCTAGAGCCGCAGGTAGCCTGCGATTCTCACAAATCACTTCCATCTTACGGTTTAGCTCATAAATTAGCTGATTTTGAGTACTCATAGCACAAACCAAACATTCTCACAGACTTGGCAGTTGTGTCATGGCCAAAACTTCTGCTGATTTCTTCTTCAAAAGTCGATAATATAGGGACCCGCTGATGCCAAAAAGCAGAAGCCCTGCTATCATGAATCCTATTATATAAATGTCTTCAACGTCCTCCTGAGACAGAACTGAAAGACGCTTCAGCTGCCAAACTCCCCACAGATCCCTGGTGTACCCTGCAGCATGAGTCTTGGCAGGACATGAGGGTTCTCCAGGACCATGTCATTCTGTTGAAAAGATTTTTTTTCGATTGCGCTGAAAGTCTAACTCACCAGATCCATAATGATATTTTTAATTCGGAAGATGTGCACCAGGAGCCCCGAGACACACAAAGAGACCAAAAAGCAGGAGGAAGAGGAGAACAGGAGAGGGAGAGGAGAAAGTGTTCGCCTTGAACGAGAGCAGAAAAATATTACATTATTATCCACAATAGTATTATATTGGGGGAGTGGTGGCGCAGAGGTTAGAAGATGGGCCTGTGATCGGAAAGTCACAGGTTCAACTCCCGGTACCGTCAACAACAAAATGTGGGTGGAAAAGGTGGAACACCCACACCTCCCTCCACCCTCATTCGCCCCACTCTGGGCCCCTGAGCAAGGCCCTCAACCCCCACCATCTGCTCCCTAAACAGGTCTCTCTTGAAAATGAGTTCTTGTGGCTCAGTGAGATTACCTGTATAAATAAAGGGTAAATGAAAAAAATACATATATATATTATATTAGCATTTTAAAACATTAATGAGTCCTTTTAATGGATATTTGTTGCACTGATTTAGTTAGGTTTCATGTGGAGATTTCAAAGCAAAGTTTGTGGTCTGAAGCATCTAAAGTGTGATATGATACCAGGATGATTTGTCAGCGTAGCCAATCTTTTTTTCTTCAAGCTCACCAAAGCATCCTGTTTTCTTCAGGTGTTTGGAAACATCAAGCTGAACGATGAGAGTCACATCAACCAGCACAACAACTTTAAGACCTTTTTCAGCGCACTGATGCTCCTGTTCAGGTCAGCTTTATAAAAAATATATAATATCGGGTGAAATTTAATTCAACCAGCTGAAGATGTTGAACGACTGATTGTTCAAACTTCCAGGAGTGCTACAGGTGAGTCCTGGCAGGAGATAATGCTGTCCTGTTTGTCGGGACAAGGGTGTGAACCGGACCCCTCCATCGCCCCCCTCACCATATCTCCAGACCATGAGGGTGGCTGCGGCACAGACTTTGCTTACTGCTACTTTGTCTCCTTTATCTTCTTCAGCTCATTCCTGGTCAGAACAAAAATGAACCGGAATATTTCACAACAGCTAATCTTCCGAATCAGTTCATCCTCTCATTTGTTGTTTTTTTTTCCTCAAATTTGTTTAGATGCTGAATCTGTTTGTGGCTGTGATTATGGATAACTTTGAGTACCTGACTCGAGACTCCTCCATCCTGGGCCCTCACCACCTAGATGAATTTGTCAGAATATGGGGGGAGTACGATCGACTTGCATGGTGAGCCTCAAACCTCGTTTATATCACACAAGTCCAATTTGTGGAGCAGATCGACATCGATTTTCTGTTTTTATCCAGCAGAGGGTAGCCGAAGAGCATGAAATTCACAACTATTTAAATCCATCTATCCATTAAGTATCTTCACATGCTTTTTCCATCTTCTCCACCCTAATTTAACATATCACAAGCTGATGATCGTCCAAATTCACCATACTGAACGCCAAGCCCTTCTAAACAAAAACTGACCTGCCTTCACTTTTTTACTTTGCGCCTGTTTTTCTCTGAAGTGGGCGTATTCACTACACAGCCATGTACGAGATGTTGACACACATGTCACCGCCACTGGGCCTGGGGAAAAAATGTCCTGCTAAGATCGCCTACAAGGTACTCCAACCATCAGGACTGTTTTAGTTTAAATGTGGAGCAGCCAGATACTGTAAAATGGAATCTGTATGTTTGTTTTTGGGCATATGGTGTGTTAGGAGTGATGAGGATGTAAAGGTCATGGATGTTTTTCACTTACTAATGTCAGATGTTATAGAACCATGTGTGTGAATTAGAGTTGTTTTGTCTGAACAAAGTGGAGCCTGCAGGAGCACGGAGGCTGCGCACCTGATAAACTTCAAGACTCCTAAACTGGAAAGCAGTGTTGTCTTGACTGCACCTTTTCTGATAAGTGTATAAGTTGACGCTCCTTTATGCGATCCATGAGCAGACCTTGTGATCAGGGTGGCGTATAACATCTTGTAACCCTGTTTCCAATTGCTGCTCCCCTTGCAACAATTAAAACCTGGGTTGTAAAGATTTTCTTTCCTGTGTGACTCCTTTATTTAATGAGTTGATGATAGGCTAATTAAATGATCCAACAAGGAGGATTTATTATGTAACCTTATGTGCACTTGGTTTAAAATGTTACTTAAGTTACTCACAGAATGACTATAGTAGAAGTTAATTGTCCTTCTTTACTTCACCTTTTTGTCTCTCTCAGAGGCTGGTGTTGATGAACATGCCCGTAGATGAGGACATGACCGTCCACTTCACCTCCACTCTGATGTCACTCATTCGCACAGCTTTGGACATCAAAATAGCTCGAGGTCAGGACAGCTGTGTCTCATAAACAAAATGCCATTAAAATAAATTTCATTTTTACTTTTAAATTTTGAAAGCAAAACGGAGGCAAAACCTTTTCATTCAAAATGTGCATGGATGTTTGTCCCAGGTGGTGAGGACCGTGTTGCTCTGGACTCGGAGCTGCAGAAGGAGATCAGTATTATTTGGCCTTATTTGCCCCAGAAGAACTTGGACCTACTGGTACCTATCAACAAAGGTCTGGCTCTAACTGTGAAGGCAATTTCCAGTGTGCTGCTGAGACAAATGAGCAGTGACACTTAATGAAGTGTGTCTGCCCTCGCAGATACTGACATGACGGTGGGGAAGATCTACGCTTCGATGATGATAATGGACTACTTCAAACAGAACAAAGCCAAGAAACTCCGGCAGCAGCTGGAGGCTCAGGTCAGCGCAGTCGGTTTCTGTACACTTTAATTTGAGGGAAATGCATTTTAATTTTGGCAGACATGAAAACCCATTCCCAAAAGGTTGAACAGGGTGAAAAATGTTAATAGAAGTGGAATTTTGAACGTATCCAATGTTGAAAATGACCATTTGTCACAAATTGAAGTGTAACATACTGCAACAATTTTTTAATACAATTTGCAAGATTTTGGAAACCGAAGGAAGACACCTGCTATATTTTAAAAGACAAATCCACAGGTGTCCTCACCTTTTCTTGACAATGATGGTTAGTTTACGCAGCCATGTTCTAATGTGAGCTGAATGTGGTTTGACATTGTCTTGCTGAAGTAAGAAAAGCCTCCCCTGATTTCTGAATGGCTTTTTTTCCTTCTAATTTTAAGTGCATTCAGAAATTTGCAAGCTAAATGCACTAATACAACTCAGTACACTGATAGGCATTCTGTGCTCCTTTAGAGTGTTTAGAGTTTAGAAACTGTTTAGAATATTGTTATCGTGGGTTTTCAGGGTACGGATAAAAAAAAAAACTTGAACTTTTAGATTTGTCAACCCTCTGGACGGATCAGTCTCAGTGCATCCTCAGTGATTGTGGGCCCAGAGGATGGGTCCTGTATTTAGTCTGTTTTGTGTGTTTTTGTCTCACTCCAGAAGAGCAAGTTAATGTTTAAACGTCTGGACGCCTCCACTCTCCCTGAGGATATTCTGTCCAACACCCAGACACTACCGATGATGGCCCACAGTGCTGGTTCAGCCCTGTGAGTCAGCAAGTGTGTGCAGAATTGTTGCATTCTTGTGCAGCGATGCTCATGTTTGTTTTCTGTTTATCCTCCTCCCCTCACCCCCTTCAGGACCAGAGGAGGCTTCGTAGCTCTGAGCCCCATCTCACCACAGGAATTGTTTCTGCAGCCCATAAGCTCAGACGTGGACGCAAGTCAGCAGCAGAATCTGGTGAGACAGTCGATCAACACTGATATTTAGAAATAAATTAAATTAAAAGATTAAACAATAAAAAAGCAGAGCGTTTTTGTATTTTTTTTTTTCAATTTTTTTTGTGTAAATCTGCAGATTTACACTTCCCACCTGAGAGCTAGGATGCTTTTCGAAAAGCACTTTTTTATAGTGTCTCGTATAAAAATGTCTTAAGATGCTGTTTTCTCAGGGCCTTGCAGAGCACTGCACATCTGTTCTGTGTGCTCCATGTCTTTTAGTTTTGTGCAGGGTGAAGCTGCAGAGGCAGACTGTCAATCTGTTGGTGTGTTGCTGTGTCTTTACTGTCTGGTTTTACTGGTCCACACTGCCTGCCTGCCAGTTGAATGAAATCAAATTATGCTGAAGCACTTTTATGTGAGTGTGCATATTTGGCCCCTGGAGATGTTGTAGGGCCCTGGGTGTGTAGCACTGAGGACTCGATTGTGCATGACTGAATGAACTTCCAGGCTGAAACATAAAGTCCATTTTACCTGTAAACTTTTGTGCTTGCAGTCTAGTCGTGTTCTTCACTCTGAGCTCCTCGTTTTCACCCTCACTCTGTTCCTTATTCCCCTAAAAGTCAGTTTTCTTCTTGTTGTTAGTTAATAACCCCTCCGTCTTTGGTTGTAATGGCTTCTGATTAGAGGTTATTGAATTGGTTTGCACCCCCCACCCCACCCCCAGCTGAGCTGGGTGTCCATTTAATCAGGCAGTCCCAGCAGGGATGAGCCTGAATGCTGCTCTGTTTTTCTTTGCCCTCCTTTTTTTGTTTTTGTACTCACCTAGGTGGGCGAGTGCTTTTGGGGGATTGGTACCCCACTGGAGCTTCCACTTGGGAGGGGCCCGTGTGTGCGGGCCTCTTCCATGCCCCGTCTGGCTGTAGAGCTGCAGGTACACACGTCTTCCATGGCCTCTGGGATGAATCTCATGGATTTCAGCGGGTGCATGGTCTCTTGCATCGTTCAGTTTGTGCACGGGTTGCTTCAAGGTCAGATTCAGAAGTTCAGACGCTGCTTTCAGAGGTCGGCTGAGGTTCAGGAAATTGTCAGAATAGGGTGTCGGTCCTGAATGCTCATGCCTCAACTTGTCTTATGTTCATCTCTTTCATCCCCAAAACAGAGGACAGACTAAACTACACCCACCAGGAATGCCTTGCACTTTTGCACCAAATAAAGCATGAAAATGTTGGTCTTAATAGTTTTATTTTTTAATCTTTCAAATGTAACCTGATATTTTCTTTATGCCTCCTGTGCCTCCGTGTTTGTCTGATTTTGTTTGTTTTCTGTTTCACACACAAGCAGACAGAGGTTAGAAGTGGATCCATGAAACGGTCGGTCTCCACAGTCGCAGATCAACGTGTAAACGGACTCTGGCAGGAAGAGAAAAGTCCTGAGCGAGTGTATCGACCTCGTCACAAAAGCTACAAGGCTGCTGGTGAGTCCCGTTCTTCACGCTCTGTGTTGAGAAAACACATCGTTGAGAGACGAACCTTAAATTATGTTGGTTTTATGCATCGAGTACAATTATTTGGCAATGAAATAGTCTCTATTTTTTCATCTTTGTATTAGGATAATTTAATATTATGCTTTGGCTGATTAAATAAATATGCCACACACGAATGAGCAGATCATTTTCTTAATCCCAGTTTAATCTTGCAGCAGCTCCACTCTGTCTAGACAAACCAACCCTTAACACACACACGGTTCATGTACATTTGACACTAATAAGTGAAAAACATCTGTGACCTTTCACATCTCCATCACTGTGCACATTTGTCAAATCCAAATGATCAAAAATAAAGGATCAAAAGTTTTGAGGTTAAATTAATTTTAAATGAGACCTGGCTTTCTCCCCTTCTACCTGATAGTTGTTTACTACTATTTAAACTACTTCCACATACTTTGCACTATTTCAACCTTTTATTTATCAAAACACCATAACTTTTACTACAATTTTTTGGCTTTTGCTACATTTTTTTTTCTAAATTAATTTCTAAATTAAGGTTTCTCTTTGCATTTTAAAGGGGATGGGCGAGCTTGGTGGTCAGTGCTGTGGTCTTGTAATACTGAGGTTACAGGTTTGAGCCCAGGTTGCGTTAAAGAGGGCATCCGACCTAAACCAAATTGCTAAATCTTTCATATAAGTTTGTTCGCTGTGGCAACCTGTGAAAAAGAGAGCAGCTGAAAGAAACTGCATTGCAATTTAAAAAAAAAACATTTTAATTTGGTCTCTTCAAAAAATTGACGACAGTGTGATCCATTTGTTTGGAAGTGGGATGTTGGAAAACCATCTTCTGACATATTTTTATACAGAAAGTGTTGAAAATAACCCGGCTGCTGCTAATTTATTTTATTTTATTTTTGCTGTTGATTTGCTGCTAATGTTCAACATGATTTACTTTAGTTCACTTTAAAGCAGACACAAAAACCCATATACTTTGTAGTAATACATTATTTTTACTTGTTTTTTTATGTATAATTACCCAAATTAATTGAACAGTCCCAAAGTCAAAAGTCCACCCCAGTTACAAACGCTGAATTTCAACTTCTTGATCTTGTTTTAGTCTGGAATTATAGGTTATTAGATTGATGGTAACTTGAATTTTGTCTCATGCGATGGATGACCTTTTCATGCATCACTTCATATTTTAGACTTTCATTGGTGTTGTTCTCTCCTGAATGTCCTGCAGTGTCTCGTTCTGAGCACAGAGAGCGTGGCCGGTCTAAAGAGCTTTGCCACCTCCTGTCTCCTGACACGTCTCGATGCAACTCAGAGGAAAGAAGCTTGCAGCCTTCGCGATCCTCCAGCGCTGAGAGAGAACATCCGCAGGATAAACGGGTAAGACAAATACATGAAATCAGTGGCAGGTACAAGAAGCAGAGCTGCTTCACCTTATTATACTGCAGAGTTCTGCTGGGAGGAGCTGCCTTTCATATACATGCATGTTACTTTGACACCACACAACTAAACAGCTTTGTTAACCAGTTTTAATGACAAAAAGGGCACTTGTTTGATTTTGGCATCCACATTTTAATGGCTTATTTGTGTGTAATCTGTTGACCCCATAGAGCAGACGTAAGCAAAATGTTTCAGTGTCATAAAATATAATATAGAGCATAAAACATATAATTATAAATATTTTGTTTTATTTTTCCAACTGACAGAAAAAAACTTGAACCATTTTCATGCAGAATGCAAAAAAACCCAAAACTTATTAATTTACTCTTGTTTTCTTCATAGCTACATCTTGAACTTGTGAGTAGCTATAAAGAAAAACATTTGCTAACTGACTAAAATGGTAAATGGACTGTACTTATATAGCGCCTTTCTATCTTATCAAGATACTGAAAGCTCTTTACACTACGATCTGTGCCCTCATTTACACATTTATACAGCACTCTACTATATTTATACAAAGATTAATCAGCGCTTTATCACATTCAAACACCAATGGGACACACATTGGAGGCAATGAAGGCTTCAATGTCTTGCCCAGGGACACTTAGGCATGTGACTGCTGGTGGAATCGAACCCCCAACTCTTGCAATGGAGGACGACTGCTCTAACCACTCAGCCACAGCCGCCCCATAAAAGAAAATGTTGCACAGGGGGTAAAAAATCCTACAAGTTAGCAGTTATCCTAGATGGACTAGATAAACTTTGTTGTGTTTTTATTCCAAAATGAAATGAAATGAAAGTATTTTTGTTTCATCCAGGGCAACAGTTCAGACAGCCCAGTTCCCTCCACCTCAGAGTCCAGCACACCCAGCGGCCGGCGACCTCTATCACAGACCCCGACCCGATCCCACCCTCACATCTCCTACTCCCCGCTTGTGTGTCGCACCCAAGCCTCGGCTGAGGAAGACGAGGATGAGCAGGGCAGCCCGGAGACTGTGAGGCGGGGCAAGTCCAAATGGGACACCCAAGAAGGAGCTGCAGGGGAGAGTAGGAGCGAGGCCGGCAGGCACTCGTCCCCACCCCGACGCTACCCCTCTGAGCCTTTCTTGGCCTCGCAGGAGGACGACCACAGCCCGGACCCTACCGGTCCCATGGAGACGTTGACCTTCGAGGCGGCTGTGGCCTGCAGTTTAGGGCGCGCAAACACCATTGGCTCAGCCCACCCACGCTGGCGGACGGGGTGGCAGGTCCCCAATGGACACTTTCGGAAGCGTCTGGTGCAGACGACCTCAACGTCAGGCTGCGACCCTCTGAGCGACACAGAGGAAGATGACCGGTGCTAGAGACAGGAGACGCTCTGCATCTGTCTCGTTTTGCCTTTTCAAGGCTGTCCAAAATAACAAAGACTAATACTTCCTGAAACTGTAGTTACCGATTCACACAGAACACTGACAATCAATAAGGTTTATTTCCTGACTTGTACTTGATGATACAGAGTAATAATGCATCTCAAGTAGTTGATGAGGACCGAAAATAAATCCCATTAAATGGACCAGATCGTTTCATTTATGTCAATAGGTATTTTGATTTCTGAAAGTGTTTTTTTTTTTTTTTTTTAATGAATCAGTGCTTCTCTGAACAGTATTTTCTGTGGGGTGTGTGAATATGTAACTACATATTATAAATTGTTTTGTAAATACATTGTGATCATCTCACCACTGCCATTTATGAAACCACATTGATGCAACAAGCCATCCTGAAGAGGCAATCAGAAACTTTACCAGACAGTGATATTATAATAATAAGAGACTCTATAATGCTGGATTTTTTTACACAATGAATATATGTGCAGGGGATTGACTACCTGATTTCCCATTGTTGTTTATTAGATTTTTTTTCAATTAAATATAATTTCCAAGCTCTGAATACAGTTATAGAATAACACATAAAAGATGCTTTTGTAATTTTATTTGGCATTGTTAAACCATGCCTCCACCAAACCTGAAACCTTAATAATTACTTGATAGTAAAAGAGTATTTTTTAAAACCTTTAAATAAAAATGCATCCCCAATGAAAAAACACTTGCTCTTTTAAAACCATTCCACCTATTTTCACGTTTTGAAATTGTGAATATCATATGAGCCGCTGCAGACAAGGACTGCAGAAACATTCCAGAAACACGTTTTGCATTTTGTTTCAAAGTCCACATTGCTCTAAGACTTATGAATAATGTACAAAGAAGTTATGCTGTTTGTGACATTTAGAGAAGAAACACAGTATCAGCTGGCAAACTTTAAAGGTAATGGAATCCTGGGAAATATTCACCTTAAGGTTGTGTTTTGTTTTCTTTGACAGAAGTGGGCAAAATCTGTGAAATTTAATTAACCAAAAGCATTGTATTATACAAACCAGGAATGCAAATATTTAGTTGGTTTTTATGTGTACAATAGCTGTATATACTAGTAAAAGTGTACTCAAGTTGACATTGTGGGTTTTTTTTGTGTTTTTTTATTTTTTATTTAGCTAAATAAAATGTTCCAATAAGTACTAATAATAAGTGTCGCAATAACAAACCAGATATAAACAAGTAGCCCACAATCTGTGTGGTGCAGTATGCAGATATGGAGGTATTTAATTAAATTCAATTCCATTCATTTATATAGCGCCAAGACACAACAGAAGTCGTCTTGGAGCACTGAACAAAAACATTCATATGTAAAAATAAGTTAACACTATTTATCTGAGGAGCAGACTGCTTTGAGTTTAATTCCATCACAGTCACTTATCTTGAGCAAGCATGAAGGCGACAGTGGAAAGAAAAAAACTCCCTCATGAGGAAGAAACCTCCAGCAGAACCAGGCTCAGGACAAGCGACCATCTGCTTCGACCAGCTGGGTTTGGTAGGAACGGGAAGGAGGAACAGATACACAATGGCAGGTCAAGAATCACATGTTAAGATAGAAATAGTATCAAATGAAAATGATTCAATTTTAGCAAATCATTTAAGGAAATTAGGTCAGTTTCTTGTTTAGTAGTCGACGCTTAAGACAGCATGACAAGCCAACCCTAATTATAGGATTCATCAAAAAGGGAAGTCTTAAGCTTAAATTTTAAGATATTTTGCCCAGAATTTTTATAAAATTATTAAGATTCTCTAAACAACTTTTTCTCTCTCGGACAATCTAAAAAACCTGAAACATGTTTGCAGGTCACTGGACATGAGAAAGTTAAGGATCTGCAACCTTTGGCTCGGGGGCCAGATGTGGCTCTCTGGAGCTTTGGTTGAAACAAACGTAGACATAATTTGTGTTTAAATTTGTAACCACACTAGAAAAACTACAGAAATATATGGCAAGATATTCAAAGAACGTTGAGAATTAGAATTTATTGCTTTTCTTTGATAAAAACTTTGAATACAATTGCAAGAGTCTGCCTTTGTGATAGGATATTTCTAAAATCAGAGTAAATATCCAACACACAGAACCTATCTTTGTTTATTTCAATGTAGGATAGTTGTATTATTTTCCACAATAATAATAATAATAATAATAATAATAATAATCAAGGACTGATTTATACCGGCATAGATCATTATTTGATTTTTATCGAAGGGGGTCTACACAATAAACTTTTTTCTTCTTTGCTTGATATTTTTCTTTGTTCTAACATAAGATAACTGCACACAGTTCATTACAGATATTGAACATGTTATGATGTTATGAACATGAATAACCCCCACACAAATTCAGAATAATCCTTTTATTATGCTCAAAATGTTTCAATTACAAGGCTAAGTACATTTATGGCTTTGAAGTGTTGCAAATCACAGTATATACCAATTAAGCTGTTTTAACACAAAAAAGACTGTGTTAAAAAAAGGTGAAAAAAAAAAACACTATATTTTATTGTACATCAAAAATATGGTCTGTTAAATGAAAATGATTTATTTTTAATCATGTTATATAATTTACACAATATGTACAAAGAGGGATTTCAATCTCATCAAATGGAAAACCTTGACATAAAACCTAAAAAAAAAAATTATAAAAGAGTAAACATAGTTGTTTGTGTTGGGAGGATGTGCAGAAAATTAAGAAAGAGCAACTCGGCATTTTAAAATAATCATAATTATTTCAATTAAGCATTAAACCAGCCACCAGGAAGCACAAGCCAGTTTATCTCTTGTGCTGGTTTTAAGTCCAGGTAAATGGTGAGGGTTGGGTCAGGAAGGGCATCTGATGTAAATCACTTTTGCCAAAACTAATATGTGAGTTCCTCTAAAGAGATACTATACCAGATCAGATGAGGCCCGGGTTAACAAAGACCACCACCGGTGCTGTTGACGAACAGGGAACAGGCAGAAATTGTGCTACTGTTAGTCAAAGACCACGAGGAGGGAAACGTGTCAGGAGACAGAGGGAGAAGAGGAACGTGAAAAATGTAGGAACTGTGGGTGGCAACTTTAAATGTAGGGTCAATGACAGGTAAAGGTAGAGTGTTGGCTGACATGATGCAGAGAAGGAAGGTAGCTGTTTTATGTGGCCAAAAAACCAAGTGGAAGGGCAACAAGTATTGGAGCATTAGAACGTTTTTTCTTCACAAAGATGGCTTCCTTCACTCCTCTCTCAAACCAGTGTTCCTCTCTATCAAGGATGTGCACATCTATTTTCATCCCTGAAAGAGTGACTGCTGGCTTGCAGATCAATATAAACCACAGGGTCCTGGCCTGAGCTTGCTCTTCTGTGTCGGGCCATCCTTTTGGCCAGTGGCTGTTTAGTCCTCCTGATGTATAACTGATCACAGCCCTCCTGGCCTGAAGAGCATACACAATATTACTCTGTTTGTGTCAGGAACTGGATCATTCATTCAACCTTTTTTATACAGGTTAGTCTCATTGAGCCTTAAGGACCTGTTTTAAACAAATAATACAGATGAGGTACAGATAACAATAGACAATCATATAAAAAAGCATATAAAATGAAAATCAATAAGAAGAAATTATATAAAAACAAGACAAAAGCAGATACATTTAATATACATAACTGTCAGAGTCAGCCTCCCCACCATCACGGACATCTACACCTCTAGATGCAGGAAGAGGGCCACCTGCATCATGAAGGACCCCACTCACCCAGCACACACACTTTTTGCCCCACTCCCCTCAGGAAGGAGGTTGAGGAGCATTAAGTGTAGAACCACTAGACTGAGGAACAGCTTCTACCCTGAAGCTGTTAGACTCATGAATCTCTAACTAGAATAATCACTGTGAAAAATCACATCATGTTGCTGCTGATCTGTTTCAATGTTGATGTGTTCATGCGTGCACATCCGCTCACACAGACTCATGTTCATGTTTGTGCTGATGTTCAATGTTTTTATGTTATGAGTGCTTAGTGTATATTTAGTTGATGTTTTTCTTAGTTCATATCTCTGATGTTATTATTGTTTTTCTTATACATTTTATTGTTGGATGTAACTGGGACCTGTGTACATAATTTCGCTCCACCACATGTACCACATGAGGTGCGAATGACAATAAAGAATCTCTGACTCTGACTCTAATTTTTTTATATTTTGAAACTTTATTTTTGTACCCTTATTGCATGCTTTAGTATATTCTTGTTTGTTCTTTGTTTTTACAGTAAGTCCAATTGGTTGTTCTCATCCTGAACATTTCATTGTACTGTTAACCTTGTGTTAACCTGCATATGACTAATAAACACAACTTGCACTTGAACTACATTATAAAGCGATGCAAAATACTAAAAACAGGAACATATCTGCATTGGTTTTTCCCATGAACTTAACATTTAAAATTACTTAGAGTCAAGTCACAGCTGATGTAACCGGTTCCTTTCTGTGTTTTTTTTCATTCAACCTTTATCTAGACAGGTAGATCCCATTGAGCCTCGAGGACTCATTTACAAGAGAGACCTGATTTCAACAAAGAATGATGACAACAGGTGGTTTTGCAGGTTATTAATGAAGGATTAGACCGTGACACGATTTTTCTTGGGAATGGATGGTTTCTCAGATTATTATGACAAGTAAAACAAACAAAAAACTATCATGTTATCGGCTGCCCGCTCCCAGGTCAAGGTCAAGGTTTCTTTATTGTCATTCACATCATATGCAGGACATGTGGTGGAACAAAATTGTGTACACACAGTTACATCCAACAAAATTATAAATTGTAAAAAAAAAAAAACATAAAAAAACAGTAATAAGATCTAAGATATGAAGAATGCACTAAGCACTACTAGTACAGAAACAATATTGCTGAACAACAGCAGCATGAACATGAGTCTGTGTGAGCAGATGAGTACGAATGAACACAGCAGCATGAGATCATCAACATGGATAGTCAGCAGCACATATATCAACAATCAAATGGTATTACAGGGATTTTTTTTTCACATTGATAATCCCGATTAGGGATTCATGAGTCTAACAGCTTCAGGGTAGAAGGTGTTCCTCAGTCTAGTGGTTCCACACTTAATGCTCCTCAACCTTCTGCCTGAGGGAAGCGGAGCAAAAGTGTGTGTGCTGGCCAGATGAGTGGGGTCCTTCATGATGCAGGTGGCTCTTTTCCTGCATCTGGAGGTGTAGATGTCTGTGATGGTGGGGAGGCTGACTCCAACAGTCTTCTGTGCAGCCTTCACCACTCTCTGCAAAGCTTTTCTTTCTGCAGCTGTGCAGCCTCCATGCCACACGTTGATGCTGGAGCACAGGATGCTCTCCACTGCACACCTGTAGAAGGAGGTGAGGACTGAACTTCGCAGACCAGTTCGTCTCAGCCACCTGAGGAAGTAGAGTCTCTGATGAGCTTTCTTGATCAGGTTGGTGGTGTTGTTGCTCCAGATGAGGTTGTCATTCAGGTGCACACCCAAGTACTTGTAGCTGGAGACCACTTCCACTGCAGATCCTCCTATGTTCAGTGGTGGGGGGTGGAGAGGTTAGGTGTGTTTGTTCCGTCTGAAGTCCATGACCATCTCCTTTGTCTTCTTCACATTGATATGAAGGTTGTTCTTCCTGCACCAGCTCTCCAGGTGTTCCACCTCCTGCCTGTAGCCAGACTCATCATTGTTTTTGATGCATCCCACCACCGCTGTATCATCTGCAAACTTTACAATGTGACAGCCTGGATGGGTAGCTGCACAATCATATGTGAGCAGAGTGAACAGGAGAGGGCTCAGTACACAGCCCTGAGGGGAGCCAGTGCTGAGGGTTATGGTGGAGGAGGAGAAGTTGTGGATCCACAGACTGTGGTCTGTTTGTTAAAAAGTCTAGGACCCAGTTGCAGATAGAGGGGCTTAGTCCTAATGTGAATAGTTTGTCCATCAGGGTTTGGGGGATCATGGTGTTGAAGGCAGATGTGAAGTCCACAAAGAGCTTATGGACGTAGGAGTCCTTCTGCTCCAGATGGGTGAGAGCAGTGTGGACCACAGAGGAGATGGCGACCTCTGTTGATCGATTCTTGTGGTATGAGTACGGGTGAGGGTCCTCCCTGATGTTGATGGTTGTTTTGATGTGGGTCATAACCAGTCTTTCGAAGCATTTAGCGACTATCGGGGTGAGGGCTACTGGCCGATATTCATTCAGACCAGTCACTGCATAGCTCTTTGGAACTTGGATGATGGTGATGATCTTCAAGTAGGTGCACTGTTACCAGTGTGAGGGAGGAGTTATAGATGTCAGCCAGCACCTTGCAGAGCTGATCAGCCCATTCTTTCAGCACCTTCCCTGGGATGTTGTCTGGGTCAGTTGCCTTGTGAGGATTAATTCTCCTGAAAGTATCCCTCACTTCAGCTGAGGTCAAGCTGAGAAACTCTTCTTTTAGTGGTGAGTTGAGTCTGGTGCTGGGTGGTCTGTTCGGGTCTTCAAAGCATGCAAATAATTTGTTGAGAGCATCTGGAGTAAGAGAAGGCCCTTTTGCCAAGTACGGTCCGCACCAAGGGTCTATGGAATGGACCAGTCTTTGCCGTAATGTATTTTGGTTATATACCAATATATTTTGGTCATAATGCTCTCATTAATTTTTAGCATTCTGCATAGCTTTACAATCTAGCTGTTTTTGTTTCTTTTTTAATACCATTTTCCTTCATTTGTTCTTCTCAATTTGTATGCTTTATGTTATGATTGTCTACTGTTGCCTACTGTTTTCAACATTTTTTGTTAAAATCAGGTCTCTCTTGTGAATGAGTCCCCGGTGCTCAATGGGACTAACCTGTAAATAAAGGTTGAATGAATTAAAATTCAAACGAAACAGTGACTTTAATTTTTCTAAGACATGACACTCCCATCCAGTTGGTGGCAGTATAGCACCTCAGACGAGCTCAGAAATAATACAAAAGAAGAAGAAAAGGGGGCGGAGCCAAAACGGGCTAGCAGGAAAACAAATTGTTTAGTGTTACTCACGAAGTTAAAAGGTGTAAATATTTTTTAACTTTGTCACCCAGATAGCTCATTAGGACATTTAAAGTTGCTGATGAAACATATGTTGCATAGAAATTGTATTTTTTACGAAGGACTGAGTGTCACTCATCGATAAAAAAGTAGCTAGCTGGGTTGCTAATCCGCTGTTAGGAGAGTTCTTTGTTATCCTTCAGGTCCGTGAAACAATAAAGAGAAGCTAGGTGGTTATAATCGGTGGAGTTTATTATGTATGTTAGTTAAATAATCATGCCACAAGCTTATTTGTTACTACAAAGCTAAGTACTTTAGCAATATTAGGAACATAGTACTAAAATAAATTAGCAACCGCGTACAAATAGAGGCTGACTTGCAATTTAAGCGTCGGCTGGAAAAGGACTGGAGACACTGAAATATGGGAAACTGTCTCAAGTCTCCAACATCAGACGACATCTCTCTGCTTCATGAATCCCAGTCTGACAGGGCGAGTTTTGGTGACGGGACAGACCCAGACCTGGAGCCGCCTCCTCCGTATCAGGTGAGAAGAAGATTAGAGAAATGTTCATAATATTTTTGTTTTCTTAAATGCTTTTTTTTTTTAATGTTTCTGTTTGATTGGTTTTGATTCAAGATCATTTCATTTTACTTTTTTGATGCCTGTTTTGTAATGTGTTCTTCAGTTTTTACAAATGAAAATGGGTTAAAATCTGGCCTATTCACATGGGCTTAAGTTTTCATGTTAATTAATATGCAATGACACTTTTCATTTATTACATATAAAAATGCTCATGTTGTGTTTTATTAAAACTTCCAGTAAAGGTTCCTGGATTCCAGTTAAATCAAAGAATGCTTCGTTAATAAAAGATTATACGATTGTACTTATTATTACGAGAAGGTTGTTTTTCTTTTAAGGACACCAGCTGTGTTTCTTCATTTATGCACAGTCTGACCTGTCAGACCACATTGTGTTGACATAGTGTGATGGTAAAGACAGAACACTGTTTTTGTTTCCTTGTTCGCAACCAGGAGCAGACTCACATGCCCATGTACCACCCTACACCCAGTCAGGCCCGTCTGGCCACTCAGCTGACAGAGGAGGAGCAGATCCGCATAGCTCAGCGCATCGGCCTCATTCAGCACCTCCCTAAGGGCGTTTATGATAGAGGACCAGACGGCTCGGAGAAGAAGATCAGAGAGTAAGCTTTATTTATGTGATGGGGTTAAACCAAGCAGATTTTGCAGAAGAAACACTAGAGCATGTGCTAAAGTTTTGTCACAACTTGTTCTTTGTTGCACTTCTTAAATTTTCAATTGATCAGCTTTGCATTAAGAGTATTGTTACTGACTTACCTTTTTTGTTTGTTTCCACCATCATTTTTTCTTCTGATTAGAATTTTTTGTTGTTTGGCGGTCTTGTCATGTAATGCTTTTTTTAAAGATAAGTTTTAAAATGTATAAATCAAACTTTTGGATGTGGTTTTCTGTGACGTAGTTATGAACAGTTATTGACTCACCTGCAGGAGACAGAAATCTATGCTGGATCAGTTTGTAAAATCAGAGAAACACTTACGTGGGAAATTTTACTGTGTATTGGTTCAAGTGAAAGCTTATGCATTCTTACCTTGTGCATTCTTTGTATCAGATAGTCCTGATGCATGCTCAAAATCCCATATACGGTAGATGAACCCAATAAGGTTGAGTCAGGCTTGACAAAAAAACAAAAACGGAACGTTTCAACAAAGAAGAATCCATCCAGAGGTCCTGACTCAACCTTGTTAAATTTGTATCAGATGGTTACTTACATAGATTTACTTACTTTAAGACATATGAAACATGGTTCATTGCAACACATTTTGTGTTAATTAGACCAAATCTGTGTAACTCTAATGCAAAGTTTATCAGGAGTAAGAAAACACAGCATTGCATTTGCTTGCACAGCTCTACAGTTTCCGAGGTTTGAGTTGCTATATAAAGTGTACATTTGCTCCTAAATGGGCCCTGCTCTGCTGTTCTGTAAACATTTCCCACTAACTGAGATCGCTCTGTTTAATGTCTGCTGCACATTACAAATGTGAACGCAGAACTACTCCACAAAAATCTTTCTAAATAATTTGCTACTGTTCATGTTCTTGTTGTACATTGCATTTGGCACTCAGCAGGGTGTTGTAACCTAATATTATTTAATACCCTGTGACTGATTAGTTATAATAATTTTGACTCCTTATAAATAATGTAAACTTCAGTAAGATTGATCTGTATTGCAACCTTTAAGGCCACAAAAAAATGAAATCAAGATGATACTTTTAAAATTAGGATTTCTGCATTTGCCTGATAAGTGAGCATTTATTATGTTTGTTTGTTTGTTTTTAGATGCGTGATCTGTATGCTGGACTTTGTTTATGGAGACCCCATTCGGTTTTTGCCATGTATGCACATCTACCACATGGACTGTATAGACGACTGGCTGATGAGGTCCTTCACCTGCCCCTCCTGCATGGAGCCCGTGGATGCTGCCCTGCTGTCCACCTACGGACCAACTGATTTCTCCCCCGATGCTTAGCTTAAACTCAGCCCCCTCCAGCACCCAAACCCAACATCTTCCCTCTTGTTGAGTGAGAGGAGCTAACAAAAAATGTGTTGGTTAGCTTGCACTTGGAAAATTTCAAACATTTATTCACCCAGCGTTGGCCTTTCCTGTCCCTCTCAGATCTGATGCTAATTAAGCTGGTCTTAAAAACATCAGTGACATGAGTCAGGCTGAACGTTTCCCCCCGCACCATCGTGTTTCTGCGTGTTGCGTTTTGCTGAGGCAGAGTTCAGTGTTGCTGCAAATGAAGAGTGAGCTGGATTTGTGTGTGTGTGTGTGTGGATTTGTGTGTGTGTGTGTGTGTGTGTGTGTGGAGGCTAAATGTTAAACGAGCATTTTCATCCGAGCTGGTCTCGGTGGCATTTCTCCACAACTGATCCCAGTTGGCCAAGAATCCGAGATAATTATCAAAATGGTTTTAAACGAACAACTACTTTACCAAATTACTGGTTCATATGCTAAAAAGTGTTACCAGACATCTATTAGATTATACCATTAAAACACTGATCTAATCAAAGTTAAAATGACCGTCTGTTTTTGTCGATATTGATATTTACACTTCTGGCGCTGAAGAAGCAGCGTTATCGCTCGCCGAATGGGCTGGGATACAAAAAATATGCACAGTTGCTACTTTAATTTTGGTCATGCATTCAAGTTGTGGAAGGAACACTGTAATTGTTACATGAATGTTTAATCAACAAGTGTGTACACGAACTGAAAGTCAGCGTAAAGGGCTCATTTGTGCTCGAGCAGGGGGGTCAGTCACCGAGTCAAACATTCAAAATGCTTGCACACTTCATCCAATCCAGTGATTTGCACTTTACTTATAGGACATTATCTAAAACAATATATTAATATATTTACCTTATAACCTTGCACTATCAAGACTTCATCCTTTTATCTCCTGAGATGCAGAAGTCATTTAGCTGATGGATATTTTCCATGCTGACAGTTGTGGCTTATACTGAGATGAGCCTGAAGATGCATTTCATAGAATAGAGCCTGCTTTGATTTTTCCCAATTTGATTTTAATTTATTTAGTCCTAAATGAAAGGACAGAGGCTTGTTTATGTTGAAAGAAATCGTTTGGCGCTTTATTCACTTGGACAGCAAGAGTTGGCTAAAATAACTCATTCTGTCACATTTACATTGTAGACAGTGAAATCTTAAAAAAAAGCAAAGGAACAGATAAGCTGCCACTTTTTGTAACTTAAAATGGCTGCCAGATAAGATGCGTTGTGTGTTTTTTAGTTTTTGTCCTTCAGCGTGAAACTGCTCCTGCATGTTTCCTCTGGAAACTTGGAAAAGTGACTAAAAGTTCCACTTTTATTGTATTTAAAATAAATGATTAGATTCATTTAGGCACGTAAATGTCTTTGTTTTAATTTACGTTAGCAGTAAATACATATGCTTTCCCTTTAATTTGTGATGTTTTGGCGGTTGTGTTGTCTTTATTTTTCCAGTTATTTGTGTGTTTGTTTCATGTTTAACCCACTACATATTTAGTTCATTTAATGGAAGGCTTATTTTGGGTTTCAAATTGTGCAAACCTCTGTCCTTAGAACTTTTTCTGATGGTGTGATAGTTGAAACATTTTTGATTTCCTCTTAGCTTTCCTTTGCTCTTTTACAATCTTAGTTCAACCTATATATATATATGTATATATATGTATATATATATGTATATATATATATACATATACATATATAGTAATGGTTTTATTTATCCTTTGGAAGGCTAAGCACTCATGTAAAACAATAAATAAGAGGAAAAACTATGTGTTTTTATTTAAAACATATTTTTCATATTAAAGGGGATCTACCCTCATGAGTCACTGAGGTGGCAGATTGATTCAAAGGTGATGAACTGTTATGAATGCACAACTGTTAAATAGTTTTTGGAGCCTTTCATTAATGCCATCCTAAAATCTGTCAGTGAAGTGGAAAGCGTGGCTGCATAATCAGTGCTCCTGGTTTCAAGTGCAGCAACGTGAGTCAACACTATATTGGCATTCATTAATGTTTCCTCCACTTGTATCGACTGGAAGAAACCTGTGACTGCTACGGCCTATTTAAGTGCACGTTTCAGTCCATAAAGTCATTTTGTTTTATATATTGAATCGTGTTTTTATGAAAGCAGAACTAAAGATGTATACTTGTTTTTTTTTGTTGTTGTTTTTTTCACAATAGATTAGAAATTAAAAACATCAGTTTGGTGAAGGTAATTGAACTCAAAAGGAACCCAAAAAAAGTTTTTTTTTTTACATAAATGATTAACTCTTAAACAAGAAATTAAAAAATATATTATAAATGTTTGATATATATATATATATGTGAATATGAATAATGTAATGTACACTATACCAATTATAGCCCCTTAACTACTTTGCACTGATTATTCTTAGAGAGATGTTTCACACACACATATATATATATATATATATAAATTCTAATAAAACAAGAAAATAAATGTCAGTCTTCTGACCTCAGGTAAGTTAACAGCACTTTTTTCACTTCCTGAAGGCAAAATGGAGCACTGGAATTATCAGGTATCAGAATTAAGCAGCTGCTACAAAACATCATGGGCAGAAATTCAACATGTGTTTGTATATATACATACATACATATATATATATATACATATATATATGTATGTATGTATATATATATGTGTATGTTTGTGTATATATATATATATATAATATATATATATAAGTAAGTGTATGTTCGTATATAGATGTATATGAATAATCATGTAATGTACACTACACCAATTATAGCCCTTTAACTACTTTGCAATGATTATTCCTAGAGGTATGTTTCACTTGAAATATATGTATATATATGTATATATATATATATATGTATATATATGTATATATATATATATATATATAAATTCTAATAAAACAAGAAAATAAATTATACAATGACAGAGAAAATACATTTTAGTCATTTAGGTAAGATGAAGTAAAATTTCAACAATTATAAAATGTATGAATACTATAAGTTTGTTGCTGAATTAACTTGGATTTCACAGTTTTCTTAAAAATGTCAAACATTAAAAACTGTTTTTTCTAAGTCAATAGTGTATTCTAAATTCTTATTCTCTTTCACAGAAAAGTTGTCCCGTCAAAAGACTTAAAGTAGCAGAGTGCAGCATGGAGTGATGTATAACAGATAAATGCTGTTAAAACCAATTAACAATCAGGATATTTAACTGATGCCAGCTTGTTATTATCAATAAATGTTGATTTTCTGCCCATGATGTTTTGTTGCAGCTGCTTTGTTCTGATACCTGATAATTCCTGTTCTCCGTTTTGCCTTTAGGAAGTGAAAAAAGTGCTGTTGACTGACCTGAGGTCAGAGGACTGACATTTAAGAAGTTTATATACAAGTTTTTAGTGACACATTTTATATTGTCATACATTTGTATTATGAAGCATTATCCAATCGGGTTGCAGGAATTTCTATAATTAGTCGTTATAGTAGTAAAGGTACTCATTGCAAACTATGAACTCAAATAACAAAGTCCATGCTCATTAATCCAGGTCCAACATTTTTCAGTCAGGTCATTTTGTCCAGATGACCTGACTGAAAAATGTTGGACCTGGATTATTGAGCATGGACTTTGTTGTTTTCAACCAGTTTGACAAGACAGTCAACAAGGAAGAGGCCTGGCAATGGAGAGAGGGTGTACCAAAGAGACCATCTTATCACAAGCAGAACTGGTTTGTTCCACTTTGGAGTAAGCTGTTGGGGGAAGAATCAGTTTTGTTGTGTGTTCCCTTGACTGATGAAGCCTTCTGGATCGAAGGCGAAATGTTTCAGCACAAAAAAAGAAACTGCCCAGATGACCTGACTGAAACATGTTGGGTATGAAATCAAATATAAAAATGTTATTCAAAATTATATTGAATGGTGAAGTTGGAAAGTTTGCTCCAGTAGATTTTCAAATAAAATTAGGCTGTGTACGGAATGCATTCAATGTAAACAAAACATGTTCAGCTGAATACTACACTCAAAAAAAATCAGAGCTTAAAAATATACCAAAACATCAAAATAGTGACAGTTCTTCATTCCAAACTGCTCCTTCATGGACGTTTCCAGTGTTCACCAATTTTCAGTCACTTCTGTCATTTCTGTAGCTAAAGAAACACACGAGCTGTTCACAAATTCTACTTACTTTTTAGTAAACCCCCCCCCAAAAAGGTTTTCCCAACAGAAGTTTTTTTTTTTTGCAACATGCCATTTAATTTTCTGCCCCCAGATTACAGATTAACACAGTTAATCAGCTTTGCAGTTTTGTAAGATCTGAATGCTTTCACTTCAGATCGTGAGTTGATGAAGCTGAGCTGCACACCGAGGACTCACGTAGAGAGGTCACTGGTTCTAAGACGACACTAATGAGATTGTGTTTGGTTACATATTCAATCTCTGCATTTGTTTTTGCTGAAGTCTGTTCATGATTGATCAAGAAAAATACTAACTAAAAAAAAACTAACATTGCATCTCAGTGATCAGCTTGGGGCAGCACTGTGGCGCCGCGCAGTTGATAGAGCTGCAGCCTCTTAGCTAGAAGGTTGCTGGATCAAATCCCGACTCAAGGCCTCTCTGGGTGGAGTTTGCATGTTCTCTCCGTGCATGCGTGGGTTTTCTCCGGGTGCTCCAGTTTCCTCCCACAGACCAAAAACATGCATGTTAGGCTGATTGGTAACTCTAAATTGTCCCTAGGTGTGAGTGAGAGAGTGAATGGTTGTTTGTCTCGTTTGTCTCTATGTGTCCCTGTGATGGACTGAGACCTGTCCTGGGTGTCCCCCGTCTCTCGCACAGTGACTGCTGGATATGGACACCAGTGATCTCACGACCCAGAAAGGAAGAAGCAGGTAAACATAATGGAAGGATGATCAGCTTGGGAACTGTCAGAAAATCTGAGCTTTGTTAGGAACATAAATATTATTTTATTATTAATGATCACTTCCTGCTGCTAAACGTAGGCAGCAAATGAACATGCTTAACTGGATGCAAGAAGTTATTTGTCTTGAAATGTTTAGGTTTTTTTAACCACATGCTGTTTTTAAGGACACAATGTGAACAAATCCATAAAATAATGGCCCCAAAGGCATTCAGGTACAATTGATTCAAATGAAAGCTCAAGATTTTCTTTTCTCTAAAACATTGGACTTTTCTGGCATAGTTTTATCTTTATTTATCATCTTTTTAATACTGAGAGGTGGTTGATAATGCTTGAGTGTTATCACGGCTTGTACATCCCATGAAAGGTGACGGGAATGGAGCACTCCACTTCTGCCCTGGCGATCTCGGACAGATCCTTGGCGTTGAGGATGAGGAGATAAGCTGGTCTCTGGGAACCAGGAGCCGCCACGATGGTCAGAAGGACACCTGTGGAAACAGCAGAAAACAGATGAGGTTAATAGTATTCTTAATTTTTAAAAAAATCTAAAAATAAAACAGATCACAGAAATAATTTTTGTGCTTTAATTGCTGCTGACTGACTTACCGTCATCCTCATCGACCCCTTCAGGAGCCTGCACAAACAGAGGCTCTGAGGGGTAAGATTCAGGTTCCTGCCACACCCACGTCTCCTTGGTCTTCACGTTCAGCTTGCAGATCTGCACAGAAATTAGAGAACGTCAACAAATGAACACGTTCGCCAACTTTCTTAGTTTAAATCTGTGGATTTAAGCTTTTACCCTGTCTGGGATGAAATGATTAAGACCCAGGCCGTAGGCGTATGAGTAGTTCTTCCCTCCGTACCCCTTGTAGTTAATCTGAGGAAACTCGAAGGCTAAAAAGAAAACAATGAAAGGTTACACAATGAAGATTCCCCTTCATAATATACCTATTTGTGTCCTAATAAATGTGCTGGCACCTTGGCGAGGTCCAGAGAACAGCACCTCAGGCTCAAGCCAGATCATCCCGTCGGCATGCATCGTAGCTGTGGCTGTGGTGTACGGCAGACTCACTAGATTCTTCCCCTGCTCCTCCTGCGTCTCATCCAAAGTACAAAAGGTGAGGTGAAAGACCACAAGCCTTCATTTGTGACACTTGTCTCCCCAATGAGGAGGACAGGCAGCTCACCTTGTGGACATCCAACGGGATGACGTATCTGCGCACCTCCGGCTGGGGCGCCATCATGGCTGCTTTCTTCACTTCATCCCAGTTGGCTCTCAGGTTGGCCAACCAGAGGTAGTTGTAAACAAATTCAAAACTGCAGGAAATAAATGATCAAATGTTTGCATCCAACACATCTGCAAATCACACAAATATGAAGATAACACGTAAATCATAAGTTTGTACCCTTTCCATGCACAGAGGTCAACAACAATAAATCCTTGGTCCTCGTATGTGTTGATGTGGTGAAACAGTCCAATTGCTGCTCCTTTAAACTTAAGGTCAACGTACTCCCCTGGGTCTTTCTTGGCAATGTGGAAATTAGTCTATAAAAATAAGATTTCATTTTTGAGCAAATGTATCGATACAAAACATGCTGCAAAAGTTTAAATCCACTCAAACTCCTTACTCCTTGGCTCTCGTTGGACTCAAAGCAGTCCATGTAGTTGGAGCCTCGGATGCTCCAAGCACTCAGGAACTTGAGCAGGTTGATTTTCACCGGAGTCTCCACAAAGACGAAGTAGTTTTCCGACATGCCAAAACTAAAATTGGGGAGGAAAGCAAGTTAGGTGTGTGCACTCTAAGCAACAAAACTGAGAAAAGACTGCCATGAAAACCAGTTACACACCTGTGCACGTAGGAGGGCTTGAACCTCTCAGCACTGGGAAACTGCACCACCACTTTGGACTTCTCAATGGGATCCGATTTGTCTAAGAAAGGTTAAGAATTTAAAGGTATGACTGTGACTGATTTGAAACCTTGAAAAAACATTTTGTTTCACTTAAAGTGATCACACTATTTAAAGCACACGTGTCAAACTCAAGGCCCGGGGGCCAAATGTGGCTCTCCTTAACATCTTATCTGGCCCCCAAGATGTTGTTTTAAATGTAAAATACTTTTATCACTTTAATATTTTCAGTAATCTTTGATTATGATGTCAAAGTGCAACAGAGAACATCCAATGAGACCAATCAAACTCTTGTTGAGGAACCTGCAACCAAGAAAAGATGTTTGATATCTAACTTGACTTAATGTAGTTTCTGAAACTGGACCTTAGTTTGAAAAAGGTTTTAAATTTGAGCCCCTTTTGTAAGTGACTTCGACACCCCTGATTTAAAGCATCTTAAACTGTGTGACAGAATCAGCTTGTTCCAACTCATTGGATCTATACAATTTTTACACTAAAATACATCAATTTAAGCTTCGGGGTAATTTGGTTCTAATTTTCAAGCTATAACTGATTTTGAGTTTTATTTTCTTCATTAAGAGAAAACAATTTAGCATATTTTGAGTCAAGCTTTCTATTTAATATCAAAAGTCTCTCTAACAGGTTTACATTCAGCTGCAGTGCTGTGTATTTTTGGAAATAGCAAGTACAATTTAAAATGTGAACAATTATTTTATGTGGCAAACTTGCGGTGTAACGTTAACAGGGGTCTGGAGTCTTCAAATTTCAGTTTTTGTTCATTTATTGCATCGATCCAAACCTTTCTGCGTAGGAGGAATCCGGACGATGTTATAGGCCAGTGTTGCACCTTTTCCCATGCAGTTTCCAATGTTATATACGGTGCCATCATGCTCAATGTGAGGGTGAGCTGTGACTCCATTGATATTGATGTAGTTGCACATGTCCACCTGTGTAGAAAATATAAACTGGTTGTATCAGCTCTTACTTCCTTTAAGCTCCGTTGACGTATTGAAATACCTTCTTCAGAGTCTCTAGAGTATCGGTATTGACTTTAGTGATGTAGTTGGTCTCTGTTACAGCATAGAAATCCTCTCCTATAGGGTAGACATTCACCAGGCAGTTGTCTGTGACCTCAACTCCTTTGAAGTACGAAAAAAACCTGCAAACATACAGAAATTACAAAGGCTATAGATAAAAGCCATGCAATTAAATCGACCTAACAGTTTCAGCCATTTTCTGATAACAACACGGAAACTTCTGCATGCGTAATCAACCTGGAGAAGATGTTTTTGCAGGGATCTGGGTAGGCAAATGTACCGAACTCAGTGATCACCACACGCTTCTCTGTAATGGCTCGTACATATGCATCTGTCCTGATAAACCTGAGAGATAAAACATGGGGAAAAATATTCAGAATCACATGAGTTTCTCTTTATAATTCAAACCTATGTAGTTCTATCCTCCAAGAACAGAATTTCTATACTGAAAATGATTATTTGAATTGTTTTGCATTATTACACCTGTGCATTAAGTTAAAAAAAAAAATTACATTTAGAGATTTGTTGTTCAGACATTTCAGATTTCAGCAGGTTGACTGGGATAATTGTGGATACTACAAAATAGATTGGAAAAATGATAATGAAGAGGAACGGTTGTCAAAGTCTTACTTCCTGAAGTAGTTGACCTGGCCGTTCTTGAAGTCAAACTTATGCATAAGGGCCTGTCCGTCAAAAAGGTGGTAAAAAGGTTCATCTCCAATCTCAAAAAGTCCAGGTCCCAAACGGAGAAGACTTCCTTTCAAATATGAAGGAATCCTACCTGAAGGATGAACACAATTTTTTTTTAAATGCTTAAATCAGGATGTAGGAATCAGAATGTATCACAAATTATTAAAAAACTTAAACGAACTGAACAATCAGCATAAGATTTTGTTCTTATTTGAGACAAAAAGTGCTAACAAACCTGTGATTGTTGTTGGAAGAGGCTCAGCAAGCTCCTCGCATGTCTCAAAAATCTTTTTGTAGCTTCCAGCAGGGTGTTCGAATCTGTTAACAACAAGTAAGAGCACTGATGAGAGCAGGTTCGTTCAAGTTGACATCTCCAAAGTCATAGATAATCAATCTGAAGCAGACACAATGTCTATTCAGGTAAAAATTTAAAACTTATAAGATAACTTTTAAAAAAGCATGTATTAAAATACAGAAGAAAAAAAACACACTTAAAAATCAAACGTGACCTCTCCTGTTAAAAATGTCCTCGGCATCAGAAACTCACCGGCTGACCATGTTTCCTTCTTGTTGTTACACACAGAGCAAATCTTTTGTCAGAAGCCTCTGATCCTCCAGTGATGTGGAGGTTTTTATTCATCTGGTGAGCGTCACAATCGCCTCTCTGCAAATCTTCCACCTGGCCAATCACATCTCGCCAAGAACAAGAATCCCATTGTGTCAATATCCCCTGCTCAATAACTCAAGGGCTGGCCCTCCGTAACCGGATTTGTTGAAGAAAATATGTAACTGTACTGCAAATAAGAATGCTTGGCAAAAGTGTTGCAAGTGTGCATGTGATTTTTTTTTTTTAACTGTACTGGTTGAGCTTATGCTCATGTAGATCCACATCCCTAGGTTTTAACATTACAAACATTAAAAGGATTTAGAGAAAACTATAACTATAAAAAGTAAACCTGCTATAGTTATCTTAATCTATCTAAATAAAAAAGATAAAATGTGCATACTGGGAGGAAGTGTGACTCAATATCTACAGTAATACAGCTGCAACATACTGTAAAAAATGTTGTAAAGTTATAACTTACTGTACAGTCACTGTTACATAGAAGATGAAATGTGAACTGTAGTACTTTGTTTTGAAATAAAAATGTCTGACTTTGCTCGTGCCGCAGTAATCCAGGTGTAAGGATTAGCCTGAAGACAGACTCTGCATTGTTTCTCCTTGGGGAAAAAAAAACACAGTAGAAAGAGTTTCTTTAGAGTTATGTTGTGACGTGGTTTACATGCAACAGAGTACATGCGATAATACATTTTAAATACTCGGGGCAATGACATGCAATGTGCTCTAACAAGCTTTTTTCCTGGTTTCTCTGCCATGGGGAGTGGTGGCGCAGAGGTTAGAGAAGGTGGGCCTGTGATTGGAAAGTGACAGGTTCAACTCCCTGGACTGACAACATCAAAATGTGGGAGAAAAAGATGAAACACCCATACCTACTCCACCCTCATTTGCCCCACTCTGGGCCCTTGAGCAAGGCATTTAACCCCCACCGTCTGCTCCCAAACAGAAAATGAGTTCTTGTGACTCAGTGAGACTACCTGTATACATAAAGAGTAAATTAAAAAAAAAAAATTAAAAAATACCACTGTAAAGTGTGTGTGTGTGTATTTTGGAGTTCATATCATTAATGTATTTGCAGCCTGTTTAGCTGTTTGTGGCTGTCTTCCACCATAATAAATAATAATAATGATGATGGGCAGCACGGTGGCGCAACTGGTAGAGCTGCTGCCTCTCTGCGAGAAGGTCCTTGGTTCAAATCCCGGTCCAGGGGCCTTCTGGGTGGAGTTTGCATGTTCTGATGCGTGGGTTTTCTCCGGGTGCTCCAGTTTCCTCCCACAGACCAAAAACATGCATGTTAGGCTGATTGGTAACTCTAAATTGTCCCTAGGTGTGAGTGAGAGACTGAACGGTTGTTTGTCTCATTTGTCTCTATGTGTCCCTGTGATGGACTTGCGACCCGTCCAGGGTGTACCCCGCCCCTCGCACAGTGATTGCTGGACATGGGCACCAGCGACCCCTGTGAATCCAAAATGGAATAAACGGGTAAAGATAATGGATGGATGGATGGATGGATGAGTAATGATGATTAAAAAATACCCAGCTCTTGGTTATTATTAGCAAAAGTATAGAGAAAGTGAAAATTGAAAGATGTCATTTACATCTACTGAATGAAATGTATTTATTTTTATTTTCTACCTTTGCGTGTGAACAGAAAAGACAATCAAAAAGGTAAAAAGAGAAACACCACCGAGGTTGACAACAGCAGGAAATATTAGGCTTGCGTGACGTCATCTTTCCCAATGCGACCTGAGAGGAAGCAGGAAAGCAGGAGCAGGACGACCTCTGTTGGTCATTAATCGCAAGTCAACGTGACATTATTCTTGCCCACGCTGGTGCATATTACCTATTTACGTCGTCGTTCGACTAGATAAATATAGCTCATAACAAGCAAAAACAAACAAAAACAGTGAATAATCTGACATTTTTTACTTGACTTTACCGCCGTTCCGCTCTGCGCATGCGCACTTCGTTTCAGAATTACCCAACATGGCGGTCAGGTGCTATTGTCGTTTGTTTCTTTAGTCGAAGTCCAATGTTTGTTTCACCTAATATTCGCGCATAAGTCTGTTAGAGAACGTTTGGATTTTTGCTACTATAATCTTAAAATAACCGTGGACTATTTTTTAGTTCTGTAAGAACGGTACTTGTCTCTAAAATGAGTTATACAACCAGGGTGGTCCAAGTGACCAATGTGTCTCCGAGCACAACGTCGGAGCAGATGAGAACATTGTTCGGTTTTCTGGGAACCATCGAAGAGCTAAAGCTATTTCCACCGGAGTAAGTTGCTTAAAAATATTCCTATTTACTTATTTATTAATAATGATGATGCAGTGACGAGCCTTTGCTTGTTTAAAAATAGGCTGTATTTGTGCAGCTGAAACGTAGGCCTGTGCTAACCAGATTAGCTGCTAACGTTAGCTTGAGTGAACGTCAACTCGGCGGCGCTTGCGTGTTTAGTTAGTGTGTTAGGGACATTATGATAGACTAAAATGATTTTTTAATCGTCTAACCATAAGAGATTTCTTCATAACTGCACGCCTGTGTTTCTCCGAGTTAAAAATAAAGTTAATATTGATGAACCCTGATGTATTCAAACGTGAAAGAAAGGAAACGAAGTTATTCTCGCTTAATGATTAATGAATATCTTTGGCTTTTCATCTATACACGCTTCTAGTTTATACAATAAAATACCAACTAGTAGTTCTCACATTTTTCCATCTGAAAATATTTTCTGTTTTAATAATTGATCTGCATGTCTGTAGCAGACCTTTTGTTAAATTAAAATGTAAGTTATTTTTCCCATATATACATACATATATATATATACATATATATATGTGTGTGTGTGTGTATCACAGTTTAGGATTTACATTTCTATGGCAGATTACAGTGATCATTGCTTTATTACACTGTACAATGTTTTATCACAATTTTTGTCGCAAGATGACTTAATTTGGCTGTTTGCTTGTGCACTTTTGTAACACTGTCACGTTTATATTTTCTACGCAGTGATTCTCCTATGCCGGTGACATCTCGAGTGTGCTTTGTGAAGTTCCAGGAGCCCGAGTCTGTGGGGGTGTCTCAACATCTGACTAACACTGTGTTCGTGGATCGGGCCTTGATCGTAGTCCCATTTGCTGAAGGTTTGTCTTGTTATTACGCCCATGTGTTTGTGCTACTTCTTGACTGAATGACATGACCAGTGAATTGTGACACTGTAAACAACCAGAACAAAAATAGACAAGTCAACTCACTTCGGTTTGTTTTTACACAAATCTTGATAGTTTCATCTAACCTGGCATTACCATTCCAAGTGTTTAAAGCAGATTTATATATATATGTGTATATATATCTATATCAGATTTTGCCTGTCCTGTGGTAGAACTACAATGCAATTATTATTGTGTTGTGTGTTTTACTTTTATTGCTTATCAAGTTTTTCTTGTTGCATCTGAAAACCAAAATTAGTGTTGCATCAATAAAGTACCAAAGTCTGCTTTACACACCATGAGGTGACCATTCTCCAGCAGTGGGCGCTGCAGACACAAGGTTTTTAAGCAATGTTAAATGAACAGTTATCATACACATATTCCCGTATTGGACTATCCACTGTTAAACCTCTCTTTGTTATTTGTGTGTGTGTGTATGTGTGTGTGTGTGATTTTTGTAGTGAAGAAGGCAAAAGCAGCCCCCTCGTTGATGGCTGAAAGTGGTCGTCTGCCTGCCAACAGGGAATTGTAGACATTTACAAAGGCCAGCAAGCATTCAAGCCCCCACCCCCCTCTCCTTTGTCTTCTATTCTGTCTCTGCCTGGACTTTTTTCCTTTTTTTATTTGTATGTTCTTGATAAAGTGGTTTGGAGTATACATGTCACGTATGAGAAGTATAACTAAAAAACATTGCTTACAGTGCAATGTGTTGAAGCTCACAAGTGCTCCTTGGCACAAAAAACTGATTTGCTCTTCATTCTTTTAATGTCAACAAGTTCCTTGAAGACAAATTGATCCAAACTACTAATTGCTTTTTTATGTTTTGTGTTGTTCAATTGACAGGTTCAGTCAGAGCTACAGAGTCTACCTTCTTGTTGTAAATATGCACCAGAATACTAAATATGTCAGAACAATCAACAAAAATAGTACATGTCGTACCAATTTACTGGTAGTATGATTTTTTTTCTGCTTGAGTAACCGCTGAAAACTTAAATCTAAAGTAAAAACATTTAAAAGAATATTTTCAAAAGATACACCTTATGGTATCCTACAAAAGAACTGCTGTTTAGTTTGAGCTGAACGTGGCCTTCACGGGGGGTAACACATTTCTTTATGCCTGTTATCTTAGATAAACTGATTGTACAGCTCCTTCTTGTCATAATAACTCTTGACAAGACAATGTTGGTACAATATTTTCGTTAACAGTGGTCTTCTTTTTTTGTTGTTGTGTTTTACAGTTCTTTTTCCTGGCACAGCCAGTCCTGTATACCAGACCCTGCTGAAAATACCATCCAACAGTTTTGTGTCCTGCAGCAATTTCTCTCTCCAGTGTGCTCTTGTTTTTAATGTTGTCTCTGTTGTGTGTCTACATTTAGGTCATCTCATTTTATAAATAAGTTGCACTGACAATGGATTGAAAATCGTGATTATGAAGTGTGCTGCACACTTATGAAGTGTGTAATATGTGCCATAAAAATACAAAACTAGAGCTTAGGGATGGGCATTTTAAGTAAAGCTACTAACCAAAGAGATCGATAACAATTACAGTGTACCAGTTTTTGAATACCAACACAGCTATTTGTGGTATTCAAAATGCATGTTCATTTTGCTATCATGTCCTTTAATGCAACGCTATAGTTGGTGTCAGGATAACAACAGTTTTTCACAATGCTCCGAAAGAGAGGCTTAATACTATTCTAAAATAAATTGGAAAAAAATAAGTGAAAGTAATACCGATATGAATATTATTTAACATATTCATCTTAACTAGGACAAATCTTAGGAGTGTTTAGGATTCTGGCCTGAATAGTTACATTTTTGGGTTGGTATTTTATAGAAGGAAATAAAATGATCTCTGCAGTACCTGGTAGTACAGGTTACTGTCAGATGTTTTTTTGTTTTTTTTTACTAATGGTCTAAATGCCCATCCCTACTAAAGGTGCTAAATATTTTATAAAGATGGTGTTTTTAAAAACTGGTAGCAAAAAAAAAAAAAACCATCACTCCCTCTTCAAGTGTGGTTTATTGATGCAGTGCGAGGTAAGGATTCCAAGCTAATGATATACAGCAGGCACGCTACCTACCGTGAATTTTCTCATTTATCATAACCACTTAACCCTCTGAAATGTGTTTTTGGTAAGTACCGTAGACATGCAGCTTGTTTAGTGTTCCTGCCAAATCCTTAAAATTCTCTCTGTTGTGTGTATCTCGATTTTTCTCTGTGTACTTTTAGTAGCGAAGCCGCCAGCGTGAGTCGCTTGTTTCTGTAAACCTCTAAATGAAAATTGAGGGCACACCCAACTGGAGAAGCCGATGTGCTTGCTAACGTTTGGTTCATGACTTAAAAAACACATTCAGGTGATATATTCTTGGCAGTGTTCATTGGAATAGTGTGATGTATTCCAGCATTAGTTGTTGTTGAGTTAAGGGAACTCTGATCTGTAAGGTGACCTTTTTGTTGAACCTAAATTGAAGAAATGCAGTGAGAAGACTTTTTTTTTTTTTCCAAAACATCTTTGAATTGTATGTTTGATTAGGCACCCTCCTAATGCATGTTTTGTACTTTTCTCTAGGATCTATTCCTGATGAGGCTAAAGCGTTGTCCCTTTTGGCTCCAGCAAATGCTGTTGCAGGAATTTTGCCAGGTGGAGGCCTTCTTCCAACACCGAATCCCCTCCCCAATCCAGCTGTAAGACTTGAAACTCACCTTTTGTTACAAAATGTAACCATGATGGAGTATACTGCATAAGCTAGTGAATGACATTTCAAGAGCCCTTAAAGTTTTTGTGCATCTTTGTTGTATTATATAATGTGTGGCTTGGTGAGATGTAATTTTACTGTTATGTTTATTTAACTTTAGCTTGGAGCAAACCCCTTCGGTGGTCCAAGTATAGATCCAATGGCAGCATTTGGATTCGCTGGGCCCAATATGAACCCTCAGGTGGGTGCTTTTATAAGCAGTCCTAAATGCATTTATTTTTATTTTTTATATATACATTGATGCAAAGTTGCATTGCACCTGACTTTTAGACTACGGTATTCATTTATTTTCTCCTCGCAGGCTGCTGATCAGTTATTGAAGATGATGACAGATCCGAAGTAAGCCATTTGAAAGATGTCACATTTGTAATTGGATATTTTTATGTTTTTAGTGATTGAGTAATTATTTCTTTGTTCAGATTGAATCCTTTGGCTGCTGGTTTGAACCTGAGTGCAAGCCTGAAGGCTGATGCTTCTAATAAAGAGATTGAAGAGGCCATGAAGAGAGTCAGAGAGGCTCAGTCACTCATTTCTGCTGCTATCGAACCTGGACGTAAGTGTATTCAGACTTCTCTAAAACAAATTTTACATTTGAGACCGGAATAGTCTGTTTTATCATGATTGTGTTTTCTAATTTGTCAAAATTGAGGTTCCTTTATTTTCATTTTAAACTTGACAAAATCTCATCCAGTATCAAACATGTTAGAAGCAAGCTTGATTGTGCAAATGAAAGCCAACGTTCAACATGTTTTTGATATTTTGCAGATAAAGACAGCAAAAAGAAGCATTCTCGTTCAAGGTCCAGGTCCAGGAGGAGGAGGTCCAGGTCACGTTCACGACACAGGTAATACTGTAGTTGGAATAGCTGCGATGTTGGACCTTTGTGCATGTGCGTTCACTAGTAAGTTAAACGTTTTGAATGTGTAGTCGCAGGCGAACCAGGAGCAGATCAAGGCACAGGTCAAACTCAAGAAACAGAAGGCGCTCCAAAAGTCCACGCAGGAGACACACCCACTCCAGAGACAGAAGCAGGCGATCTCGAACCAGATCCAGGTGAGCTAACCACGCAGAAACTTCACTATATGCCTACTTCCTGACAGCACTAGTTGTACAGCTTTTTGAGTTTTTGCACATTCATCTATCTACAGAGATAGAAAGAAAGAGAGTGGGACAAGAAGAAGATCCAAAACACCACCAAAAAGCTACAGCACAGCCAGAAGATCACGCAGTGTGAGCCGGTAAGTGAAGCTCAAGCCTTCATTAGTTAAAATGTAAAGTTTTTTAATACCACAGAGAAGTGGATGTATGTTTGAAGGTTACATTAGTTTGAACCATTATGTGGAGAACACAGCTTTTTCTCCAATACTGCAAAAATTCCAGTTAAAATGATTGCATCTAGCAAAAATTGCCTATTCAGACAATTTTTGCGCATCAACTCTAGGCCTGCATTCCATCATTACTTGCAAACATGATGCAGATGACCTGTACAAACCTAACTCTAATCTCGCAGCCTTCTACTCCAAGTACTAGCACTCATTTGTTTATTTTGGCCATAGACGCAGGAGAAGTCGCAGCGCCAGCCGATCTCCTAAGAAGTCTCCTAAAAGGAGAAGCCCATCTCCATTTTCCCGAAGGTTAGTGAGACGATGCTTATTCACATCAGTTTTCACTACATGACTGGACCAGTTCTCTTGTCGAAAGTTAAACTTTTCTTTAGTCAGCATAATTCCACGTGGCTTCCTCTTCATCCTCTGCAGACACAAGAAGGAAAAGAAGAGGGATAAAGAAAGAGACAGAGACCGCAGGGTTGAAAAGGAGCGCGTTCGTGAAGAGCGGGAGCGCTCCACCAGCAAGAAAAAAAAGAACAAAGACAAAGAAAGGGAGCGTGAAAGGAAATCTGATGGAGAGAAAGGAGACATTAAGGTCTGCTGCATATCTAATATTCTGATACCCTAAGGACATCACCTGTTTTGATGAGTTCTTCTTTCAGCTTTTCCCTCGTCAGGGGTCTGCACAGCGAGTTATCCCCCTCTATCTCACTCTGTCTTCTGTATCCTCTGTCCTCCAACTACCTCCATGTCCTCTCTTAACTGCATCCATGTATCTCCTCTTTGTCTTTTTTTTTTTTTGGCAGCTGCATTTCTAACATCCTTCTACCGGTATACCCACTGTACCTCCTCTGGACGTGTCCAAACCATCTCAGTCTGGCCTCTCTAACTTTATCTCCCAGCTGTTCAACCTGTGCTGTTTTGATGAGTTTTATTGTCTAAAAATAGTCATGAGTGGTTTTCCTCTACAGATCACCAGAGATTACGATGAAGAAGAACAAGGATATGACAGTGAGAAGGAAAGAGAAGACAGAAAAGATTCAGATGACTCTGCTTTGTCTCCTCAGTCGGTGGAAGGAAATGGCACCGCACGGCTCAGAAAGCAAGCCAAAGTTAACGGTGCTGACGATCGCCACGAAGAGGACATGGATGTTAGCGACTGAGTGATTCGTCCTACATTATCTCTTCACTTTAGTTATAAACATACATTTTTCCCCACTTTGTTAAACCTAAAATGTAAAGTGTTTGTAAAAAAACAACTACAAAAAAAAAAACCCCACCTGTTATTCTTAAAGAGGATTAGTTTGCTCTTTTGCAAATGTATACTGCATTGTTGTTTGCCTGATTGTTTTTTTTTTTTAAACACAAGTACTTTTTGGTCCTTGCCACCACAGATGCGATCGGTTAAAACTGGAAGTAGGTTTGCTGGCTTCTGTTGAGCTTGTTAGCAGATTTGTCACTTCATGTAATTTTTCTCTTTTGTAGTGTTGTGGTGTAACAAGTCTTTCTCCTTCACAGAACAATTACATTTAGTTTTTGATCTGGAAATGTTTTATCAAGTTTTTTTTTTTATATATAATAAAGCTTGTTTGAGGAGCCAGGACTCTCTAGTTGTCAGTTTTTGACCCATATGATTGAAGGGGATGAGTGTTTTCTGTTTGATTCAGCCATTTAAAAGCTACCGTACAAGTGCTGCTCATAAAATCAGAATATGAAAAAGTTGATTAATTTCAGTAATTCCATTCATAAAGTGAAAGTTGTATATTAAATCCATTCATTACACACAAACTGATATATTTCAATTGGCCAGCAAACTTGTCTGACCTTAACCTCATAGAACATCTATGGGGTATTGTGAAGAGGAAGATGTGATACACCAGACCCAACAATTCAGAAGAGCTGAAGGTCACTATCAGAGCAACCTGGACTCATAACACCTGAGCAGTGCCACAGACTGATCCACTCCATGCCACGCTGCATTGCTGCAGTAATCCAGACAAAAGGAGCAACAACTAAGTATTGAATGATGTACATGTTCATACTTTTCAGTTGGCCAACATTTCTAAAAATCCTTTTTTTAATTGGTCTTAAGTAATATTCTAATTCTCTGAGATACTGAATTTGGGGTTTCCATTAGTTGTCAGTTATAATCATCAACATTAAAAGAAATAAACATTTGAAATATATCAGTCTGTGTGTAATGAATGAATATAGTAGTTTCACTTTTTGAATGGAATTACTGAAATAAATCAACCTTTTCATGATATTCTAATTTTATGACCAGCACCTGTAGAACAAATGGTGTGACTTGAAAAAGGACATCAACATTGCTTGGACATTTCAGATGTTTGCATAATCCAATCTTTCACTCATCTCCACATGATGCTGCTGGCATCAACATAAAGCTCGTTAAAGAGTTAAAACTTGCATAAAGTCAGTTGAAACATGATGCTGGTGCTTTATTTAAAGGGATGTGAAGTGGTTATGATTGCAGTACATTTTAACTGAAGCCAGCGACAATGGATCAGAATAATTCCTATTTGGATGAATGTATCCAGTTTTATAAACTTCACAGCTTGGTTTTCCCTCCTTGGCTTTCTATATATGTGTAGAAAATATTTTTAATGAGCACTACAAGTTCTAAAGTGTTAGTGTTACATTTCTTTTAAAACTCATCTAAATATCAGTGGATCTGGAGGTAATATACAGTAACAAATGCTTAAATAATGTAGCATAAAGATGCATGTGATCCAAAAGGCCAACACAGCCACAGCATGCCTTAAATATCAGTGCAGTAATAAACTTTAAGAACAGTTTACCTGATATCCCATCTGGGTTCTCCCCCACACAAACTGACACAACAAACCTCAACACAACATATCACTCTGAGCACAGAGCTCGTTATCACGACAAAACGTGGACAGCTGAGAGGTAACATTAGCAAACCTGAACACACAGGAGACTGTGTCCTGCATGGGAAAAAGGCTGAATATCTGCATTTTTCAGCCAAAGCCTTTTCCCACCTGGTTAAAAAAACATTCTTAAGAACTGGAAATGTATTGCTACACAGTGTTACTCATTTGAGTTTATATATAGTACACAATATATAAATGAACAGTAAGCTCAGTTTGAGGATATAGCTATTATTTGTTATTGTGAATTAAAGAGACATGAACTATTTTACATATGATGGGAGTGATGTTTCGAGAATGAGAATCCTTACAGATGAAATAAAGTATATATTTAAATACCGATGAGATGTACGAGCTGGGTCACCTGACAGCTTTAAAAGTAGAGAACAGCAGCTTTAACGGCTCAGTTTATGAACAGCGAGAACAAAGAAAGCCATCACTCATTTCACAAAAACAACTGCCGGCACTCTATATGCCACATGGAGCTCTGATATTTTCTTGCATTGATTTGCTTTGGATACATCAGCAAAATGAACATTAACTCTTTTTTTTCTTTTTTTTTAAAGTTACTCCCTTTATTTTCTCTTCTTGAACAACTAATGGATTCAGAATGAGCCTGCGCTCTCCCGAACCCGCTAGCCGTTTCCTGTTTGTGTCAGACGTGTCAACAGATCAGAGGTCTGGGAAGCGGTTGGGATCTTCCTTGTACTCAGCAGGGATGTAGAAAATAGACTCTTCAAATTTGTCGTAGCGGAATTCCTGAAAGGTGACAGTCGCTGTGATCGTGGGGAAGACGGGGATGTCTGCAAGGCAAGAAACAAAACAAAAGAAAAAACGTTATTTTGTGATCTTCCACCTGAAGCTCAACCAGTCTCGCAGGCACTCAGGTAGGTCGACACGTACCTAGTTTGACTGGAAACCCAGGTGGAAGCTTCATCTGAACAAACTCTCTGAGTTTGTTGAAGTGCTTGAACGGCGCTACGACTTCCAAGACGTTTAGTAACCTGGAGGCAGAGGGAAGTGAGTCAGCAGTGTGTAACTAAAGCTCATTTCTCTACTTCATCTGACTCACATCATGAATCCAAATGCACAGAGTTTAGCAGAAGTCTCCAAGATTTTTTTTAGTGCATATAAAGCAACAACTACTAAAAACATGGATCTAGTTTAATTACATTTTTACACTTTTTGTCAAAAGCAGGGATGCGTAATATTATTATTATTATTATTATTATTAAAGGTATCGGCCGATATTAGTGATAAAGTTAAATATTGGACATCAGCCATTCCATCAAAATAACTCACTGATATGAAAGGCGCTGTTTTTGTATGACAACCCGGACGCCTGCAGCGCCAGCACAACGTTATGACGTCATACGTGCCTACCTGATCTGATCACAGCGGAGAGGAAGAAGTGAAAATGTCGGCTGTGTGGAAGTTTTTTAAAGTGTCAAAAACTGACAGCAGAACTGCTTTTTGTAATGACTGCTCAGCGTCAGTGATGCGAGGAGGAGCGAAAACTAAGTCCTGCAACACTTTGAACCCAATTAACCACCCCAAGAACCACCATTCTGACCATTACGATGAGTTCATGGTGGCTGGAAAGGAAAGTGAGAGAGCGGTCAACCACGGAGAAACAAAACCTCACCAGCAGTCCGTTCTACAAACTTTGGACAAAGCAAAGAAATACAGTCGCGACCACCTGAGGGCAAAAGGCGTCACTCAGAAACTGATGTGTATTGCTCTGGATAACCAACCATTTTCATACGATATTGGATTTTGAACATTTTTGGACTACGTTGAGCCTCGCTACATTGTCCCCAGTCGGGGATATTTTTCCGACGTAGCCTTACCCGAGCAGCAAGTCGTCATTTCCAACGTCATTGAGAAGCTAATAGCCGATAGCACTTGGGCGAGTTTAACCACAGACATGTGGACGTCAAGTGTTAGCCCTGTTAGCATGATTAGACTTACGGCACAATGGATAGACAAAAACATCATCAAAACAACACAAACAATTTACAGCCCCATTTTTGGCACCTGCATTTGGTAACAGGCCAAATTGACAAAGACCATGCAGATTAATGTAGTATTTTATTCCACAGCAGAGAGAGCTGCTGTGGTGAAGTGAGAACAACAGATGTTTACAAAAATCTCTGTAAGTAGGTCTAGGGGGGGAAATATCGTTATTGGTATCGGTTAACTTATCGGCCAAATAAGTTTTAACATATTGACGTATCGGATATCGACAAAAATCCAATATTGTGCATCCCTCGTTGAAAGCATTTTAAGGGACCTTTAAGCTTCTGCTATTCCATTATAAGTTTGCCAACAACTTCTCAACATCTTGCAAGTAAAAGCTAGCCTGAGTTTATAGTTCAAGGGGAAACTAGAGGGACAAAAAGTGTAAACCACCAGAATCATGAAACAAGATCATCTAATTTGCCACAATAAATAGTAAATAATTTTCTCCAACAGCACCTCTGGTGATTTTTTTTTCATGTTAGAACATTAAACTACATTATTAAAGGAGTAAATATATTTTAATACAATGCAGAAAAAAAACCTAAAAGGAAAATTACATTAAAAAGCCATTAGATATGATAAAGAATGGGGTTTTAATGTTGTTTCCATTAAGGTTCACTCAGTAGAGGAGATAAAGTAATTTACTTACATAAGATAACCCCTCATGAATGTTGCATCATCTGCTCATTTTAAATTGCATATGTCTTTAAAATGTACTTTTCTCACGTCTAATTTTGTTGTTGTCTATGAACTCTTTAAGATCGTGAGTCAACAAAACACCACTTTACCTTAAAAGAACTAATTAAAATATATCCATCACTTGAAAATGGTAAGATTTAAAAATTAATAAATAAAACGGCAAACCATCTTTAAGATTTACAAAAATAAGAGCATTTGAAAGTGTATTTCCTCTCATTAAGAACACTTTTTTATTTGTAAAAATTAATAATTTGGAAACACACAATTAACCGTCATTAAATCTTGAAGTTTTTTTTTTTTTTGAGTAACAAATAAAAGAGTTGAAAAATGCAGGAAAAACTAGAAGCTTGTTTTTGGTTGTTTCAGAAACAACAGGCTGAATGTTATAAACAACTGAATTTGAGCAAATATATAAAATGATGTTGGAGCTTCTCTTTAGAACTAAAAAAGTGGAAAAAATCTTCAATGAATGTCTTTGAGTTGATTTTGCGTATTGCTTCTGCAGCCTTTTCATGTACCAGGTCTTTTATACCAATTATTTCATCTCTGCTCAACCCTTTCCTAAACTCCCAAGAGTATTCTCAGGATCAAGCTGCTTTGCGAGCTTTATGAGGAGATCTAAGGAGGATGGGATTTACTTACGACTCGATGCCTAAAGGGAAATCCTGGCTCATAGCTACAGTAGCTTTGAAGTTCTTCTTGCTTTCTTTACACACAAGTTCTCGGCCAAGATGAGGAGGCCTGGAGGTGAGTAGACACAAACAGATAAAGGTATTACACACTCAGCAGTTACTCAGATTTTCTTGTGGCCGCCCTAAATAAACAGGCTAATTGTAGCAGATGCTTACTTTCCAGGCTCTGCAGTTACGTACTCTTCCCAAGAAATGGTGTTAGGAGTTGGAGCTGTGAGGGACTGCCTTCTCACAGGCTGGAGGGACAGAACCAACTAATTAAAGAGTTGTTACATTGAACTACTGGGTAATTAAACCAGATCACTAAATTATTTCATTACCTCAAAATTCTGCTCACTGATGCCGCCTCCTTTACTCAAACTCTCCATGATGGCTTTGTTCCTCAAGATGTCTTCTTCACTTAAGTGCTCCCGTCGTTTCCTTGACTCTAGCACCAGGCCGTTCACCGAATAGAAGTCAGCCAGAAAGTTTCCAACCCTCTCCTGAACAGAAAGAAACCAGATGTTGGAAAGTCTTCAGGAGTTAATATTAATTTTTCCCGTTCACACTCTTTGACATCCTAAAATGTTCTACAGTTCAAGCCTGAAGGTTAAACTGTACTACAGTAACAACAAAGTCCAAGCTCAATAATCCAGGTATACAATACAACATTTTTCAGTCAGGTCTACAGTACTACTACAGTACTACAGTAGTCCCTCGCTACTTCGCGGTTCGTTTTTCGCGGACTTGCTTTATCGCGATTTTTCAAAATAAGAGTGGACATGACACACAGCTGGCTGACTGATGGATGAGCCGCACGGTTGGCAGGGAATTTTTATTTAAAATAAAATATTTTAAATTATTAAGCACATGCTGCACATTAGTGCAGCCCAGAGCTGCAGAAAACGCTTCCTCCTGCAGCTGAACAGCTGTTCTCCGTGCAGAGCTAAGAAGTGGGCGTGGCCACAAACGCTTGCAGGTGGCAAAGAGCAGCGGAGGCAGAGAGTTGAAATCATGACATTCTGTGCTCTTTTAGAGCGTTTAGAGTTTAGAAACATTGTTTAGAATGTTGCAAGAGTGTAGGAAGGGTTTAAAACACCTTTATATATATAATAAAATAAACTACTTACTACTTGTACTATTATTCCTTCTTCACGGTTTTTCACTTATCGTAGGGCTTCAGGGTACGGATCCCCCGTGATAAACGAGGGACTACTGTATCTTACAAAGCCACAAAAACTGAGATAAAGAAAAAAATATTGCAAAATCTGTCTTTTATGATGTGATGCATAAGTTTACTTTATGGAAAGCAAGACACTTTACTGAAAAGCTTCTAAAAATCACAATTTTATTTAACAATTTCTAGATTTATTGCTTTTGAAGAGCCTAAATAGACATGAAATTAATTATCGGTAGTAAACTGGATTTATATTGTTTTATCATTGATGATAAGCTTTTAAGCGACTCTGAAGCCTCATGCACTCAGCTGTGATGTGTTTGCATGCTGCAGACAGCAGTCAGAAGTCAAGGCTACTATGATAATATACTGTGTTGCCATGTATGCTAAATTACCACCATTCTTTGTTATAAAAGGTGGCAGTCTCAATGCAATCTTGATATTTTTCAGACTTGCTTCAAATGAGTTGGTTGTGTAAGTAAAGTGTAACCAGACACTTGGTTCACAATAATTTAGAGTTGAGTGCAAATACAGCAGGTAAAACAGAGCACAGGTGATAAAGGTTGCTGTTTTCTGCTTCAATGTGTATCATCTACTCACTAAAGAACAAATATATTGAGTCAAAATAGTAGTGTTGATGTCACTGTAAAACCAGAGCTTTGCCTGACAGTGTGAACATGCGCCGAGCAAAACAAATATTTCAGCAGTATGATTTTTCCATTATGCCCCATGTGTAGTCTTGGCAGGGGCCACCCTGGTGTGGTTTTTGTTTGTTTGTTTTGGGACTACATCATAGGAAGAGAATGAAGTGTGTCAAAGGGAAACTGTGGGAAAAGTCGCTGCGGTCATTTTGCATGTCATCTGAAAGTAACGAGTAAAAAAAATACTCTTCAAACTGACCACAGTATATGTAGGCTCTCTCACTGATTGCTTATAAAATATGAACAAAGCCTCTGTGACTTGAGCACCGGGCTCTGACTGAGAGCTCAGATTGATAACACAGCTGCAACTCTAAATCACATGGCAGCAAAGCATACCTGCTTTATTCAGTAAGTTTCTCCACAATAAATGATACATTTCTGCACAAAATATGGAACTGAGTCAGTAAGTGCTATTATTTTAAGCACCCTATATTTATGTATGTAAAATCTTAAAAGTCATTGTGATTCTATGACCTCTATGTCGTTACACAAGTGTTTATAACGCACACAGTTTCATAAAGTAGAGACTTTGCGTTTATTTATTGTTTTATGTTTAGCATACATCTAAGCTAGTCTTACTGTTTTGTCCTCTCTGAAGAGCCAGCCAATCTGACTACGAGAGAAGGTGATGGACTTTGTTGACAGGGTTGCAGAGTAGACGTCACTGCTCATCAGAATGTCCACTTCTTCTTCAGTCTCCATCTCTGACTCCTTGGAGGAGGAGCGGGGTGAGCACTAGATTTTACTTGTCTTATTAAACAATTGTTCACAACATAAACAAATGAGAACATTGAATTTTGGCTCGTAACAGTTCTTTACCTCATGGTGTATTCTTTGGTACACTTCTGCTTCATTGTCCAGAACCACAAAGGACTGTGAGGGCGGGGCGTCACCGTTGAAAATAAAGCTCAGATCTCCACGCTGACACTTCATATCATTGAAGTCTATGAGGGTAGTATTGAGCCTAAATCAAGAGAGAGGACAGAGGATTAGGAGGGTATGAAGATTGGTGTCCTACTTTTTAGATCTAAAAGAAGTTTTGACCTGGATATCCACTACTTGCTGCATTAAACACTCCTTTTTTTTAAATCACAGACAGACACAGATTTGATCTTTTTGGTGTCTTACCTGATATTTATGCCCTGCTTGTAGATTTTACAAGCATCAGATGGCAGCATTCTGGACAGCAAAGGAACTGAAACAGACAATCGTTTAATAAACTAATCAGTGGCAAATTAACAACTTTCAACTATGCTTCATAAATTCAATCTAAATTAAAGTTTTTGTCATTTTAATAGTGTTCAAAATGAGGAAATACAATCAACTTTGTTTTGTTAAAAAAAAAAAAAAAAAAAAAAAAAAAAACCTCACCCCAGCTTTGAAAGTCCCAGTGCACCTCCAGATAAAAGTCACCAAGCTGTAAAATAAAAAGACACAAACACGTCTGACTGAAGGTTTCATCATAAATTAGAAAACAAAGACTTGGATGTTTTTCAGTAATTCATTTATGCCAAATCTTTGCAGAGGTTTTAAAAACAAAGGAGCTGTGTATTTGAAAACCAGCAGAGACACTAACCTCTTTGAGAGCTTTCAGTAATTTTGGCCTCTTGTCCTCCACACTTTCCCTCGACTGCTGCTTCAACTTCCTTAATATAGCTGTGACTGAAAGAACATGGAAACAAACAAACAAGCAAAAAAAAAACAAAAGAATAAGCTCAAGAACTAAAATCAGCAAAGACACTGTAAGACATGACAATTACAACAACACAGGCAACTTTATATCTGGTTTGCTACAGATATATAAAAGTCAACAGAGATTTAGGTAAATAACTAGTAACGGATGGAATGACTAATATAATTAATACAAAACCCTGTTCACAACTGGTCACAAAAGATGCCTAACAATATTATTTCTTAGCTGGCTTTCTGTTTAAACAGGCAATTTTAGGTTCATCTGTACACTAAGGCCTTCTCAGATAAAAAAGTTAGTGCCACAAAACTTCTAATGAATTATTTTTCAAAAAAGATACCTGTGTTAACAAATAAAAATCTGATCAAATTAGCGTCCCTGTTCCAGTGTTAAAACAGGATTAAGAGTGAAAGTAAAGCAGCTGTAAAAGATTAAATCCCATTGAAAAACTGTGCCTCATAAATCAAGTCCTGACTGGACATTTTTCTCTTATTATTGTTTTTTCTGCTGGCACCAATATATATATTTTTTTGCTCTTTCCAACATTTTTTGATGACTTATCATACAGGATAGGTGACATTTTTCACAGCCAGTTCAGGAGACTGAATCCTGCAAGTTTAACCTTGCACATCGCTAGTGTGAAATATACACCCCAGTGCTTTGATTCGTTTATGTAATCAACGCAGGAGACCCATTTAAATACGTCAGCTAATTTAAATAAAACATATTGCAAAGGCACAAAAAGCAATGACTGCATCAGCAGATATAACTCACTGGCCCATAAAAATGTCTCCCAGAAACTGGCCAGTGACCCTTTAATGATACAGAATGGAGCGGAGTAAGTCAGCACATTTGAGTGAAGCTACTTCAGCCCGTGGAAATACTGGACTGTGAACGGTTGTGGCTAAGAGGGGTGATGCTGACGAGGCGCTCGCTGCTTGTCGCTGCGCACGCCGACAACCAGAGAACGAGCTGCTGAAACAAGGTGCACAGGTGTGAAAGGAAAAGGCTTGATGACATGACCGCAGTGTTTCATTAAGGATTGTAACACGCACTTTATTTAACACAACCCTCATGTACTTTTTGTGGTCTCACTAAGTGCTAGCAGCTGTGTGCTTGTATTAGTAAAAATGTAAATACCTTTTTGTCTCACTAGTGTATGACTTTTCATGTCCTTGCTGATGATGTCAAAGTACCCCACCCCACTCCACTACCATCGTTCCTGCTTCCCATGAGAGGTTTGACCTTCTCAGAGCAAAGCTCCTGGTTCCAGGCACAGTACCCGGCCAGCCTGCCACAGCAGGCAGAGATAGCCGAGATGCATACTAACTACGTTCAGGGTTATTTATTAAAATAACAGGCCTCAAAGTCTCCACTCAGGATTCCAGTAAGTCAGTTATAACTTCTAAAGCATCTAAAAACTTTTCTTTCTTTTTTAAGTAAAAAGAGAAAATGTAACTCCAACCACTTAGCTATAATCACCTGCTACTTTTCACATGATAAACAATTTGTTGCACTGGACATCAAATCAAAAAGCAACAGCTTCACTGAGAGGTGTAACGACTAAGTCGGGGCACAAACTGTTTATAATTACAAGTCCTAAGAGAAACTCCAACCTTGTTGTCTTTGAGTTGACCATATAGCAGCTGCCATGTTTAAATATTCAGAATGCATGATAAAAATAAAAAAGTGGAATCCATTAGATGGGCAGAACTAACCCTGAAGGTCAAAACATTACAGTGCATGATTACAGGTATGCCAATGAAATTATTATACATGTACCAAATAAAAAAAATTATTATTTTTTTAATATTACTCACTCATCTGTCTGTCACCGTAGCTGATAGCTTCTGCTAAAGGACTCCATCCCTGTGCGTTTTTTATCTTCACAGGAGCGTTATGGGCCAGAAGCAGAAGAGCGCACTCTAAAAAAGAAAACGTACAAATACTCTCAGACACATGTAATCAGTCTGCACACGTGTTTACTCTGTACGCTGTTCACCTTATATGCTAGGTGACTTTACGCAGAACCACGAGGCATGAGAAACATGACAACAAGCTGGTTTTGAATCCACTGTATCTAAAAGCACAATATCTCCAAAATGTATTTACAAATAGGGACTGAAATTCATTTTTTTTCCAAACTGACCAATTAAAACAATTTCTCATTTAAAAAATTTGATATCAAATTCTATATAAACCTCTTCCTGTGGATGATTGAAGCTTCATCCCCATCGCCTTATAATCTAGATGTTTTTGCCATCTTATTTTAATTTGTTAAATAAAACCTGTATGCCTTTTTATAACTGTCCATTGTTGTCATCATTCTTTGTTGAAATCAGGTCTCTCTTGTAAACGAGTCCTCGAGGCTCAATGGGATTAACCTGTCTAAATAAAGGTTGAATGAATGAATAATTACATGGTAATGTAAGTCCTCAGTTAGTGTTTTTTATGTAACCATGTGCAAATTGCATTGTTCTGTAACTGAAATATACCTGAGAAAAACCTGCATTCAACCATTACCCAAATATTTAAAATTTGCTTCCTTTTTAGGCGATCAAAGACCTTTGTTGAATAATCTTATCCTTGCTTCTGTGTTCTACCAAGATAATTTTAACTTTACTATCCAAAGTTTAAAGACACAGTGGATATGGGTGGACTGGCTTTTAGAAAAACTAGTTTTGTTTTCGCACAATAGTGCTGAATTCTGTGCATGTTACAAGACCATGAAGTTTCCAAACTTGTTATTCTGAGACTGCTCAGCTGTACCTTTGTGGCCCAGCATCACAGCCAGGTGAAGAGGTGTGTTCCCTGCAGAGACACAAACACAAGTCCAGGTGAAACAAACACTTTTTATTCAAAGCACCTACAATCAGCTGTGTAATACCAGCTTACCGTGAACATCTTTCTGCGAGATGCTGTTGGTCCTGATGAGAGAGGAGAGCCGACGCACGTCTCCTTTGAACACGCACTCGTGAACAGGGAACTCCAGCTCGTCACTCGTCAGGATTATCGGGTTTTTGTTGCTATCTTCCGCGACGACTGGTGCGTTTCCATTGATGTTGTTTGCATTGAGCTGCTCTTGCAGGGCTGAGGATTTGACCGATTTGTGGAAAGCCTTGTTGGACTTAAAGTAACCCGTACCGTTAGGGATCGTCCCGTTGGAGGTCTCGTCGTAGGCGTCCATTATCGCTTGGTTTTTGTTGGTTTTTTTGTGGTCCTTCCGTGAAGTGCGAATCTTTTCACCCGTCATGATGACTACAGGACGTGAATAACTAGATCACAAGCTGAGGTGTGGCGGTACAGTAATTTAGGAGCAAGTCAGCATGAACAAAAACGGCACATTAATATTCAAGACAACGCCTATACCTTGAATGCCTCGTAGTTTGTTGTTATTTATATGTCGTAACCGTCTGTGCTCGACTTCAAGTCAACGTTAGCTCCCAGAAGACGCTAGCCTGCTAGCTTACAATAAAATAATAAATATGGTGGGTGCGGCGATGAGAACACAAATTAAAGCTAAACATAAAAGAACACACACTTGCTAAATAAACATGAATGTGGAAATTACAACGACCGACAGGCGACTACATCGTTGTCTTTTCTATCGCATCTTAAATGCACGTTTTAAAATTGTATCGATTCAGTCTTTGCGGCAGAAGTCGGTGGCGGACAGGTTCGGTAGAATAAACCTACAGGGCTAACGTCCCGTTAGCACCGCTAATGCGCCGCAAATCTCGCGAGATTACCGTTCATCGGTTTAGAGCGTGAAAATCAATGTATTTATTATATGGGTGAACTAATGACCAGTAAAATAAATTAAATAGAAGTATTTCGAGTCAGCATCTCTTATTTACTTACTGATCCAACTTAAGATTAAACATTATTAGACAAGAACGATAACTAATTTTATACATAGACAAGGTCAAGGTTTTCTTTGTCATTCGCATCTCATGTGGTACATGTGGTGGAACGAAATTTTGTACACAGGGTCCCAGTTACATCCAACAAAAGTATACATTGTAAAAGAAAAACAGTAATCTAATTTTTACTGATGCAAATATGACTATGCCAACAAAATAAAAATAAAAAAACAAAAACGTTTTTTCCTCCAGACTTAGGCTTTCAAATTTGCAATCAAGTCAACAGGAGTGCATATATACATAGGTATTAAGTGATCATTTAATGAGCTTCATGTCACTAATTTGCTCTGAGCCTAGTTCATTTTGATCCATCTGGAAGTGCAGACATTCAGACTGATAACTGAAATAAATAAATAAAACAGCAATCTTAATGAGAAATTTAAACCTTCTTACAGCAATATTCACTTTGGGTTTGGATACCTGCTCACATCAAAAGTGAAAGCAAATAAATTGGCAATTATAATTTTTACTTCAAAATGGTGACTTTGTTTAGCTTATTTTGTATTATCAGTTACTGTGTTTTATCTTAAAATGCACACTTTTTCAGAATGAGCTCTTCTTTACACTGTATTTGTTGAACTGAAACGTGCTTGTGTTGATGCTCTAAAGCAGGGGTGTCAAACTCACTTACAAAAGGGGGCCACAATTAAAACCTTTTTCAAGCTAAGGGCAAGTTTCAGAATCTACATTAACTCAAGTCAAGATACCAAACATCTTTTTGTTTGCAGGTTCCTCAAAAAGAGTTTGATTGGTCTCATTTGATGTTCTCTATTGCACTTTTGACATCATAATCATCAATGGCTCTCATGGAATTAATAGAACAAATAACTACTGCTGTCGATCAAAAACAGTATTGTGTTAGCATTTTTGTTGATTTTAAAAAAGCATTCGATACTATTGACCACACTATTCTCCTTGAAAAATTGAATAAATATGGTATAAGAGGACCAGCATTACGCTGGGTATCTAGCTATTTAAAAGATAGGAAACAGTTTGTACAAATAAATGGTGTAAGATCTGACCTGTGCAATATCACTTGTGGAGTTCCTCAAGGCTCTGTACTTGGACCAAAGTTATTTATTTTATATGTGAATGACTTAGTGAATGTATCAGGACTCCTCAAATGTGTCCTTTTTGCAAATGACACCACATTTTTTTTGTTTGGGTAAAGATGTAAAACGGATGTTGGAATTAATAAAGACAGAATTTGATAAAATACAAACTTGGTTTAAACTTAATAAATTATCATTAAATTTAGATAAAACTAATTACATGATATTTAGTAACAAAAAGAGAACTGTTGATGATCCATTTAAAATTGAGGGTGTTGAGATTTGTAGAGTTAATGAGATGAAATTTTTGGGTGTAATCATTGATGAACAGCTAACATGGAAAAATCACATCAATTCTTTAAGAATAAAAATATCTAAATCTATTGCAGTACTATACAAAGTCAGGGAATTATTAAATGATAAAGCTCTGTACATGTTGTATAACACAATCATTGTTCCACATTTAATCTATTGCATTGATGTTTGGGGGAAAGCGTGTAAAACGTTTACAAAACCCATTTTTACTTTACAGAAAAGAGCTGTAAGAATTATTACCAGAAAGCATTACTGTCACCCATCAAGCACATTATTTTATCAACTGAAGTTATTGAAGTTCCATGATTTGGTAGATTAATCAGTTATGTATAGGGCTCAAAATAACACATTACCATTAAATATCCAAAGAAATTTTATTAAGACAAAGTTGTTACAATCTTAAGGGGATAGAGATATTTGTCAAACCAAAATTCAGAACTAGTCTGAAGGGAAGGTCTACCTCAATCCAAGGAGTTGGATTGTGGAATGGTCTAGAGAGTGATGGTAAAAATGCCAAGTCAATGTGTACATTTAAGAAAAAGATCAAAGCTGAATTGTTAAAAAAGTATATATGAAGTAGCTTAGTGTGTTTTTGTATTAGAATTAGAAAAATTAAAAAGAGTTATTCATTTTGTTCTGTTACTTGAAGATTATTATGATTGAAATAATTGTTTGAAGAAAGGGGCAGATATAATAAGATTTTTTCTTCTTTTTGCTGCCTTTCATTTTAAATCTCTTGTATTTTTTATATTGTTATGGAATTGTTTTGTATTTTTTTTACACGTCTTAGTGTATTACCCACAGTAACCATGGAAACAGTGGTGCCAGCTCTCTTCAGGTCATGGACCAGCTCCTCTCGTGTAGTTCTGGGCTGATTCCTCACTTTTCTTAGGATCATTGATACGCCATGAGGTGAGATCTGTCATGGAGCCCCAGTCTGAGGGAGATTGACAGTCATGTTTAGCTTCTTCCATTTTCTAAAAATTGCTCCAACAAGCCTTCCGGACCAAAGGCAAAACGTTTCAGCACAAAAAAACAACAACAACAAAAAACTGTCCAGATGACCTGACTGAAAAATGTTGGATTTTATACCTGGATTATTGAGCATGGACTTTGTTGTTTTCAACCAGTTTGACAAGACTGTCAACAAGGAAGAGGGCCGGCAATGGAGGAGGGGGCGTACAAAAGAGACCATCTTATCACAAGCAGAACTGTTTTTTTCCACTTTGGAGTAAACTGTTAGGGAAATAATCAGTTTTGTTGTTGTGCATTTCCTTGACTGATGAAGCCTTCCGGACCGAAGGCGAAATGTTTCAGCACACACAAAAAAAAAGAAACTGTCCAGATGACCTGACTGAAAAATGTTGAATTGCTCCAACACTTAATCTTTTTTCACCAAGCTGCTTGGCAATTGCCCTGTAGCTCTTTCCAGCCTTGTGGAGGTCTACAGTTTTGTCTCTGGTGTCTTTGGACAGCTCTTTGGTCTCAGCCATGTTAGTAGTTGGAGTCTTGCTGATGGTGTGGGGTGGACAGGTGTCTTTATGCAGCTACCGACCTCAAACAGGTGCTTCTAATTTAGAATAATAAGTGGAGTGGAGGTGGACTTTTAAGAGGTGGACTAACAGGTCTTTGAGGGCCAGAATTGTTGTTGATTGGCAGGTGTTCAAATACTTATTTGCAGCAGTAACACACAAATAAATTATTTAAAAATCATACATTGTGATTTCCAGATTTTTCTTTTTTTTTTTGATCATGTCTCTCACAGTGGACATGCACCTAAGATGAAAATTTCAGACCCCTTCATGATTTCAAGGTGGGAGAACTTGCAAAGTTGCAGGATGTTGAAATACTAATTTTCCTCACTGTCATTTTTTTTTTTTTTTTTCCATTTACCCTTCATTTATCCAGGTAGTCTCATTGAGCCACGAGAACTCATTTTCAGGAAAGACCTGTTTGGGGAGCAGATGGGGATTGAGGGCCTTGCTCATGGGCCCAGGGTGGGGCGAATGAGGGTGGGGGCAGGTGTGGGCGCTTCATCTACCCCACCCACATTTTTGATGTTGTCGGTACCGGGGCTTGAACCGACTATCTTCTGATCACAGGCCCACCTTCGCTAGCCTCTGCGCCACCACTCCCCAATGTTAATTAATGATTATGATATGATTTCCCATTCAACTACTTTTCTAATTAAACATATTACTGATAGAAACTGTCATGCAGTGGTAAAGAGGAGCATTTACAGAGTGTACCCATGTTCTAAATAGTCCCAATAAATTAATAAACAATATGTAAAAGAAGCCACGAAGAGAAGTCATATTGTAAGTAATTTTAATCAAATAATTTTACAAATAAAAAAATGATAAAACAAACAAACAAAAGAGAAGTTAGAACAAAAAGATAGCTATATAAAGTAATTTAAATCGATATTACATAAACCTCATGCGCTACACGCTAGAGTTTTGGTCCTCCATTACAGTTGGTGGCAGTAACGGATACCACGACGCTTACTAACCGCAATTAAACCCAAGAAGAAGAAATGTGTCGTCATCTTTATGAGACGCAATATTGGGCGCGCGCTGTAGCGCTTCGGAAAACAAGTTGCGTTATCAATAATGGCTACCTCCAAAAAAGGAAAGAAAGTGGTAAACCAAGAGGAGCTCCGGCGGTTGATGAGGGAGAAACAAAGACAAACTGCGGACAAGAAGCGCGTCGAGTCTCCCTTCGCTAAATACAACAGTCTGGGCCACCTCAGTTGTACCGTGTGCAATGTGCAGGTGAAGTCTGAGCTAGTGTGGCCAGCTCATGTTCTTGGGAAACAGCATAAAGAAAAAGTTGCTGAGTTGAAGGCGGGTAAAATTCAACCAGTGGCACCACAATGTCAAACCGTGAAGAGGAAAGCTTCAGACGACGACGAAATCGTTAAAGCGAAAAAGGCGAAGCCAGCATCGTTTGCAGGTCAGTCTGCATCAGATGCAGGTGTACCTGGAGATTTCTTCGAGAAGCCCAGCGATAAAGCTTCTGTCCAAAAGTCTGCAGGACTCAGTCTCCTGGCAGGAGTTTACGACGAAGATGAGGACGACGAAGAAGCTGGTGAGACGAATCCTGCTCCGAAAGTTGAAGCTGCAGGACTACCTTCTGACTTCTTCGACAGCTCCATCCCGTCTACACCTGCCATTTCCCACTCAGGGTCCATCCTCAAAGCAGACGTGCAGGAGAAGGGCGCTGAAAAGAAAGACAACACTGCCGAAGCCTTGCCTGAGGGCTTCTTTGACGATCCTGTCAGAGATGCCAAAGTTCGCAATGTCGACGCGCCCAAGGATCAAATGGACAAAGAGTGGGAAGAGTTCCAAAAGGAGATCCGACAGGTTAACACCAAATCAGAAGCGATCGTGGCAGAGGACGATGAAGAAGGGCGCATTGAACGCCAGATTGATGAAATCGATGAACAAATTGAGTGTTACAAAAGGGTTGAACTACTTCGAGATAAGCGGGATGTGTTGAAAAGCAAGCTTGTGCCCAAAGTGAGCGAACGAATGGAAACAGTGAGAGCTGAAGAGGAAGAGGACGATGAAGAGGAGTTGTTGGGGCTTTTATCCCAAGACTGGAGGGCTAAAGGGGCTCTGGCTTAATTAATGGTCGTGTTTATAGAAATGTGACTGATCTTACTAGTGTGAAAATGTTGATAAAACTGAGAGCAATTATTATGCAAAGAATGTAACCAGTTCAAGATTTGTAAATAAGTTTTGTTTCAAAAATCATCTCGTTCTTTTGTACGTTTCAAAAAGGGTTCAACAAAACTGGCAACCATGCCACAGAAAGTTGAGGCTTCTCAGTTCATTATTAAGGAAATCAATCAAGTCAAACCTTTTACTGTTTTAATTGATGCTTAAACAAAAAGACAAATCATAAAATACCACATACATAGCATTGTGGACCCAAACTTTAAGTCAAGATGAAGGTCAAAGCCCTGACTTACTGAGCTCAACTAAACATTGTCCTGCATAATTAGATGAAAGGTTAATTTCATAGATTTGTTCATGATACACTCAAAACATGCACAGCACAACTAAATCGTTAAAAGAATGTTGCTATCAAGACGATCAATTTAACAACCTGATCCCTTAAGTTAACCAGTTGAACAACACATTTTACAGGACAACAGAGTCTGAATCTGATCATTTTGCAAATGTAAACACCATTATTAGACCATTAGGATGAATCAAGGAAACTGAGTCAGTGCTTCTTATACTACCTGTTACATCTTGTGAGCAATGTGTGCCTTTTTCTACTGCGGTAGTATAAACCATTACTTATTGCTACATATGCCCCATAAATAACCACTTCAAGGTGTTTGTAGCCCTTCAAATCTACAAAACATGAAAAAAAAAACAATAAGATACACATCAATTACATGATTCCAATTATATGGTAAAAGAACAAATGGAACAAAAATGAACTTTACACTTTTCTTTTAGCTTTAAAAGAGTAGACAAAAGTTGCAACTCTTTTTTTATACAAGTTAAGAAATCATTTAAAAACTTGTCCAAGGCCTGAAAAACTGTTTCTAGTAGTCATTTGTAAACATTCATAAATTCCACCTCTTAAATAAAGTTTAGGTAAACCGGTGTTTTGAGAGGAACGTATGGTGTTGACTGATAAGTTTTAAACAATTTCATAAACACTCATCACATCAAATTTAACTAGTAGCTAAAAAGAGGAAAACTAAAACAGAACCCCCCCAAAATTAAATACAAGTACATGAACACAAGTTGAAGAGTTGGGGGGAAGAATAGGGTTCAGAAAACACCACATATTGATGGTTTACTAATATAAACCAAAGAATGAGCTAATTAAGAGTCATACTTACAGGAACTCGTGAATTACTGTTAAAATATAAGCAATGCTTTGTGGCTGATACCTTAAAGTGAACCTCAGGGGTAGGGGTGTGAATAGTAAGACGGCATACCAGTGCCAGTTTTTTCCACAATCAGCAAGTTAAATATTCAGTTCACAAAGTGCAGCAATAACAGAAAGGGGCTGGGAACCCCGAACCCTCCAGACCCTGCTGGGTATTCAATACTGTTCACTGCCGTCTTCGAGGAGGTGCTCACAAACCCACAGCAGCTCTCAGCTCCATCAGGGAATACCTCTGGTCTCCATCAGCATCAAAGCACTCGAAAGCATCCTCGCTGGGGACTGATGATCCGAGCACTTTCTTCAAGTCCTGGTAGGTAACTCCAAGTGAATTACGTCCAACGCCGACTTCATGGAGGATGTCTTCCAAATCTGAAGAGTCCCATAAAAAGTCAAAACTTAAGTTTTTGAATTTGCAATGAACTACAATAAGCTGCTAAATTTGTTAAAATTCAGATGCAAGTAGGAGTGTACAATACTATACTATAAATATTAATGGTAAAAAATGTTGGAATCTCTTTTGGAATCCCTATATTTTCCGGCGTATAAGTCACAATTTTTTGCATTGATTTGTTAAGTCCTGCGACTTATACATGTTTTTTTTTCCCATATTCATAACACAATTTTTGACTGACGCTTTAAATTTCTAAGAAGTGCAACAGCGAGTCCTCCCGTGTGCGCTCGCTTCACTCAGCTGCTGCAGGCAGAAGAACACTGGAGAGCTAGCGTCTCTGGCCGTGATGGATGGATGGATGCATGGATAGATGGATGCATAGATGGCGCCTCGCCGCCCAGGTGAAATGAAGCTGTTTTGACAATTAAAGTGCGTTTATTAAGGAAAAGTTAAACTGAGACACAATTTTGCTATAATGTAGAGCAAACAAATAATTGTTTTTAAGTGTTAATCTTGTTAAATTTTGAAGAACTGCAACAGTAAGTCCTCCCGTGCGCGCTCACGTCACTTAGCTGGTGCAGACGGAAGAATGCTGGAGAGCTAGCGGCTCCGGCTATCATGGACGGCGCCACGCTGCCCAGGTGAAATGAAGCCGTTTTGTCCATTAAATAAACACATAATAAACGCAACGGTTCAGCTGTAACGCATAATAAATGCGACTTATACGCCAAAGTGACTTATACATGTTTTTTTTCCTCTTCATGATGCGTTTTTTTTGACTGATGTGACTTATACGCTGGAAAACATGGTAATTTGAACGAGTTAGAAAAAGTGAAAGCCTACCACAATACTCAAGTAGCACAACATCTTTTCTATGGTGCTGAAAAATTTACGTTTAATTACCATGAACAATATCAAATTAAATCCTACTTTAATAAAGCTCTATTTATCATTTGACTATTGTGGTTGTGTGATAAATGGTTTAGTTCAGGGCTATTCAACTGGTGGCTCGGGGGCCAAATCAGGCCCGTGGGTGAGCTCAGTCCGGCCCACCAATGGGTTCATTTTTAAATAAAACTATATTTTAAATCATAAAACAAACGTACTTAATGAGACAATTTTCAGTCAGGTCATCTGGACAGTTTCTTTTTCTTTTTTGCTGAAACGTTTCACCTTCCATCCAGAAGGCTTCATCAGTCAAGGAAACACACAACACAAAACTGATTCTTCCCCCAAACAGCCTTCCGGATGGAAGGTGAAACATTTCAGCAAAAAAATAAATAAATAAAAATAAACTGTCCAGATGACCTGACTGGAAATTGTTGGATTGTATACCTGGATTATTGAGTGTGGACTTTTTTTGGTTACTTAATGAGAATTAACTGCCGGATGTCCAGCCCCTGAGCTCTTGGCTTTCAGTAACTGTGGCCCACTGAGCAGTTTACTTGAATAAGCCTGGTTTAGGAAATGTTTTGAAAAATACCCAGTCTTTTAAAATAACATGTAATTACCAGCCTTTCTACTGATCTAAGTTCTGTTTCATCATTTACTGCTGGCCTCGTGAGATGAGCAAGATGTTATAAAAAAACAAAATAAGAACTGCACAAAGACGCACTTGTGTTTAATGTCTTGTTCTAACAGATTGTTCGATTCTCTAAACTTCGTGTTAAAATCTATTCTGGGACATCCACAGCTTGAACATGCAGCGTGTACTTGGTAGCATTATTTACAGAAACGTATCACTCAGTAGTGTGAATCATGCTGTTACTGTTATAGTTCTAAGTGTTTTACTCTTATAACTGTAGTATAAACGAAGCTGTAGTATAAACGAAGCTTCTATTAGCGACCTGGTGGTGTAGTTGAGGACTGATGTCATCATCAAAATTGAACTTTTCAAAACAAATAAAAAATATAGATTACTGCACATGCTTGACAAGGCAACAAACAGAAACCTATTTTACTTTATTATTCACACTATTTTACATAACTTTTTTTTAAATTCTTCTCCTTGTTTTCTTCTTTTTCTTATCTAAGCAACGGGGGCAGCACATCTTCGAAGCTGCAGCCCCCTGAACACTTCTGTCCATCTTTAGGACGGCTGCATGGAAAGTTCTTTGTACTTCACGTTGCAAGGATAATAAGAGGATTCTGATTCCAAACAGCATAAAAACAAGTATTTGCGTTTTTCCTAAAACTATAGGAATTAAAAGTATAAGACTCACCTTTCAGAGAACTGATACCAGGCAGGAACAGCCTTGATGGACAGTTTATTCCAGCGCTTCTCTTAATTCGTTTTGACGTTAAAAAGCGGGGTCGTCTGCTTGTTCGCATCTCTGTCAGCGGAGTGGACATCTCTGTCGTACAGAACGTGCAAAATGTTACACAAGAACACAGCACAAAGAAGGTCACTGTGACAAACTGCTTTATCCTAGGCTGTACCCTTCTCCTCTTCAGGTGCCGCTTTGGTTGTAGGTGGTTCTTTGACCTTCTCAGTTTCGACGCGCTCACTGAAGTTTCCTGCTGGAGCTGCCGCATCATTACTCTGCACCTGCAACGTAAAACAAGCAATAAAACTCATGTGTGAACAGGTTTTTTTTTTTTTCAGCTCAACTATAAACTGTTTAAAGTGTGGAGTTTAGAATTTAGCCGTCACCATATTAGTTTTTGCACCCAAATGGACTTCAAAGGTTGGAGCTGAAGCAGAACCACATGGCACTGAAAATGCCTGCTGACTGACTCAAAGTTCAGTAAAACATGTGCGTTCACCAATACAGCACGAATTTAAGGCTTAGTAGATATATACAGTAGTCACTACTTCGCAGTTCATTTTTCGCAGGTTCTCTATATCGCGGTTTTTCAAAGTAAGATTGGCTGATGGATGGATGAGCCATGGGTTGTTTATTTAAAATAAATTATTTTACACCATGTGTGCAGCCCACAAGTGCAGGGGGCAGCTCCCTCCTGCAGCTGATCAGCTGATCTCCTTCTCTGCAGGCACACATTTCTCCTGCAGCAGCTTTGCTGTCCAGATGCACCGATCGACTTTTGTCTTCCAACTTAAAGTTCAAAGTACGTCACATCGTGAAATCACCATAATCACAAAATATAAAAGTGTTAAAAGTTATTTTTAATTGTTTTAGAACTTCTATGTTCAGTTGTTACAGTGTAATTGATCAAGAAGTACATTTCTGCTCCGTGAAGGGTTAAGCCTTTGCTGTTCTGCTGCACTTCTCTACAATTTAAATTTAAATACTGTAATATTTTAAATAAACAATCCATGCTGTAGGGATTGTTTATTTAAAATATTACAGTATTTAAATTGTTTAATTAAGGAGGGAGACTGGGAGTAAAAGTGAATGAGTGTGATTGCAGCCTGGCACGTCCTGACAAAGTTTACTGTACTTGAACTACTGTAGCTCTACTTCGTGGGGTTTCACTTATCGCAGGGGTGGGGCAGGGTATGGAACACCCGCAATAAACGAGGGACTACCGTACACCGATTTAAAATAGATACTTTTTCTTCTTGTTTGTGCCTCAGAAGAAAAAGTTACAAAGCTCTATTATAAAAACAGAGACATTTAATACTCATAAGAACTGAAACCGTCAGGAGCATACTGTTATTATGTCTATATTGTCTTTTAATTTCACCCCTCTTAAGTACTTAAATTTAACATAACAAAACATTAACATGTCATGTATGACTCACGCTGTGTTTTGACCCATTCTCCAAAGAGGCTACTCTCTGATGAAGATCTGCAACAGTGGAGAGAAGGACGTGGATCTGCTCATCAGTCCACAAGTGGAGCTGCTCTTCTGTCTTGTTCACTTCACCCAAGGCTCTGTTGAAGTCGGTTATGTCCTATAAAAATATGACCACGTTTAATATCATCCTACTCTTACAAGTTATGTGCATGTGCAGAAAAATAAAAGAAGAATAAGAATGTTTACTAATGTACATCATAAATGAAGATCTTAGCAAACTAGTGATTTCTCAGAAACCAACATTTACTAAAGTATTAGAACACCCAAATGTACAATTGTGAATTTCCTGCTCTCACTTTGTGCTTATGAAAAAAGAAAGAGAGCGAAAAATGACTGTAATTGTATTTGACCTAGTTTTAGCTAAAGCATCCAAGCGCCCAAAATAGATTGGCACTTGTTTCATGTATTATGGATGTAAAGTCAAGGCACAGATCCAAAAAATGACAGGACCTTCTTATCCCGACAACTCCTTCAACATCAGCTTGACAAGAACTGCCAAGCGTGCTTATATGCGTGGGTTAACATGCATTAATTAATCTGGCTGTGGCGACCATCATCACAGCTTCTTGCTTGGATTTATGCCACGGCTGGACAAATGACACGTCAGTAGAATCACTCTGAAAGTCATTTTCTACCGCTCTTTGTGAGGAAAATGTGAAATGCACCACATCAGCTACAAACAATAAAAGTACTTTACTGGTATTTAACAAATGCACTTAAGCACAATGCTCCATTAGGTTCCTTCACGTGCACACCCATTTTCAGAGTGTGTTTATACATATTTAATAAACTAAGGGATATGCACAGTAAATGAACTTTTAAAACAGCCCCAAAGCAGTATTTTCTGTAAACCTGGACATGTAAATACTGCCAAAAAGACACAAGAGCACAACTTTGAGCTCGACTCATTAAAAACTTCTAAACTATTTATGAGGACAAACTTTGAATTTATTTATTTATTTTTAAATATATTGCTTAAGCAGAAGACGGGAAATCTTTTTCAGCTTCTCGTCATCTTTACTGTTAAGTAAAATTCACAACTTTGGAATTGGTTTCATTTAATTGTGGCGATATTAAGGGACAGTTGAAGCTTGGATGAGAGCTGCTGTATAAGAACAGACACATTGAAATAAAGTGAATAAAAGCAAACACTTAACATCCACAAGGAGAAGCCTAAGTGGTAATCTCCAGGTACAGAGGTCTGCAAACCTCAATATGCATTTTAATCCCAGCGAGTTCCAGTACCTGCAGTCTTAAGTGACTAAATAGAAAACACAACACTTCAGTTCCTAGAGGAAAGCTTTTTTCAGAGGTCTTTACTTTGACTCTCATTTCAAAGATGAAATGCCTTCAGTACCTAAAAAAAGGGAGTCCACTTGCCTCGTTTGAACATCACTTTGAAGTAGATGACTGAAACTCACCAGACGCACCGACAGCTGGCTGATCAAGGTTAAAAGTCAGAAACTACCACAGATGTCTCATGTTTCAAATTACCACGGTTTTCTTCAAGTCGTCATCTTTCTTCTGCTTCTCAAGGGCATCCTGCATAGTCTTCACATCGTGCTGAACACTTGTTAGAGTGCTGCCGATTGTAGCAACACTCTGCAACAGAAAACAATGATTGTGAAGTCAGTTTCTGAAATCGCTTGTGTCCATTAATTAAAACAGCTTTTAGTGGATGGACCTTCTGAAGATCTTCAACGGTTGCTGGGAGGCTGACTAAATCAGCAGCTGACTTCAAGTTGGCTTTTAAATGGTTGACAGCAGAGTCGAGTATCGTGATCTGTGGGGGTCAAATAACACATTATATGATCGTTTCTGGCCATAATTTGTTGGATACAGCTGATAAAAAACATGTTCAGTGTTATCTTTAAGTGTTTTGATTCAACTGTTTAACAGTAAATAAATGCCTAAATACTACTAGTTTAATATCAGTTTATCTATATACAGCATGTGCCTCTTAAATCTAAGCAGTAAAATCATTTAATATCCTGAACATTATGTTAATGATAGTACAAAATATTTGTATAAGGACTAAAATATAAATTTGCAACAAAGTATATTTAACTGGTTTGATGTCACAATTGTTTTCAGGCAACAAACCCAAAACTGAAAAAAGGTTAAAATCTAAGAGTATTTTACTGTAAATTAAAATGCGATTGACTTTTTTCTTGTCTATAACCTATTACTATAACAAAAGGAACTGGCACTGAAAACAACTTTTTCTGTTGCTACAAAGTGCTTTTTGTTATGCATCTTCTAGCTTAGATTTTTATTTTATTTAGGAAAGTAAAGTAACTTCTATCTAATTTCTTATTTTAACACATTTCCTTCCTCTTTATTTTGAGTGCATCCTTGCCTACAAAATGCACTGCATGGACAAAACACAATAAAGACTTAAAAAAAACCCATATCATCAGATGCTGCTGATTCTTTATATGCAAACAAACACAAAATAAGCAACAGTTTTAATCTCTCTTGTAAAGATTCAATGCATTTTAGAAGTTGTCTGCAGCAGATGCAGCACATGAGGAAAAAACAGCTTCAACTTCCAGGAATGCTGATTGCAGAGTTTGTATGATAAACTATTTCTGTTGAGGTTAACAACATGCTGGATAAAGTTAATGACTTGATTGTGCATTAAAATGTACACATTACGCTATTGTTTTTATTTTATTTTTAAGGTGACCATTTCATAAAATTTGTGGAGATTCAAAAAGTTTTCTGAGCAAAGTATGGCCCTGAAAAATCTGCTTTTTTAAATGGTATTATTGTTTGCCCTCCATCTTACAAAGGACTGAGACACTCTGGTCTTAGGCATTTATTTAAAAGACAAGAGCAAAAAGGTTTTATTTATTTAAGAGAAAGTCTCAACAGGAAAAGATCAAAAAATGTATGAGCTACAATCAGTCAAAGATAATTCAGCCTAATACTGACAGTCCAGATGGTCTCTAGCAGCTTTTTATACATAACTGTGAATATGACATGAAGGACTTTAAATTTTCAGTCAGACATAACTTACCTTTTTATTCATCGCCGTCAGGTTAAACCAAAGTTTGCTCAATCCCTTGTCCCCGTTCTCAAAGTCATCAAGTTTTCGCTCCTTGTTTTTGAGATCCTCGTTTATTTTGGGTATTTCATTTGATGACACTTTCTGACTTGAATCCACTGAGGGGAAAAAAAAAACAATAATAAAACACATTAAAAGTTATGCTATACATGACTTGCGGACACAATTTTATATTTACAAAGGGCCGTGTTTTGTTTATTGGTTGATTCCAAGTAACTGAATGTTTGAGACACGTACTGCTGTGCAGCTTTTCTTTCAGAGAGTCTAGATCTTCTTTCAGAGCAATCTGCATCCATATGAGTCCAGCACAGGCCATGACACAAGCAGCTAAAATGATGAAGAGGAATAAGGGGTAGCACACATTGCAGCACTGTGCATAGCTTCTTCTGTAAGAAAAAAAAAAAACATGGTACTTTTAAAGACTTTAACTGGATGATTTATTTTAATGAAAAATTACTTTCACAGAAATATGCATGTAATGAAAATTAAGAGGATTGCTCATTTTTTAAAAATAATATATGCTGCTACATTGACATTTGCTGTCAATCTTCAACAAACCTGAGAATAATAAGTGACCTGGAGTCCTGAGTCCTAAATTCAAACTAATTTCACTGTCCTTTCCATCTTTGCGTCAAAGAAGTCATGAGCAATGTTTCTTTAGGCTTTTTGGAGGTCTTCCAAAGTTTCTCTGGGCACTGGTTGTTTTTTCTACTCATTTTTAATCCAGCACATTAACACATTTTAAGGAATTATTTTTGTTTGTTAGGCCATTTAATATGAAGCATTCAGGAAGGGTTTCTAAACCCAGGAGATGAACCAGCGTTGTGTCAACAGATAGCCCACAACTTAGCATGGAAATATTGACACTTTAGTAGCCTTATTATCATCTGCAGCATCTTAAAAAAACATTTTGTTTCCATTTCTTTTGCCAAATCTAAATAAATAAATAAAAATATCAATGAGCTTCCAGCAGAAAACTTAGCATACAGTAATTGAAGGGTAATGCATCTCTCAGGTCCAGTCAGGTCTTTGTTGGACTTTCCCTCCATTTCTTTAAGAACTAATTATTAGATACAGTGTTTGACGAAAATTATTTTTAGGCATGTCACCTACAATCTCCACTTGACCACTTTCATTGCACACACTGCAGAAAATGCTGTCATGGTCGGGTACAAAGACTGGACTGAAGATTTGTGGGGAAGAACAGCTGAAGTCTGAAGAAAATCTTACATATCACGAGAAAGTCTGGGTTTTTATAAACTAAGTGTAGTGCATCCTTATTGAGCATGAACCTAGATGTAAGGCATGTTCCTGTGTTTAGTTTTCTACACTCGCCTGAGAATCTAGCTGTTTTTTGTTACTTTTTTTTTTTAGCCATCCTATTTGTAAAAAAAAAATAAAAATTGTATGGCTTTTTATAACTGTTTATTGTTGTCATCATTCTTTGTGGAAATCAGGTCTCTCTTGTAAATGAGTCCTCGAGGCTCAATGGGATTTACCTGTCTACATAAAGGTTGAATGAAAAAAAAAGTGTAGTACTGTATGTTATGGAGAGTATTTTAAGTATTCTTCTTCTTTCAGCTTTTCCCTCTTCAGGAGTCTCCACAGCAAGTCGTCCTCCTCCATCTCTCTCTGTCCTCTGTCCTCACTCCATCTACCTCCATGTCCTCTCTAACTGCATCCATAAACAATATCGTCTCTTTTGAACGTTTTTGAATCTTTGGAGAGTATTTGTAGTCATATTACTGCATAAATGTCTTAATAGTTGCAGTTTTTCTGGGTAACATACAATCACGTACAATTTCGTTTCTAAAATCTGATCAGTATTTATTTTTATATTTTGTATGCAACATCCGGGTCAAAAACATGTACTTACTGTTTTATGCCTAAGCAAAGCGTTTACTGAAGGGAACACATACACCAACTGGACCCATTTAGGCCCTAATAACACAGCAAAAACGCATAGCGACATATAAAACAACATGAACCAACTTCTTACTTTCCAAAGTTAGCTCCGCTGTTGGGATTGTTGAAATCATCTTCAGAGCTGGACTCTGACTCCGAGTCTGGAGGTTCGGTTCGGAGAAGTCGGTGTCCAGAGCCCTTTTTGGTCTTCTTTCTTTTGCTGTCACCAAGTCCGATCAAGGCGTTCAGCTCCTTCCTCTTCTTCATCTTTTTCTGAGGTGTCAGTGGACCCGCTGAGCCCGATTTAAAGCCCACTAAATCTAATGTTTTGTCCAGTTTGCTGGATGTTGTCGTTTAACGATGTAGCTAAGCTAACGTACGTGCTAGCTTTAACTTCAACTACGCAACGAAGCAAACGGATATAAACACATCGGGCTTTGCTAACATAAGCCCAACACGACGAATGATTTACTCTATCAGCTTAGCATTGGGTTTCCACAACAGCTTCTCTAAAAAAAAAAGTAACTTCTAGAAGCAGGCAGGGTATCTGTTTGGCTAACTCTCCTAGCGTCTGACACCCAGACACCTTGCTAACACTAGACTGTAGACTGCCGTCGTTACCGTGCACACAAATTATCGACGTTTTCTTTCGATATTACCAGCTCAAATGTTATTCGTCTAGGAAAAGAAGAGAAAAATGAAATACTTTTAAAATAAATTCAATAACCTTTATATGATAAAAGCAAAATCTGCAGCGCTGTATTTCCAGAGTAACCCGATGCCTTTTTGTTTGGGCTGGGCTTCCGAGGACCCTCTTGACTGGTGCAAAGGTAAAGTTACAACTTCCGGTATCCTGTTTCGAGAGGAAACGACATGGCGCAGTACACCTGCTGTCCACAAAAGCCACATTTCGGCCGTTCAAATGATAAAATGTTGCAGGTTTACTGCACCACAGTGTGTGCAATGGGTTCTAAAATTCTTATGTTTAAGATTTAAAAAGGAAAATATTTATATATTTATATGAAAGGGAATGAGGTATTATGTAAAACAAAATAAAAATAGGCCATATTTAATATTTCTCTTTTTTTTTCTATCTGTAGCTATGTCTTTGAAACCAGTAGTATGCAATAGTAATTACACATCATCACCTGGAATAGTATTGCAATTATGTCATGACTTGTGCATTTTTGTGATAAAATATGCTGTTTTATTTTAATCCTAGAGTTTCTTATGTTAATTTAAATGAAAATATAGTGAGAATGGTGATTTGATATATAACACACAAAATCTGTTTAGTTATGATCACACTCTGTATCTATTTGCCTGATCCTTAACATGTCTTTTCCGATAAACTGCTGCATTGCTGTGGGGAAGATAAATAAAAATTGATTGCAACAATTATTCAAAATACTAAGACAAGATTACTACCCTCCAGTTACTTTATTTGAAACACTAGACAGAATATTTAACAACTTAATTCATCGTAATACAATGATGTTAAATTGAAATGTAGAATTAAAACAACTGAGTAAAGATATGTAGTAGTACAAAAATGCTCACAATATTGTTTATATTTAAAAAAAAAAACGTTTATCCATAGAAACAGTAGTAATTTACAGATGTAATGGTATTATATGAATCATTTCTGGCCATTATTACAAGTAATGTTGCACTGAAATGTCAAGAATGGAAAGACAGACAGAGAAATTACTACAAAAGATGACATGACCTATGTACTTTATACAGGTGATATTAATTTGCACATGAATAGCACCTAAATAATATCTCTAAATTGTTCTTAGAGAAAAAAGAAATATCGTTGTGCAGGGTGCTTCATGTGGAAGGGTGTTCTCTACAGCAGGTAAGACTGGATCATCTTCCCCAGTGGCTGGTTGGTATGCAAACTGCAACAGGTCCTGCTGTGAGCTCACCAGGAGTCAGACAGAGCTGAGTATAATCTTTTCCATTGTACTTATTAGATTAGAAGTCAAAGGCACAGGTTTAAAGTGGTGCCTGGGGTTTGTGGTCATCAGTAATGGAACCACACAGGGCGTTTACCTCAGGAGATGAAATCTGCTCAAACTGGGGCTCAGATTAGAAATGTACAGAATCGCTTTATAAAACCTCTACGTCGTCAATTAGCTGTTAAGCAGAGATTGAGGGGGACATTGATGCAGTAGTAAAATGGGGGATGAATGAAATTTATATTTTTAGAAGGATTTCCTTTTTATTCTTCTATAGTTTTCCTCTTATTGTAGGTTTTTTGAGTCCTCCGTTTCTTTTGTTATCAACAAGTCATAATCTGTTAATTTGACAGAGTTTAGTGATCAAAAATGACCCATAGGTTGTTTTTAGGAATCAAACTTTTATGTTTGTGTACACAGATGTTTACGTAACCATGTACTCTCTGCCTCAAACAGATCGCGGTCGGTTATTTTAAAGCTTATCCTCAGTTCATCTTCACTCCTGGAGGTTATTTTTTCATCTCAGCTGTGTAAACAAGCTGGAGAGGAATGAGGTTGTGATCTTAGCAGCCAAATGGGTGGAGGAGCAGTGATCTGTAGTCACCTTAGTGTTTGTTTAAATCCACTAAATCCAGTGTTTTTATTGCTCTTTGTATTGCACAAGTTCCTGAAAGAAGGTGGGGAAAGGTCAGCAGAGGTAAAAACTTGAGGTGTAAAACGTGCAGCTGTGACATAATAATTAGTAAGAAGTCAGTAACTGCAGCAAATTATTCTGAGCTTGTTTTTGTAATGATGTGTAAAAATTCCCTGGGAAGTTAGTCTGACCAAAGGGCAAATGTTGTCGGCCTAATGTTCTCGTTACAGTTTCTATTTAAGGATTCAAGGTTCTTTATTTGTCATTCCACCTCATGTGGTGCATATGGTGGAATGACATTGTGTACACAGGATCCCAATTACATCCGACAAAAGTATTAAAATGTAAAGAAAAACAGTAATAAGATCTAAGATATGAAGTAAGAAAAACGTTAATAAAAATACACCAAGTACTATCAGCATAAAATAGCGTAAAAACAATACACCGAACAGCAGCACGAACATGAGTCTGTGTGAGCAGATGAGTATGAATGAACACAGCAACATGAAATAGATCAGCAGCAACATGAAACAGATCAGCAGCAACATGAAACAGATCAGCAGCAACGTGATGTGATTTTTCACAGTGATTATTCTGGTTAGAGATTCATGAGTCTAACAGCCTCAGGGTAGAAGCTGTTCCTCAGTCTAGTGGTTCTACACCTCATGCTCCTCAACCTCCTTCCTGAGGGGAGCGGGGCAAAAAGTGTGTGTGCTGGGTGAGTGGGGTCCTTCATGATGCAGGTGGCTCTCTTCCTGCATCTGGAGGTGTAGATGTCTGTGATGGTGGAGAGGCTGACTCCAACAGACTTCTGTGCAGCCTTCACCACTCTCTGCAAAACTTAACATTATTATGTGCAAGTTTGCATCATCTATTATTCGTGTACATCTCTGAAACACTATTCTACAATATTGTGCAATGACAAACACTGACGCGGAAGAACTGAAACATGGATGCTCATTCTGAAGATGATTGCAGCTGACAAAATTTTGATCCATTAATAGCATTCCTTGAAGGAATGCATATCGCATATAGCTTATATGTCTTGGATTAGATTGACTCTAAAAGTTAATCATTTGTACATTTACCTACTATTTTAACAACAACAAGTTCATGGCTAAATTTCAACAATAGTCTTGTCTCAGGTTGTGTAAAACTGACTGAAATATAGCCATTTTTGTACTTTTCAAGGTGGGAGTCATCTTGAAACAGGTTGTCGCCAAAAGTTAATCAGTTGCAGTGCATATCCAGTGATAACTTTTAGCAAGTTTTATTAAAAATCTTCTGGTGGTTCTTGAGATATTTTGGTAAAAGACAGACATGTGGACACACCTGCCCACACAGACACAGGCAAACACTATCATCTGCCATCACCTTTCCATGGCAGGCACTAATAAAGCATTACAACAGTTCATGGCCTCCGTTGTAGTTTTGTTGGACTCTGAACACATTACAAGTTTTCAGTAGAAGATTTTGTTTGCTGGGTTAGACTAGCAACCAAGTTTTTGTTGTCTTATTTTACTCTGGAGTCATGCTGTTTTAAAACCTGCAAACTGTGTTTTGCCTCTTGTTAAAAAAAAAAATAAAACCTGCTCCCAAAAATGTGTTGTTCAGTTTCAAAGCAACCATAGTTGAGCAAGTTATTCATGAAATGTGCACTATCACACCAACACTTTTGAATCTTCTGCTGACACATCCAACGTCCCCTCTCACTTTTAACTCAGATAAAGCATCAAAATGTAATTTCAAATTTTGATTCCAAAGATTACAGGAGAGTTTTGCAGTTTGTTTCATTCCATCTTGAATCAGTTTGTGTCCAGAGAGGGCAGATGTCACGTTCTAGGTCCAGTTTCAGCCTCGTTAGTTTTTAAAATATTGTTTATTTCTCAGTTAATAGATGAACTATACTCATCAGTAATGGAACCGCACAGGTGAACAGTTATCTATTTGCCTGTGTGTGTTATGTGTCTTTATGTTATGGAAAATATTTCATGAACCACTGGATGACTTTAGAAGAAACTTGCAGAAAGTATTCACTGAATGTTCATCTACAACTGGTTGACATTTAGAGTCAAATCAATTTCAAGATGGCTGCCACAGCCTACTGATCTTAGCAAACACAAAAATGGCTATAAACTGCCAATTTTAACATTAGTCTGGTGGTAGCTGAGAGTAGTACCCAGTATATACTCCAAGAACTATATTATTACGTGAGACCTTTGTTTCAATCTTAAGCACTAACTGTTGGAGTCAACCTTGCTGCTTGTTAGCAAAATAATTTATGAAACACTAAATGGATTTTATTGAAACTTTCACAAAGTAATAATACATCATACATCCAAAGCTAATGGACGTTAGCTAACATACATGGCTATAATTTAATTAGTTTTACGGAAAATGGCTTAAAATATGACGTGGTAGTAGCTGAGAGTCATTCACAACACAAGTGTTATGTTGTTTATTTGTCATATGCAGGTCAACACAAGGTCAACAATGCAATGTTGTTCAGGATGAACAGATGAGAAGAACCAATATGACTTGCTAAAAAAGCAACTACAAGCAAATAAGAAATACTAAAGCATGCAGTACTTGTATGTAATACATAATAAATACATGCAGTACTCTGTAGCATGAAGATGTGCTCTGACTATGACCCCTGACCCTTGGGCTGACTTCCAGACTCACCATGAACTGTTTTCTTTAAAGTTACTTTAAAATTGAATAATGTTTGATGGTTTTCACACATTCACTGTTCTGACTAATGTTTACCTTTTCTTCTATGCTTTTAAGAAAGAAAAAAAAATCATGAATGAAGTTTATTTTATTTGATTATAGCAGGTGTGAACATGAATAATGCTGATTATTGTTTTCAGTCGATTTAATGAAGTTAAGTGAAATATTATAATGTGTTTAACATATTCCCTTTTCTTTCAGAGACACGTGTTGTTGGTTCTTTGAGCTGGAAGCTGTTTTCTTCAGCGGGGAGTCATGATGTTCCAAAGAGTAGCCAAAACACTCCAGAGAGCTGATGGTTGACACACAAAGGTTTCTTTGTGTGACCAGGCAGTTCATCTTTGGTCCCTGATCCTGATGTAGTTTGTCTTGGTCCACCTACCTTTGTTTATTCCTGAGCAAATAAACACGTTTGCAGTTACAGATTTTGTTAGAAGAAAGTAGAAGTTAAGTAATAACCAAGATTGAGCATTTTATTCACTGCAAGGCTCATGTTTTTGGCTTGAAGTG